TTAGCAGTAGAGCGGAAAATTGGAAAGATCAAGATTTGTATAACCCTTTTCAATAAACTATTTTAGTAATACTCATGATTTGTACTAAATTCCAATTGTTTTACAATCAGAAATTGATCAATTATTGTTTGAAAACTTTTTATATATTAAAAAATGAAAATTTTGGATTTTGAGCTGTTTTTTATAACATAATTACTTTGAAAATGTTTTCTGACTACAAGGGTGTGGTAATTAGTCATACTGGATTTGCTTCTAATAATAATTTTCATATAATTGATGTGGATTGGTCATTTTTTAATGAGCATTGATATATCCCAGAGAGGGAGAAAGATAATTCCTTGTAAAAAGTTTGAAACAACCAAAATGATAATTGTTCTCGTCCCCATAGGTGTATTAGCCCTAGTACTTGTTTTAGGCAACCAACAATATGAAAGTAAAATACTAAAAGCGTATAGAATATTAAAATCTAGACTTTTTAATCAGTCAGAAGACTTTTGATGCATCTTTCTAAATTCTGCACTTTGTTGGTTTGTCAGGGTTGGTGTCCCTGGAGGGGGACTGGTAGTGTGACAGTCATTTTCCTCTGGACATTACCGTAAATGACCTCTTAAATGTGGTCACCTGGGAATGTATGAAATTGAGCAGACCTATGATTTAGCAAGTTTTATCAGTTCTGGCTGTTGAAGATTGGTCCATATTGGTACGTGTATGTTTTATAATTCAAACATTGCCATTTATGTCACTATGTCATGGCCACCAGAACATTATTATCCAAACACTATATATAAAAAAAATGATTTTTTGCAAAATACCATTGCAGTTCCTTGCATGACTAGTATATGAGTTGTGATTTCTAAAATGTATTTTTATTTCCTTAAACTTTGTTTTTCCATGATTTATGACGTGACAAGGTAGGAATGACACAATAGAGATCCATGTCAAAATGTTTGACTTTCAACTTTGCACAAATTCTGAATGTTCTTGGCTGCAAGGGCTTTGGGTTCTTGGCCCTAAATGTATATAGGGTTCTTGACTGCAAGGGATTGAGAAGTCTTATTATCTCTAGAAAAGTGAAATGTCCCCAGAACACAAGCGTCCAGTCCCCGGGGACCAATGACAACATATGATGGATCCCTTTAGTTTAATATCCATGCAGCAAATTACTCCAAATGACACTATCACAATTAATGACTTTGGCATATTTTAACTGGAAATGAGAAAGTTGAAGATGTATTACTGCATTTATTAAGTCTTATGAACCAAGTAATCTATTTTGTCACATAAATTTGTAAAACTGTAAAATTAACAGAACATTGTACTTCAATTATGTTCAACTTCATCATTGTATTCAACGATGTACCAAATGAGTTTACCCAAAGAATTGTTGTAACTAATTTGTTTATATTAATTTGTTGATAAATGTGATGTTGATGTATCAAGCAAAGGTGACCCAAATGACAAAAAATAAACCAACTCAATTTTCAAAGTTTTTTGATTATTAGGTAACATACCTTTATCAAAGAGTTAAAAACACTTGGGGAACGAGCCGTATCGAGGTTACTTTAACTGAAGAAATATCCGATGACTGGAAAATTGGAATATCACGAAAGATTCTGACTAAAGATCTACCACTAATACAGGGACAAAATCTTAATTAAACTCATGTCCTGAGATTATGAAGATCGGAAACAAAGGAAGCAATAATATAATCCGTAATAATCTTCCTTGACAAATCTTTGGTACATTTTAATATAGCGGAATTTATTACTTTACGACAGGGAATTAGATGCAAAAACGTGTCCAGTAATGCCGTTGGGTGTCATTTAAACCTTCTTAAAGGCATGACAATGCGGTTACTGATGTACCTTTTTGTTAGGCTTCCGAGTTAATTTTATAACTCAAGATTAAAGGCACATGGTGGTAAAATGAGAGTTATTTCATGCCTGATTCTTTAATTGTGGAAAATGTATGTTGCAATCGGAATATCTTCAATATCGAATTTTTCTTGTAAAAATGATGAAAGTTTGACCATTTGTTACAAGGATGACAGTCTTTTACAGACACTGTCAGAGAACGCATATAATAAACAGTGGCCGTGGTGGACAAAAAATCATACAATTCTCTAAACCAATACTAAGGATATGTGTAGTTCTTTGGGGCGATTGTATTTAAAGGATCTTACAATACCTACATGTACAGTATCCATTATTTAATGTGACAGTTTGGCTTTAACACAAATGAAATAACAATAATAAACAACACAAATGTTGAATTGTCATACATTTATTCCATCGAGTACAATTAGCACATGAATTACAATGGCAATGATGCTTTAAGTCAGATAACATGGAAAATGCAGTTTCTTAGCATTCACTATAATAATGACTTTTATATAACACAAGTGCCTTTATTTAAAAAATATAAACATTCTGTTTCCATAAATTAATCTATGCTTAAATACTGTATGTATCTTTAACTGTCATATTCTGCTGATATTTTTACAAATATAATTCTAATATTTTTTACAAAATATTATTTTAATATTTATACAAATATCACACTTAACTTTTTATTCAAATATCATTCTAACATTTTTACGATATAATTTTGATCTGATTTTATTTCAAATATCATTTTGATATTTTCACACATTTATATCTGATATTTTTACAAATATCATTCTTAAACCAAACCTTTTCAATTATCTAGCCATGACAATGTCATCCTATGTCACAATCAGCAGTTCTATAATAATTTTACCATTGAATGGAAATCACTGTAGACAAGAGTGGGGGGTATCATAGGGTGACTCAGTCCTCCTTTTACGTTACATTGCACACTAAGGTGACACCATAGCACACTAATGTGATACCATGTCACATCAATGAGACACCATCCCACACTAATGTGACACCATGGCACACTAATATGACACCATTGCACACTAGTGTGACACTAATGTAACACCATTACCATTACACACTAATGTGACACCATTGCACACTAATGTGACACCATCACACCAATGTGACACAAGTACACACTAATGTGACACCAATACACACTAATGGGATACCATTACACTCTAATGTGAAACAATCACACACTAATGTGACACAATTGTGCACCAATGTGAGACAATTTTCCTCACCCTATGGCACCCCCTTCCCCCGAATGATACCAGGTCTTGAATCTCTGATTTTACATATCACTGTGTGAATGCGAATACATATGTGCTAATATCATTTTTTATTGTATGTGTTACACTTTTCTAGTGTGCTACATCAAACTAACAAATAAATTGCACTTTATTCATAATTACATGTACTACTTTAATAATTATCATTACAAAATGGAAAACCTTAATCTATTGAAGAAAATATATATTTGGCAATGAATACCATACAAGCACACTGTGTCATCTTTAAGTTTAGCACTTAACATACAATATACTATAGTATGTCTAACACAAAGTCTGCACCCACCCATGTAATCCTTAAACACATATAGTGATAGGGAGGGGGGGGGTTAAGACTTCATACAGGACAAGACTAACACAACATTTATAATATCATCCATGTTTGGCCTTATAAGGTTGTCACTGTACTGTTTTCGGACACTGTATTTTTCAATAAGTTCTGATAAAACATTTTATTAATACTTATTGAGCACCCTGTATATTAATATACATTATGTACTATAGAATGTTTTATTTTATACATTCTGCACTGACTGTCATGACTTTTATTGCCCAATGAATGACTTTGGGCATTTATTGAGAGAGAGTGTATATCAAACTTTATTTAATCATACCAACTATCCTATGGTGAAATACTGGTCCTCATTTAGAGGTTTTAATACACCTTATGATACACCTTATAAGCTAAGTATAAAATACATCACTGATACCATTTAAGGGCTTTTACTTGGCATGTCAAGCTGCTACCATGCAAATATATCGTAAAAATGTATTACAATTTGTTGAGATTTGAGATTGGTGTCACCCAATATATTGTGCCAAATGGATATAAATGCTATAATTATAATAAAACACCATTGAATTTGAACTGAACTGACATCTATTTCAGTATTTCATGAAGACCAGTATTCATTCAAACCCTTTGGCAGAATTAAACAATTATTTTGGGAAAGGGCATAAGTGTAATTTTAATTGGACTACATAATGTATTACGCCCAGAATATGAAAACCAGTATATCACATCAACAATTAATCATCCATTTCCCATTCATCCATCATAAACTTTCTACTATTTAACAAAAATAAACTCTCAATCGTTTAATGATTTTAATATTCTAACAATATAAGGGACCAATAGTTTAACAATATTTTTCTTCTGAGATTAACAAATTCAACGTTTCCCAATTCTTCAAGGAAACATAACAAAATTCTTAAATTGTAAATCATGTTATGTATGAGAATTTTACCCCCTATGTTTATACATTTCTTTCTAACAACTATTACCACTGTTATTTCTCTCCAGATCATTTAAACAAATGTTCCATTTTTTTGATGATCCTGTATATACTCCCACTGTACTATACAGTATTACACAATACATCAAATGTACAGGGTGTCCCGAATTTATGCTGTATAACAATTTGGATTCCATGATTTCATTACAGACATCTGCTGTATGTTCCATCACTCTTTTATTTCAAGTACAAAACTAAAACAGTGAATTATACTGGGTGACTCAAAACTAGGTTTAGTTATTCAACAATTTCCCTCTGTAAAATACCTTCTTTCAGGTCAACCTGTATATGAGGACCTGATAGCGTTTCAATCATGTGGGGACATGTGCCTCATGTGATTGACATGAATTATGATAATACATTGCACAGTTGGAAATATAAAGCCAAGATACAACTATGTAATGTCAAGTAAATATCCACTGTAAAATGCTACACTAACACTTAAATATGTTGCCGTACATATATAGATAAATGCACATTTTTCCTAACTAACTAATAAATAAATAATCCATTTTAAATAAAATCTCCAAAGAGGTAAAACATCCCCAAAATGCACATGGGTACAACACATTTCAGTCCCAAAATGCACATTGCTTTGACACATTTCAGAGTTGGCTTACCCCTTTCTTTTAAAATATAAAGCACACAAGTATATCATTCACTGATCTTATTTATACTGTATATCATCTTTAAATTAAATACTATTAACTTCAACACTCTATTCAAAGTCTATAGGCTTCTTTTTGCTCCCCTTGCGCTTAAAACTCCCAGCCCGACCTTTCCCGATTGGATTAGATGCATGACGCAATCTTGTACCATTAGCCCCAGAATTCTCTGCATTCTCTTTGTCAGTTGGAGAATGCATACTTCCGATGCTCAAACTTGACATTGAGCTAGATAGATTCAGGTGCGAGTTTATCCCTAGTGAACTGGGATAGGGGTTATGCATGTCAAGGTCATCTCCAGGCAAACAGGTTTCAACCATCGCCTCCAGGCAGTTGACAAATAACTCCGCATTGTCCTGATTTTGTGGTGTCTGAAAGACAAATTGTACCTACGTATACCCATATATGGAGTATGTACCCTTATATGGAGAGTATAGGTGATGATGAGTCACCAAATGGTATTCATGACCCACCAAATGATAGTCATGAACCACCCAAAGTTGATCATGAACCACCTGCTTGTAGTTGTAAAATACACTATAGTTATGAACCTCTCAACCTCATTTCAATCATTTTCACTCAGTTGACAACATAATTTGTAAGGATTAAAGTATGGACTTGGACTCTACAACATGACGTTTAGAAGGTGGGTTACAATTTACGACATAAACAGTAGCTTTACATTAGTATATTTGTCTCTGATTGGAGACACAACACAATGGTTTCACAATGAACAATATAACCTTTGTAACATAGAGCAGCCACTTATACAAAAGTGAAAAACAATGATGCTGTACATATACATCAATCGTGGATTTGTCAACCATCAAGTGGCGTAATCGGAATCCTTGACTTTTGGCACAGGTTTACTGTCTAAACTTTTATGGCTTTTAATATCAGGAATTTCTTGGGAATGTAAGCTGCCAAAACTTGAACTAGAGACAGAGCTAGATAGATTCAGTTGAGAGTTTATCCCTAGTGAACTGGGGTAGGGATTATGCATGTCCAGGTCATCTCCAGGCAAACAGGTTTCAACCATCGCCTCCAGGCAATTGACAAATAACTGTGTATTCTCCTGATTCTGTGGCGTCTGGAATGAAACGATAGCATGCATTTAACATGAGGAGGTGACGTACATTACAAACACAAAGCATGATCGTCGACACACAGAGGCCAGTTTAACAAAAATACAATATGAATGAAATTCAAATGTCTGGTGATGTTACAATGGTAAAATCTTGAAGACCAATGGGATTTCATAAATGAATCGCAATATTTTTGAGAAACTGGCTCCCAAGAATCAGAGAATGCTTTCCAATGATATAATGCAATAAACAAGCTGAATATGATTAAATATGAATTTGAGAATACAAATATAAAGGAAAGGATCTTTATCTGAAAGGAATAAAAACCTTGCAACAATTAATACTGAAGGAAGAGAGAAGATATAACAACATTTATTTTCAAGAAAGTATGAGAGAAAATTACAAAATAGTCACAACATTACATAAAGAGGGGGTGATTTGAAAAGTACAATTACATGTACAAGTAAAATATATGAGAAAAAATGTCTTCCCTTAATCACAAAAAGAGACTCCCATCATGCATCTGGAACACCTGGGTACTTATTCTCTATTGGTCAAAGTAAAAGGTAGGTCAGGTGACCAGGAGCTCAGTTTACAACATTTGCTACCTCCTTTGCAAGTTTCCACATGATTCAAATTCACTGAGAATCAATGTGAGTGTATGAAAACTTTCCCACTGCCCCCCCCCATCATGTTCCAACTAACTGGATACCCCATAAATCCCAACTGGTCCTGAATCAACCTGACCCGTATTCCACCCATCATTTCACCTATATTCCACCCATCATTTTACCCATATTCCACCCATCATTTCACCCATATTCCACCCATCGTTTCACCCATCATTTCACCCATATTCCATCCATTGTTTTACCCATTTTCCACCCATCGTTTCACCCATATTCCACCCATCATTTCACCCATACTCAACCCATTGTTTCACCCATATTCCATCCATCATTTCACCTGTATTCCATCTATCATTTCAACCATATTCCACCCATCCTTACACCCATCTTCCACCCACCTCTATTACACACAAAGTCTGAGGGTATGCACAAATACATGTACAAACCTTAGTAAAAGGGCCTGCAAATCTCCAAAGTCCCCCAAAGCCTATACTCTGCAAGTAAGAGAGCTGTTGTTGGGCCTCCTCATTGGCAATCATGTTCTGTATGATGCTTTGGACAGCATTAAGGATCACCTGGTCATGGCAAAGGTTCAATACACTGTTAATCTTGGCATCAAGTAGAGAATGGCTGAAAGTGAGAGCAAAACATGTCAAGTGGGTATAAAATTCTCATTGATTGGTTGATAAAAATATGTAAATTCTCTATGATTTTTCTCAACTTTAAGTGAGTTAAATTAGGTTATCAAGTGCAAATGAATTTTCAAGTGAGTACAGGCCTATTTTAAATCTCAACCTCTTTTTCTATAATACAAATAAGCTATGATGAATGTAAACATATGTACTGAAATAATGTAGTTATCCAATGGATAATCTGGCCTCAAGCCCTTGTGAGTCCCCCTACACATAATCCGCACCTCGGGGGGAAGCAGATGGTGAGGGTTGTTCAGGTTTGGACTTAATGCAGACTTGATACTCAATTACACATGATCTACTCAATTACACATGGTCAACTCAATTACACATGATCTACTCAATTACACATTCTTTACTCAATTACACATGCTCTACTCAATTACACATGCTCTACTCAATTATGCATGATCTACTCAATTACACATGTTCTACTCAATTACACATGCTCTACTTACATGACTGGGAAAACCTTTGGGAAAACCACTGATGCTTCAGCTAAATATTCATACAAGATTCTAGCCTCATTTTCATCTGTCGTATTACGAACTAGCGTGGCCTGAAAATGCAAGGTACTTTTAAATGGAAATAGCAAAATTTGAGTGCACTTTTTTTAGAGATTGAACAACTTTTGGTTTGAGTAATTAAATTCTATGTGAAGTATTATAGTATTTATCATTAACAGCATACACCAGATGATTTTTCCCACTATTTTAATTGTTTTTCGAAGATATAATAATATTTCCAAAATGTTTAGTTTCAATAAATGGTTATCGACCAGTGTTATATATGTAAGAAATGTTTACATTTAATTTGATGTGTACATAGCAAACATTTGTCAAGACAACTTACAAGAACAGTAAGTAGCAACGCCTGAGTTGGATAATCCACTAAGATCTCAGGATCAAGCAAGATGTTACTCTCGTTTGACGTTGATCCCCTGGCAGCCCGATCTTTTGGTATATCACCCTCTTTAACACCCCCGGGAACTTCCATACTTTTCTGTGTCTTTGGAGTTGGCATCGAGCTGCTCCGTTGTGTTTTAAATAGAGGCCGCATTGCTGATCCGGAGCTTGTTGGGGTGGTGCCGCCTCCACTAGAGCTATTGGAACTCGGGACTGTCGGTTGCATGATGGGAGTTGGGTCTGAATCGAGACTTTTTGATTGCAGCCAATTTTTGGAGTTGTTTACCTGAGAAATATATGTACATAATTAGTGTAATGTCATGAAATCAATTTCTATTTTTCAATCACAGCCATTTTTCAAATTGGTGTTGCTTTATGTGAACTAAATCTGTATTTTTATTAATTCTGAAGAATAAATGGAATTCACTAAAATTTTGATACTTGACAAATGTTTTCTTAAATAAATGTAAAATAAAATCTCAGTTATTTTCTCATAAGAATTTTTATTCCAAGACTTGTGAAATCCAATCATAATATGACATTCATTAATTGTGCATAGTTGTCAAAAGAAATGGTGGCTCGAATGAGAATTAAAGGATTCCATGGTGCATTTAAAGTTCTGCAATTTATAGATAGCAACTAGCTTAATGCAGCGCAGCTACCCTAGCTTAAGCTTTAGTAGCTTAGTTGGTAGTGCATCAGGTGTTTGCTCCAAGGGACATTTTTTCCATGCCTGCTTCTGGCTTGATATGCTACACTCTGCACTGGTCACTCCCAAGAAGGCGTTCTCATATTATAGCAGTAATTAGGGTGGGCTACATTCATAGGGTTAATTTACCTAATAGGATGGGGGTGAGGTCAATGGATTCTAAAGGAACACAGTGAATCTATGGGAATTTTATGGGAAATGCATGGGATATACAGCTGGAATTGTATACAAATATATGGGATAAGTGTTGTATCAAAATGCTGGTTTTAAATCTACATTTAGGATTATATTGTACAAATTGGTAAGTATTTCTTTAAAATATCATAAATGAGAGAATATGATAATTGTATGTCAATGATACTTTTAAGAAATGGTGTGTAATACTGGAATTAAATTCATCAATTTTCATGTTTTCATTTGCTGAATGCAAATTTTGGAAATCGCAAAAATAATGGCATATTTTTACAACATGATGGATGGCATAGGGATACGTAGGATGTTCATATGACAATATCTCAGTTGTCATGGTATTTCAATGTTGTCAGATATGTCAATGATCTTTCCCCAGAATTGAGGCAAGTGGACATTTTACCCAATTATGCTTTGAATTTTGAGAAACAAGTTTGCACATGACCGAAAATTGATTTTGAAACAAGGCAAAATCAAGAAAATGCCAGGAATATGTTGACCAGCTGTAGGACTGAAAAATAGAATTTTCATAAACTGATTTTTTCTCACAGAATGACAACTCTGTAATGTAACTCTTCTGAGCAGTTTTTGCATATCTTGGAAATTCTGAACTTTGCACTTTTCAAGTGTTTTTGTATCACCATGACAACCATGATATTTGACCTCTGTTGCTGGGAAACAAGGTTTGTACTGGTTATGTTTTCAGTAACATTCACAAAAACTTTGAAGGTAGAGGGAATTATAATGGCATCATTAGCCATATGCCAAATGACACAATAAAGACAGTGGAAAGAAGTATTCTTTGCCACAATCTTTTTAAATTTTGTGAATGTTGCGGAAACTATTTTCACTGAGACATATACTATACAGTGATCATATACATGTTCACGAAAATAAACTGTAAACCCAATAACAGTTCTTTCAACAAAATGTATGATTCCTCTCCAAACATCCGAATCGATCAACATCAATGGAGGTTCGCCTTTGGCAAATTATAGCTCAGGCCTGGATATCGATACAATCTTTAAGAAGTAAAATTCTTCTGAAATAAGTAGCCTAAAATGTCACTAGGTTTACAGTATATTTTCTTCACATTCAGCTATGTCTAAATTCTCTAAAAGCCTAGATAAAAATAGCTCATACCTCCTGTACATCGATTCATAAAAAACAAAGAAGAAATGAAAGAAATTAGTTTAAAATGAAAGTTATAGGACCTGAAGAACCATATCAAGATATGTTTTGTGAAACTATGTTAATAAAGGTGAGATACCCCCTCCTCTTTAAGTAAATCTGCTGAATCAAATAATGAAGTTCCATAATTGCATCAGTTCAATGTCCATCTATCAGAATGAGAAAAATGAGTGAGCCACTGATATTCAAACCTGCCCCTTAGTATAGAAAACATGCAGTTGGATGAGAATGATGTTTAGCTTCAAGACAGATAAAACCACTTTCTTGGTTATATGGTATTGGATTCAAATACTAAAAGCATCTTTTGATGTTTTTGCTATAATGAAGAATTAAGTGTACAAAAAAATAAAGCAAATAAAATTGGCGAGTGGAAGATATTATAAAAAGTAGAAAATGGGAGTCAAATGACAAAATGATTAAAAAAAGTTATTTTCATATCACAACCATACCATACCTGGACTTGTTGCAAGTGTTGATTTCTGGGTACTCGGGCACTTTGCATTGCACTCTGGTCCAACTGATCCCAGCTCTTTTGTCTGCGAGTGAGAGGCGTGGCTTGACCTGAAGGGGCGGGGAGTGGAATAGGTTGGCCACTCCCACTTGTGATTTGAATGACAGGTGCTGCCAGGTCTACACTAATGCTGTCATTAGAACAGGATTCTGGGAGTGTGGTACCTACTGCGTGCTGAAGGTGACATCTACTGCGAACCTCCTCTGACACTGACACGAGCGCTGGAAAAATATTGAACAAAATACATGTACAGTAAAACTTGTCTCATCCACATGGCATTTGAACCAGCCAAGTGTTCCGAGTGGCAGATGTTAACATTTAGAATTTTTTTCACATTGAAGGCTTTGGCAAATTAAACAAGATGTTAATCTGCAAAATGTCACCACCTGCCATTTGTTAAAAACACTGACTGCCAAACGCTGAACACAAACCAGCAAATGCCAAACACCAAGTGTTTTACAATGCACCAATGATACATGGGCTTTATTATGAGGCACCATGGCATAAATAGAATTTTATCAAAAATAATAAGTTTGTTATTACCTGCGAGGTATGGAACACTCTGAGGAGTTACTTCAAACTTATCTCTCTTGTAAGACTTGGCCACAATTGACAGTAACATGTTCAGCACTCTTACAGTTCTTGATGCTGTGTTGGAGCTAGGGTGCCTAAAACCTACATACAAAAAATAAAGAATTGAGAAAACACACTCTGAATCCCAATCAGGCTTTGCTGCTGTTCTTGAACCAAATGAAACATTCTGGACTTTGGCAAAAGAGTTGGAATATCAAGTAATAGATCACCCTGGGCTGAATGTCCCTATATAATATACACACTGATATGTCTTTATGTTAATGAGTACTTGTATATTCATGTACATGTGAGTAGTTAATACTGAAACATTCTGATGTAAATGAGTACAAATGCATTCATTGTGAGAACTGATTCATCTTTATGTAAATGAGTACTGTATCTGAGTAGCTATTAAATACCGACATGTGTTTATGTAAATGTGTACTGTATCTGAGTAGCTAGTGAATACTGATATGTATGTATGTAAATGAGTACTGTATCTGAGTAGCTAGTGAAAACTGATATGTCTTTATGTAAATGAGTACAGTATCTGAGTAGCTATTGAATACTGATGATATGTCTGTATGTAAATGAGTACAGTATCTGAGTAGCTATTGAATACTGATATGTCTGTATGGAAATGAGTACAGTATCTGAGTAGCTATTGAATACTGATATGTCTTTATGTAAATGAGTAGAAAAACATTCATATGACAGTGAATACTTACTACCTTTCAGCAAATGTCCAACTGTGGCAAAGTTGAAGTTATCTTTGAAGCTTAGTCCCATTGAATGGTCCAACTGTTTGAAGAACCACTCCAAAGGTTCCCTCGTTGTCATCATAATCTGCTCCAAAGTCTACAATCCAATAACCCAAAAAATTAAAACTTCAACCAAATGATTGAGGATAATCCAAAAACATAACCACTCTACTATACCTAAACACCTAGAAGTGCATGAGATACCCTGTTTGTCTTATTGTATTGTTTAGTATATTTTTGAAAGTACCCTATAACATCTAACAGTCTTCCGATAAACCATTCCAAGGAACAGACAAATAAAAACAAATAACATAACATAATCATTACTAATAAGCCAAATGGGTTGCTCATGAACACCAAATGCAAGGTATAGTAGAGTGATAACATGTGCAGAACTGTTACATGTACTTATCAAGAAATCAATTCAGACGATTTAGAACATTTTGTTTAACATTCAGTAAAACGCATCCTACGGAATGCCTTTTTGTAAGGAATACTGTCTGCTTGTAAGAAACAAGACATTTCTATGTTAAACCAATATACCTGATTGTCAAAGACCTTCTGGCTGTCTAGTGTATGTAAATTCTGCTCTAAGAGTGCTAGCCCCGAGGCATAAAGGGACACTTCATCTAGCTGTAGCACAGATATAGCCACCCAGAATAGATGTCTGTGTATAGGGGAATCCTGGAACAAACAGAGGAGGGGAATAATAATATAATAGGTTAGCTAAGGGGAATAATTATTATATTTAACAGGTTAGATGTGCTGGGGGGTACACTTATATTTACCTAGGTTAGTTTGGTTGAAGGTACTTGGTTTTGTGAAGTTTTGTAAAATATTTTTTATTATTTTTTATTTCAATTCAATACATATTAATCTTTACATATAAGATGATGTACAAAAAATTAACCTGGTGCATATGTGTTTAAGATTGGTGATATCACTCCATGACACAACACATAAAAATATTTCTTAATAATTCCAATATTCTGATTGGTCATATCATTTTCATGACACGCCACATGCCAGTTTACCTGGTGTAATAAGGGCTGAAGCCTTGTGAGACACATCACTATGGCATCAATCAGAGTCAGATCTGTGTAGGACTCCAGCGCCTGGAAACATGATAATGGATAAATAATAAATAAAATAAAATGGATAAATAATAAAAGAACTATAATGAACATAATGTTTAGCCTTTCATGACTCATTAATAGTACACTATTACATTGAATTAATTTACTTCACAGAAAATTGTAAAATGGAAATATTGACCTCATTTTATGCTTGCTTTATGAATGCATATTAGTAGAACAATTTCAGAAATGGTCAAGTGCCACTTCACAAAATCCAAATCCCATGCATAACATTCAGTAAATCATGTCAAGCATGTTTCAAAACTAGTTTTACTATCAGCACTCGTGTAAGAATTTCGAGCCACTTTAAGCATTAAAGCTGCGATTCCCACATGGGGCATTGAATTCAGCACATTCCATTTTACATCCAGTATCTCGGCACTTGTAACATTTGTTAGGGTTACCTTTTTGACTCACTCTGTTAGTTGTCCATGTATGCACAACTTGAAATTGTGAAAGTTTAAAAAATGAATATGCACACTATACAATTAAATGTCACTTCCTTATTCTGGAATTTCTTGAGTATTTTGAGAAATGATTTGACAAAAGCAAATTCTCAACCTATTGTTCACTTCTAAAATGAATTTAAGAATACTTTATGAAACAGACTACATTATATTTAAAGGGTGACGCATATCGTTTAGCAAATCGAACGCTCGTTTCTGGTGTTGCTCACCGTTTAGTATAAAAGGCCCGATCCCGGAATAATACTCAAGGGTTCACAGGTTCGAGGTCGTTGTGTCAACACCTCTTACTGTTATATAGCATAAGTATATTATAGATCGTCACACATTTATAAAAGGGTGATTTTTATTTTGACAAATCAATTCCACATTTATGGGTGAAGTTTCAGGATCTTCTATTTGTGTATAATAAGGAAAAATTGGCATCTAAATTTCCCCATAACGTAATAGCACACAGCTTGGCATATGAAATATCCTACAAACAAAGCAAGACAAACCGGTTTCTAATACAAGACTTTATATTGGCTGTTGTACATGTATTATTTGAACGCAATCACTCTTTGGATAACGTTTTCAAAATCATTATAAACGGATTACTTTATCTCAAAGACAATTTCAATAAACTGGATTTTACAGAACTCCCCTTATTTCTTAAAAATGGACTGATCCAGTTGATTCGCCTGGAGCCGCCATATTGTTTTTATACGGGATGCTAATCGGAACCCTTTAAGTGATAAGCTCTGGTTTGAACAGTTAGTACAAGTCACTCAGAACCAGGCACGTCGTGTTACAATAAAAAAACAATGGGGGTAGGGGGTCAAGCAGATTTTTGTTACAAACTTTTGGATAAATGCTATATAAACAAACTGAAAGCCACACTCACAAAATCCACCTTGACCAGGATCCTCAATAACTGTTTGATCTCAGAGTCTGTCACAGTTTTACTGATGCACCCGTAAACTATCACTGCCCTGGGTTGGAGGGCTGGGTTGTATTGGAAGGCAAATCTGAAATAAAATCAACATAGTTTATAACATGATAAGTCTGGTACAACGTTTTGATACAGCTAAATGCAAACAAGTTCATAATGTTATGATAACCAAAAGGAGTTCATCTAGTCAAGTTAACAAATTTAACCTACTATTTTTACCTTAAAAGTAGATCAAGTCGACCGAGATCAACTCAACTCAAGTTAATTAATTGTACATGTGCAATAAACAGAAAAAAGATGTCCAGAAGTGGTGAGTAAATGAACATGTTACAGATTATTAATATCATCACCCAGTCAGGGGATCGCTCTGGTGATTTGAATAAAAATACAAATAAATCAGCCTTTAAAATGCTATAATTCATTCTCATGTTTTGTGATTTTGGCTATAGTATTTCATAACATTGTTTCCACTATAATTTCTGCTTCTACATTACATACCTCTTGGCTAATTCTGTCCATTGCTGCAACCATTCACAGTTCCTCCTATTGCTCATACAGGCCTGGAGTAGAAACAATACAAGCATAATACATACATATAAAACCTTCTGATCTGAACAGTACTGGGACTGACCGAAAGTGTTCAGATTAGTAGGGTTCATATTTTAAGTTCTTTTAACATGGTGGTCAGTGGGAGAGGTGGAGAAGAGGTGTTCACAATGAGATGTGTTCAGATCAGAGAGGTGTTCAGATATACAGGTTTACTGTAGTCTATCATTCTACTTTGGGCTAAACATTGAGCAATTGTAAAATTTGGTGCTACATAAAGAGTATTTCATAATAATTTGATATTATATAAATATGTGTAGAATAGGCACAGTTGTCTTCTTAATATCTTTAACGCAACTCAGATAAGATTAATCAAGCAATAGTCCTTATACTTCACATTTTATCAGTATAAATCAGAAGTGTCCATTGGCCAAGATCCCCGGAATTAAGCAATAGCTCTGTCTTTCATGACCAACAACGATTTTATCCTATAAGCACTCACCTCCATTATCTCTAGCAGGGCATCAGTCAGCGTCTCCAATGACAACAGAGAAAGCCTCTCCTGCTCTGGGGGCAGGTACGAGAATGATTTATCTCCCGGCCTATAGGTGGATCTGAAGGCACTGACAGCTGCAGATTTCACCTTGCTAATACCAAATAAGGTATAGAACTTTGGAAGAGAGAATTCAGTCAAGCTCAGCTTTAGGATTCGAACAGTTTCCTCTGGAATGTAATATTTAAACATGTTATTTATAGTGTTATAGTTAATTGTTATGATGAACAGATGGATGAATTTGAGAGCCAAAAATGCACATATAGAATAATACTTCTGACTTTTTTTCAATTGATGGTATCTCAAGACTGGTGTACCTTAGATGTTTTCTTTTTCTTGTGTTCGCTTTTGGTCCTTTCCCTTTAGTACTTGTGCATACATATTCAGATAGAATGTAAGAATGTATTAATGCAAACTGAGAATACTGTACATACCTGTGAAATCTGAGCATGTACACAGGGAGTGTATGATATTGATGACTAGACCGTGGGTAGACGCCCGCAGAGATAGGGGACCTGTTGCTACTAGCAACGTCACAATGTGAAACAGGAATGGCAAATGACTAGCAACTGAAAAAAAGAAAAATATTGTATTTTAAAAAGTATTGTGTTGGACATGATTTAGTCTACTATAAAAAGTGTGTAGTCTGTTTTGCAGTCCTGCAAACTAGTTGGGCTCCAATCCATACTCTTGTACCAAATTAGTTATCAAATGTGGTTGTGTCATTCCTCTCTCACACTTTTTTAACTGGTGTGAAACAACAGTATAAGCTGAAAAATTCTCTCTGGGTTACACTTACATGACAATTGTGAGAATATATGTGTTTTTTATTTCAAACTTACAGACAATGACACAATAGTTTTGGTAATTTTTGTTCACCTTAAGCCCCTAATCAACCTGGCCACTTAACCCCTTAGCAACCATACCAATTATCACCATGGCAACTTACCATCCAGTGAATTGTTGAATGACAACATGAGGAGATATCTTGCTAAGATTGCAATGTCTTCCCACATGAGATGCTGTTCCAGTGTAGAAGTTGGAGTCATACATGTTTTGTCAATCAACTGAAATAACATGTAAATAGTATGTAAATAACATGTAAATAGCATGTCAATAACATGTACATATCATGAAATAGGGTGTAAATAACATGCAAAATGACTTTCAAATAAAAAAGGCAGCTTAAACAACATCATTCCTCATGATCACACTTAAATGTCCCATGGAAAGTTTAAAAATATGTCTTTATCATTCATTTATTATTTGTATCACTTAAGGTATTTTAAAAATTTTGGGGAAAAGGTTATAACTTTATGCAGGGCCTTGAACCTTGAACAGTTCTTGAACTATTCTGATATATTTCTAACATAACATGAACATGCTACAATGTAATGACTTACCTTGCACAATCTACCTATTACTTTACTGGAGACAAGTTGTACATTGGCAGAGGCGAGTGCGACTGCTGTGTCTGCCATTATCTCAGCCTGTATTGAGCCAAGACCACCCGTCAAACTACGTTTTATGAAACTGTCTAGCACCATGTCAAGCAGGTCAGACACCTGGAATATAATGAGATAAAATAGTTGAAAGGACGATTCTCGGTTTGGAGAACAGTCTCCTGGGCTTATAATTTTTTTCATGAAAAATATAGAAATATTACCCAAATTAAACTATGAATTTTCAAAAGAGGACATTTAAATCTACAAGATGTAAAAATAACAAATTGGTCTGAAGCAGGGATAACGCTCAATTAGACCGATTCAATAAAATACAAGTCTCCATTTTGGGGAAAGAAGTTCATCAGTGTACTGCGCTAATATATTTTTGCGAAAAATCTAGAAATATTACCCAAATTAAATTATGACTATTCAAAAGAGGACATTCAAATCTATATTATGTAAAAAAATCAAATTTGTCCGAAGCAGGGATAATGCTCATTTAGATTGATGAACTTCGTTCTCCAAACCGAGAATCATCCTTTTCATAACAAGGCATTTAGATTCCATCCCTGCACTAATCGAATCATTTTATTATGGAGTATGGTAACTGAATTTAGTACCAAGAAGCTTTATGTAATACCATAATAACTTAAGTACCATGATAACTTTTTGGAGTACCATAATAACTTTGGGTAACCAGCATGGGTCACTCTAACCTAGAGGCAAACATAAAATACCAAAGAGTATTCAACGATATTCATTACACATTTAACTAATGTAAGAATTCATGGTTCTACACCTACCTGCCCAATATTGCCCCAGATCTTGGCTTGTATGGAGGGGTACATTTCCACCTCATCTATTGTCATGGTAATGAGCTTGTCAAGGATCAGAGACACCTTTTGGCGTTTATTGTCATCACTATGCTTACAGAACCTAAATTGAAAATACTTTAAACATACGTGTACAATTGTTAAGGCCATGCAGCATAGTTACTCATTGCAGAATTTTACAATTAATTACAAAAACCTGGGGAAAAGCAAGTCAGTTGTCTCAAGAAAATAACCAACAAGGCACTTAGTATAGGAAATCATCTTGTTTTAGCAAGATAGAAACTTTTGCACTTCAAAGCATGTCATCCTCTAAACACTGGGCTCAAGACATCATCCACTAAAAAAAAAAAATGTTCCTTCCTTTGAAGAAGGAGGTATGAGGTCTGGAGGCCTGTGTTCAGAGGATGAAAGAATACATCCCTTGATTGGATTCTTACCTAGTGAGATTCGGCAACCAAGGGGTCATATACTCCAGACACAAGTGCTTCATCTCAATGTTAGAGTTCCTAAATCCTTGGATGCATTCCTCCAGGAACTCAAGGGTCAAGTGAGGCTCATTTGCTGCCAGTTTGGAACTTATGGTCTTGATGAAGATTGTGTTGTTGGATGGGATACACAGACCTAAAATAAATATGTAATGAAGCCATTTATGTTTTTATTTAATAGAGCAAAAAATATATAAGTTTCTTGAATACGTACAATGGGGTATATTCTGACATATCTAAAGTATGAAATCAATTCAAACCATTTTTGATTCCGGTATTTAGGTCAAAGTCTGTCACAAATTTAGTATGCAACATGTCACAATTTGCCATTTGTTATATATGACAACACCAACTGCCAAAAACATCAACCGCCAAACGCTGTCCACAAAAAAGTTGGAGACCATAGCAATATTGAATATATGTTACCACTGTGACATAACAAAGCAACCCAGCAGAGTTTTATTTATAGAGAGATTTTGTTCATTTGTTTAAAAATTGATGAGTTTGTAAAAAATAATCTATTCTAATATCACAGGTCTCTTTTTTAGAATCATGAGTGATATTACCAGGATATCTACTCACCAGAGGTCTCTAGCAGTTGGCCCTCTATTCTGAGATCAAAAGTCTGTGTGAGCGCACACAGGAGATTGTAAGCTGCGGATCTGAGACTTGGGTCAGAACTTCCTAGATTCAAGAGAGCCACATTTAGCAAAGTTCCAGGAACATCCTTTGGGCGGATCTTTGTATGAACAGTGACTGAATCCTGTAAAACAATGATATGTAGGTGACCCCCAGGCGTAAGGCAGCCATTGCTTCACAAAATCGATATGGAAAATCTACAGCACATCTGTAGGTTATCCCTATATTTTATGCTGCATATTTTTCTTGATTTTGGAAAGCTACAGCCGTCGTATGGTTGTAGTAGATAAAATGTGACTGAGGCATTAAACTTACTGGTTGTGAGAGTTCCCATCTGGTCCTGATGTGAATGATAGCTTGGACAATACTATCACAGTCATTGTGGATGAACGACAGTGGTCCACTCTCATTGGATATTGTCAGCGTGAATTGGTTGTCATCTACGAGACATACCTGAAATGGAATAACATGGACTATAAACAAAGGATCACATTGCAGATATAAAGAACAGGGATCACTTTTAATTTGATCCTTTGTGTTTTTCCAATCGTATAACATGGACTGTGTATTTTCAAATATACTTCTAAATTCCAATCTAATAGAGAGAAAAAATAAAACTATGAAGTAATATGCTAGAATCAATGACAAATTTTTGTGGAATTTTTTATATAACATATATTCGTATATTTTATTCTAAAATAAGCCTTAAGAGACATGACGATGAAGTGGACACAGCTTCTGTTTATTGCCTCATTATAACCCATTTGATTTTCCAATGGATTTTCCTAAATGTGTCTTCATTAACTATTATACACCTAAATAAATAAACTAGAGGTTCTACTGTACCTCTTCTATCTCTGAGGCGTAGTATACATCATTTAAGAGAACAGAGTGTCCCAGGACCTTGCTCTTCTCTGAAGATGTCACTTGGATTGCATTTGGCCCAACCTGTAGAACATAAGCAACATATCATTTATTTATATAGTACAGAGTGGCCCAAGACCTTGCTCTTCTCTGAAGATGTCACTTGGATGGCATTTGGCCCAACGTGTGGTAGATAACAAAAATTATTTTATTAAGTTATGTCAAATTACAAATATAGACATGTTGATGAGTGGGACCAGCTAGCAAAAGATTCTAGAATTAGAGGTTATGTCACTATCGTGGCATATATGCCCGAGGTCTCAGTGATATATGGCCCGACCTTGGGAGGGACATTGATCTCTGAGAACCGAGGGTATATGTGCCACGATAGTGACATAAACGATTTATAACATACCTATGATGATGTAGACTGGTCAGAGAGTACCGTTTTCTTATAGAATTGACAAACAAATGGTTTGAAAATGATTGAAATGAGTTTAGAAAATTGCTCGCGCAGTTTTATCTTCGATTGATTGGTTATGACGTCAGCGCCTTGACCAATCAGAAAGTTAGCGGGCGCGGGCTTTTCAAAACTTATATTGGCCCGCTGTCTTGTGTACACTTTGCACTATACATCATCATAGGTATGTTATAATATTGGATACATTACATTAATTGCAAATTTTGTGACACTTTCAGGGCTTTATGACCCTCTCTATCCAACTTAACTGACACACTCTCTCACCTTGATTGCAACTTTGGTGTCTTTATGTGAAAGCTTCAGGGCACTTATGAAGACTTTCAGGTCTTCTTCAAGGGACAGTGTTGCACCTGGAAGCTTCTGGTGGTCTGCATTGATGTATTCTGACAACTTGGCTGGATGGTCAATGAATATCAACTTTCTGTTGTTCTGCAATTACAAAGTAGACAGATAAAAATTGAAAGTGCACATCATGTATGAAGCAGTTAAAATAGAAGGTCGACAAGTATTTTTGTTAGTACCTCAGTGTAAATACTTGCATCTGATTGGTCAATTAGAGGTTAACAGTTTTGCCTGCACCCCACCTGTGCATCATGGGATATGCTATTATTGGCCGCCCTTTGTTTTATGGGTATACAGTATGTGACTGTACTATACGACACTTGTGAATTATGGGATTGTTACTGAAAAACATTTGTGAATTATGGGATAAATGATGTCAACACGGCATTTATATCCAATATCCTAAGCCTCGTGTAGGACAATCTCTCTATATCCACATACAACCTTAATACAGTTGTCAACAGGTGATATTTTGTAGTAGACTTAATTGATCTACTAATGACACAGAAATTCACGAATTTCATCCAGAGAGGAATCATATGCACTGAGCTGTGTCTCGCTTACCTGGCCTGTTCTTAGAGGGCTGAGGATTCGCTCATGGTACTTGGTATATTCCCGCACCCACGAGTTGCAGTTATAGATGTATGCAGACACGATATTCTGATAAACAACCTCTGGCATCACTACAAACCACTTGGACAGGAAATCAGTCTGGAAATAATTCATAAACAGGCAATTAGCTTATCATTTTTAAAGTTTCCAAATGACTTTGTCTTATGTTTTAAGAATGTCATTTTATTAAGAGTAAGACAGCACTTCCATCCCAAGCCCTTCCTCAATAAAGCGAATAGAAATTAAAAATACATAACCTCCAGGCAACATTACCTCCCCTTGGAATATGTGTTGCATGTTAATACCTATGTGCCTAAAACTCAACCTGAAGCAGAGGTCTATGGCAAGTCAAAATTGTTAGAAATGAATCAGTATTTTTTGTGGAGTGAGACCTAACTGCTAAGTGATAAAAACAGACACAAGTCTAGTACTCACCCTGAACCTGTTGTCAGCGCAAGTGTGTGTGAAATCTATGACTAGTTCAAATGGTTTGTGGTAGAATGGTTTCAGGGTCAATAGCACATGGTAGATGAGAAGGTCTCCATTCACCTCACCAACTCTGGAAAATGTATATATTTTTGTAAATTCTATTGCACAGATAAACATCCATGATTTTGGAACCTGGTCAAACCATGAATAAAGCTGTCACAATCCAGCATTCAGTGCTTATCATGGTCAGTTTTAAATGCCTAGCATAATCATAACCACATGGTCTACTACAAGATAAATCGTATATCCATTACTTCTGGTGATAATCAGATAATCATTTATTCACTCATTTGTAATCCAAAGGATAATTAAATATTAAAAATTGTGATAGAAGAGCTGATTGAGTGAAGAGTTCCTGGATTGAAAACTGTTAAATAAATTGTCTTCATTACAAAATGTATATGAAAACCAACAATCACAAACTCAACTCAAATGGCCAGTCATTCTATCCATCAGTTTTATTATCAGCATCTACAATGCACAAGGACATGAAAGTAATTAACGTTGCATGGCCTTACTTGTATCTCCTAGCAATATAGTAAAAGACAGGATTTCCTTGTTTGCTTGTTCCAGCCTGGTAGAAAATATTCAGAGATTTCAACGACTTGAACTCATCCTTCTCGTGCATGTTATGTTTTGACATAATCTCCTCAAATTTTGTACTTGTCATATCCATACTGCTCCACCTGGTGAGTGAAATAAATTAGTATTAGTGTGACATCTAGTGGAAATATCTTGAACTAAAACAAAATTAAAGAATACTGCTGACTGAATGATGAATATTTTGGAAAATTTTATAAAATTTCATTATTTTAAAGTTTTATACCATGGATGACTTATTTGTCAGAGGGCTGAGAACATACACATGTGCTAATACAGCCATTGATACAAAAGGCCTGACATGTTGGAAATACTCAGGAAAGGTATTTGTATGAACTTTCTTCACAATATTACAGACAACATATATAATACACATTACACAAGACAATAATCATTAAGGTAGGTGGAGTTGAACAGATAATCGATGTGGAATTTGTTCTACTCTGCCCACCTTAATTCCACAATATTATTACAGTACTGTACCTGATGCAGTAGTTTATCCTATGAAGCAGTAAAATAAAATATTCAAATTAACCCAAGGGATTTCATTTGACTTTGAGCATTCTGATTTAAAGCAAGATTTATATCTCAGAGTGAACGCACTAAATACCCATTTGATAAAAACTGGCATTATATGCTGTTCATTTTTCACTGTATACTCTCTCTCTAATCTTTATTGTGCATTGTAAAATATGAGTATTGAAAAATTTCATATTTAAAATCTGATTAGCTAGAAATTTATAGAGCTTTCTTTAAGATAGACCAATTAAGATTTCTGTTATGAAAAACTTACTGTGAATCTAGAGGTCTGTGCTCGGGAGGGCCTAGATATGCCAGTAAAGTAGCCATCTTGTCAAAGGGTCTTCGTCCAACAGCTTTGTGGTCTCTGACAAAACAGAAATAATGAAATAAATGTACGATTCAAGTCAAAATAAAGGTGTGAAATGGTTTTAGCTTAACATAAGGGAATAACACAGAAATATTTTAAATACACATATACTGTTAAGCTAAAAGGTTCTTACATACGCTATCTGAAAAGCAAGTTTCAATTTATTTATGTCTGTATGGAGTGAGATAGATCTAATAAATTCAAAATTGAGATGCATCCTTCAATTCCAATATTGTGTAAATGTTAAAATACTTACCGGCTACTTGACAGATAGTCTCCAATCCTCTCCTGGTTTATCCATAGCAGTCTGTGAAGGGCAAGAACATTGGCATCACTGATGAATGACATACTATGGTTGGAACTGTCTAGGGTCTCACAGTCTGAAGCTATGTCAATGAAGAATCTGCAAGTAAAGATCACATATGGTAAACCATGTTCTGAATTCAATAGGCAAGCAATATTTTCTTACTTCACGATGGAGTATTTTCAGATTTTTGTCCATTTATGATTCGAAGAATTATCAATTTGCAGCAGCAGACTAATGAGATTAAATATGACATAATACTCTTGATAAAAATTCCCCCATTTTGAAGCACTTAAAATGTGATCTTAATTAGTCTTTTTGTCATAAATCTTAACCTATATACCATGACGGGATTATTCCCTTAATGTTTGGCATGCTTAAATAAAGTTGTATACACTGAGAAATGAATAAAGCAACATATTTCATTGTTGTAAACTTGCACGATAGTTTTCCAAATTTAAGCATAAAATATATTTAGCAGGCCTACGATAACTATTGCAAACAATGCATCATAAAACAGTCGTTAAGCATCATTCACTCAGGGGGAGTAAAGTGATTACTCCCACTTTGCTCCTACTCCCTACCACCCCCCCCCCCCTACTCCCCCCTGCCCTACTTACCTTCTACCAGCATCAAAGTTTGTCTGCAGAAACTGGTTGAAGTATCTCATATGTTGCTCCTTGGTGAACTGCACATGATTGGCTATATTCTGCATGATTTTGCACATCAGTGTCAGGCCACGTTTCATTCTGGGTGTTGGTTGTTGGTCAATGATCCCAGATTCACATGGAGACACTAAAGGAAAAGGACATTTTGTGTATAGGACATTTTATGGAATACATATGGCATAATGGTTTGCATTTTATATATCCTATGAACTGGTCTTGAAAATTTACTACTGACATTTTTTTTCTTTTTTGTATTCCACTATTTTAATAAAGTTTTCAATTCAAGTGAAAATATACATGTAGATGATGTACAGCTTTTAAATTTTTAAACTATCTCAATTCTTTCAATAAAATAGTTTCTCTGTTTAAAGTAACATTATATCAACATTCAATTCCTAGATTAACAGAAATGAATACAGTATTTTTATATTCATATAGTTGAATGCACATTCTACATTTACATGTATATGTTATTTAGAGTCATATTTGTGATTAATGCTTTAAAAATGAGTGAGAAAAGTAAATAAATGATTATATTAGTTGAAACTGCTCCAAAGTCCATACGAATACTAGTGACGTGGATATGAGGTTATTCGAAACATCAAGGTTGTTCTATGTTCCAAATACATTTCAAAGGTAGCGAGTTCGAGTAGACACATTTTATGCTATGAACATCAATGTACGGTATGTGTTTGACCTTACAAGAGCCATATTTAGTGATTGTAAATAAATTATTCCAGGCCAACAAATGAAGCACATCCATAGTAAGTCCATATAGGCCATGTAGACCATGTATTTGTTGGGTTGTTTATCACTAGGGATTCAACAATACAGAATCACATTCAGTTGAGGAATTGACTCAGACTGCACATGCCTCAAGGCATCCAACACACAGGCAAGAGATAATGTCCATTTATCAACAGATGAGGAAGAAGAAGGGGTAAACAATGTTTTTTTTACGAAGAGTGTTGAACTTTTGAATAGAGTACAGAGAGGCAATGTCGTCCATTTGGGTAATTGTCACACAAATGACTGCATACACTGAGTGTCTGACAATTACCTACATGGATGACATTGCCTCCCTGTCCTCTAATCAAGTGAAAGACAATTAACATTTCAAAATTTTGTTAAATTGTTTTTTATATGATTTCAAACCAACAAACAAATTAACTTTGTTTTTCCTCAATTGTTGATAATTGGATACCATTCCCTAAAGAATACAGCAAAAGCAATAAGATCACCCCCATCCCCGCCCCCATCCCATCCCCATCCCCAACCCCATCCCCACTCCATTATGTCACTCAAAGGGCCATGGTTTGTTTGAATACCAAGTTGTCCTCAAATAACAAAGTGTGACAGAAAGACTTGGAGCAGGCCTCCGAAAGCCAGCTTTAGCCAAGGAGGTTCAGGTTTTTGAAAAATTCCAGGGACTTGAACCCCCTGTTGAGACACAAAACTTACCTTGTATTCGCGAATGCAACGAACGCCTGTCAGCTACCGGATTAACCTACTATTTTATGACCAACGCATTTAAATATGAAATGGAATAGTGGCAGGTACTATTCTTATTTAAATGAGTTACCCATAAAATAGTAGATCAATCTGGTAGCCGACAGGTGTTAGTTGCATTCGCGAATACAAGCTAATTATTTAATATTTAAATTATATCTTCCTTTGGATATTCTATGAATTCATATACATGCAATCAAAGTAATAATATGATAGATTTTTCTGTAGGCAACACAAGGAAAACTCAAGCAGAATTTTCTCATAGGCTAACACATTAAGATGATTGTAGGAATCAAAATCCTATATGGGTCTGTTGAGTACAGTAAGTCAAGATGTGGACTTTAACATCATGCACAAACAAATCATAAAGTATTGCATGCATTCATTACAACATTGCCCCCCCCCCCCTCCTGAACATGTAAAGTGTGTAGTTGCATAAAACCCAACAAATGTGTGAGATAATCAATGATGGCTTTTCATCATTTTCATTAGTGGTGTCAATTAACCGCTTGAGCATTAACCGGTTAACCGGGGGTTTTTACCGGTTAAAGTCGGTTAACCGGCGGGAAATTTGAACTGATAATTTCAAATGAAATCTTCATCTCCGATCTTGAAAGTTGAAAAAAATTGGAAAATGATATATCGGCGTTTATTTTTTACGTTCGTCAAGCTTTACGTTATTCTATGTAAGTAAGCGCGGGAAAGGAATGTGGCAGGGATTAAAGTTGCTGATTGGATGTTTGTAAGGAATTATCGGACCTATCACATGTATGAGTAGCTCACATGAAACTGACGCTTGAAAAACAAACAGATTAAAATGCAAAGTAAGCGCGGGAAAGCAATGTGGCAGGGATTAAAGTTGCTGATTGGATGTTTGTAAGGAGTTATGGGACTTATGACATGTATGAGTAGCTTACGTGAAACTGACACCATAAAACCAATCGGATTAGCATGCAAAATAAGCGCGGGAAATAACAGAATTATACACGGTCAACTAACCGCCCATAAAAACTCAGACCGGTCAAGGCATTATCGGCGGTTAACCGGTTAACCGGTTAATACTTGACACCTCTAATTTTCATACATGGAAAACAAATTAAAACGATTTCATTAAAATCAGTTAGCATTTCACTGTTTGCAAGCGGACAGTGGACAACTCATGCATAGATTTCGAGAATTATGTGTGGTTATATTGTGTTCTGATTGGTCAAAATTGACAACATATTGTGTGTGAGCAACAACACTTCACATTTTCACAAAATTCAGAAAAGCTTGTGTAAATGTCATCCCTCTATATCCACATTCAGAAACCTTACACAGCTCAAACATGCCACAACAGCTCAAAAGAGAATCTCAAAACATTCTGACAATATTATAAAATAAATTCTGTAATTTGGCGAGACGTAATTTTTCGAGATGAAAAGAAGTGTCATAGAAATAATATTCAATAAGTCTTCAATATTTTGACAAGATAAGATGTAATATATGAGACAACATTAATAAAAGGAGACTGACCAATCCCAGAATTCATTCCAATTATAAGTTGACAAACAAAGTACATTCATTATAGTGTCAAATAAAAACATCCATTTGAAACTGTGAGATTCACATGTGATTGATCAGTCCCCTCTTAACCAAAACAAGTCACACAACACCTAGGGTATCATGGGATTGACAGACTCCTCTATGCTTACAACACAACGGTCATAATTAGATACCTATAGCAGGATTAATAAACCGCAAGAAAATGACCGTCCCGATTACAGTCCAGACTGCATCCTGTGTGCTCTGCTGGAATCGCTGCATCACAACCTGATAGAGACAGTGGCACATGCTGCGCAGTTTCGATGGAAACCTGTTAGTGTATGATGAACGGTAGAGTTAGTTTGGGATGGCAAAATAGAGTTAGTTTGGGATGGAAAACAAGGATAAGTTTGGGATGGCAAAATAGAGTTAGTTTGGGATGGCAAAATAGAGATAGTTTGGGATGGCAAAATAGAGTTAGTTTGGGATGGCAAAATAGAGTTAGTTTGGGATGGCAAAATAGAGTTAGTTTGGGATGGCATTAAGTAGAGTTAGTTTGGGATGGCAAAATAGAGTTAGTTTGGGATGGAAAACAAGGCCGGATTAGTTTGGGATGGCGAAGTATAGTTAGTTTGAAATGGAAAAGTAGATTTAGTTTGGGATGGCAAAATAGAGTTTAGTTTCATAGTTTGAAATGACAAAGTAGAGTTAGTTAGGGATGGCAAAACTGAGTTAGTTTGAGATGGCAAAGTAGAGTTAGTTTTGGATGGCAAAGTAGAGTTAGTTTGGGATGGCAAAATTGAGTTAGTTTGGGATGGCAAAATAGAGTTAGTTTGGGATGGCAAAATGGATTTAGTTTAGGATGGCAAAACAGAGTTAGTTTGTTATGGCAAAATAGAGTTAGTTTGGGATGGCAAAGTTGAGTTAGTTTGGGATGGCAAAATATAGTTACTATGAGATGGCAAAAAAGAGTTAGTTTGGTACAGCAAAGTTGAGTAAGTTTGGGATGGAAAAAAAGAGTTAGTTTGGGATGCCTAAGCAGAGTTAGTTTGTAAAATGAATATGACGCTTGAGAATAAGTTACATGGCAGTGACTGATGACAGTTTTTCCTGGAAAAAATGGGGAACCTGAAGAAACCCAATGGCATTTGTAAAACTGAGTATGAAAATGCGACTCTGGGTTCTCAGGAATATTGGACATTGTTTGTAATCTATGCCCAACCAAACAAGAAATTGGTTCATGAATGTACATTGCTTGTCAGGTACCAGTATTGCCAGGAACTTAGCGTATTAGGTAAATGATTTATATTGATCAAATTGTCACAAAATGATTGATTATTGTTCATAAACCCCACTCCTAAGCATTTTTGTTATGCATAGCGCCATAGTCTTCCTGTGGGCCCCCCATGGTATGGTCACAGCAGAATCATTGACCCCTTTGGAGGGGTCATACCTGAGGCACCCTGCGAGGGAAACTTAAAAATAGCTGTAAGAGAGTCTTGTCTATTATCTTTACGTAATTAAAATTGTCAATAAACATTGAAAGCAAATAATCGAAAATACAAGTGGTTACCGGTTAGAGATACGATGTGTTGCCTTAGCAATATGTAAACAAAATATAAAACATATTGGACAATATTAACGTCAGGTCTCTAACCTGTACCTAAAAATTATGTTAAAAGAACATACCAAGCCCAAACACACAAACAAACACATTACAAAAAGCACATGCAAAGAGCGAATAAAATCACCCAGAGTGCAGACTCGCAGTGAATTCTACATGCATTACCTATGGCTGGATTGATGAATCGTAGAAAGATCATAGTTCCCAGGGCTCCCATACTGTTACCAGGGAACCTCTGACAGACGACTTGAAATATGCAGTGGCACATTGTCCGCACTTGGGAGGGGATTCTAAAATTCCAGGAGTGGTGTATAAAACGTCCTCTTAGTCTCACATAATCTGCATATTCCTTCCTTCCAAAGAAGGCTATGTTATTTAGCATCGAAAAATTATGTTCAGTGAATTTAAGCTGACTAATTTTGCTTATTTTCAAGTACATAATAAAAAATAATTTAGATATTTAGATATTTTTCAAAGCCCTTCTACAAACTCTCTGATTTTCCTCCATTTCATTGCCAACAAGAGTGTGAACCACACACCTATTTTTTGTTGTAAATGAATTTTTGTTAAGTTTTGGCAAAGACCATTGATGACATTTTATTCATGATTCGTAAACCACATATAAAAGAAATACATTTGTATCACATAGTGGCCAAGTTAATGGCCAATCAAATTATCAACATTTATTGCATAATCAATTTCTAGGAGATTCCGACCCCTTCCCCCATGTTCAGTGAACTCAATTGTGTAACAGAACTCAACCCATCTGCTATAACAAACAAAACAAATGTAATATTACAGTTTTAAAATATCAAATGTTGCTATGATCAAAGAAAAAATGACATGTGGCCACTATGTAATATGCATACATAAGAGATTATATAGGCATGTATAGAAGTAATAGAATAAACATTAACAACATGTGCAAATCAAAGATTACTGAAATATTCCAATTTTTTCGAACAAGTTTAACATAATCCATGATTAATTTTTTTCTGCTTTTTTGTAAAATCATAAAAGTGATGAATGAATGAAAATCAATGAATGCAAACTATGAGAATAGTCAAATCAGAAGAAAAGTGTGATGTGATCTCATTGAAACCATTTTAAACTAACAGGTACATACTAAGAGAATGCTGAAGCATGCAACAGAAACGTGTCAACAATGAGTCACAACATAATGGCAAAAATTAAAAGAAATTGCAACAACACAAACACAATTTATCTAAATTAAATTTTTTTAATCTTCATTTTGTTAACTCAATAAGGGCAGTCACCTTACATTCACATGCAAATCATCATATCCATGAAATCAACAAATATTTATATTTATGTTATGTTTACTAATCCATTCCATGTATTAATTTTAAATAAAACATTGAATAAGCAGAATTCATTATTTTATAAAATCTAATTTCAATTGATGACAGAAATACTTTTTAAATTCACATTTTGATTCCAAACATGTTTCTGGTGTATTTTTTATACAACTTCATGAACCACCATATATGATCCATGACCAACCACAACTTACCTCTCAGCAGATGCTGTGATTGCATTGAAGACTTTCTGGGTAAGTAATTGTAGATGGCGACGGTTGTCCTCTATATTTTCATGTTCACTGAGCCTGAAAAATTGGTGAAAAAAGATTTTTATATAAACCACCGATGAACTATCTGACTTTCAGTCAATCTTATGCATTCAAACTAAAGAAAATATCATGTATTATACAAGGGGCGATCCATATATTCTGATAAAAATGCTCTCATTTTGTGATTTTTTCACATATCCTTTTCATTTTTTCAGAACATGTAGATTATGTAATTACACATACGATGCTAAAATATTTTAGCTGTATCTTAAATTAATTTTGAAATAAGGTTGCCATGGTAACCTGTATTTAGGGTAGGCAGGTCAGTTAAATTATAACGTCTAAAATAGATAAATATGTTAATTTAATCATTCCTCGGTACCTATTTTAAGCAGATCAAACGCATCTTCCAGTCATTGTCAACTATTCATTGATCTGTTCCATACCCCTGTTGCCCTTGTTTGATAATTTATACAGTGGGAAAGCTATCTTTTCATAAGTAACATCTCAATTTATTGTAGTGTTATTCTCTGTCCGCAAGCTCTTCTTGCAACCAGATTGCAGATGATCTTCAACAGTGACCATGCTTTCCTCTTTACAATACTACCTATATATTCTTTATGCAGATATAACACCTTGCCCATGCACTTTATGACTCCATGTATGTCTCTGACAGTGTCCCTCACTTATTCTTGAAAGAAAATCAAATCTAATGGTATTCCCTAATGTATCCGTTAATGTGACACTCTGCATCAGCCACATTAACCTAATCAGACAATTTGATTTTTGGTGTGTCTCGTAACATGTAATGTCAATTGGCCCATTCTGTCCTATAATGCTATTGTGATTTGTTGTGATGTTATAGTGAGCACATATAAACATTTGTTTAGCTACAAACAACAAGTAACAATACCAAACTTTTTTAGAAAAAATGCATGATTTCCGCATGCTTTAAAATAATTAAAATAACAAGTTATTTTGATATTTATATGTTATAATTAAATTGACCTGCCTACCCTTAATACAGGTTACCATGGCAGCCTTATCTCATTGATAATTTAAGATATAGCTATAATATTTTAGCATTGTATGTGTAATTACATAATCTACATTTTCTGAAAAAATGAGAGGGATATGTGAAAAAATCACAAAATGAGAGCATTTTTATCAGAATATATGGATCGCCCCTTGTATATCAATTTACATTTCTAAATATTAAACCTACCTAGCTGGATCCACCTCATAGGAGTCTCCCTGTTTGTCCTTGGTGAACATCTCCATAATCAAAGGGTTAAGTAACTCCCTAAGATACCCCTGGCCATAGATTTTGAAGCAGAATGCCATAATCTTTGATGCAAGGCTGTTGCCTCTAAAGAGTGTCTGCATACAGTCAGCTATTTCAACCTACAATGGATTCATTCTCATATACAGTAGTAGATTAGTCCAGCAGGTTTGTTCATTATTAAACATGGGAAGTATATGCATTTATTGGTAGGACAAGCCGAGTAGTCAACAGCAACTTTACTAAAAGTCAACTTCAAATTGATAGTTGAAAGTTGTGAAAAGTTGACTTCAACTCAACTTTAGTGCAATGCAATCATTATCTGCAACCATTTGAGGTTAAATGCAATCATTTTTTGCAATCATCTTAAGGCAAAAAGTATCATTATCTGCAATCATTTTGCAAGGGCCTACCTCCTTTGAGAACATGTTCCAAAGCAGTTGGTACAGAAGATGTTTAGCATCAAACAGCGTCACAAAAACTCTTGCAAGTTCATCCTGAAAAATAAATATTCTCTTGAAAATGAATAGATGGCAGGATGAAATATACAGGGTAGCCATAAAGTCTCTACATTTTTCAGACTTTTATTTGAATGTATGTGGAAAGAGACTCCGTGGACAGTGGACACCCTGTGTAACTCATAAATGCAATTCTAAATGTTTGGCATCAAACAGTCACCCAGTAATTGTACATTTTACTTGGCATTTTACTTTCAATATTTCATCTGAAGGAATGGTAGTAACTGTACACTTAAAAAGCAAGTTAAAAAGATGTAACAATAATCATACCATATTTGGTGTGGCTACAACGCTTGCTAGAGCCATAGCTATAGGGAGTTCCCCCTTATCACCAATCATTGTCACAAGCTCCACAAGTCTTTCAAATCGATCTGCAAGGGCAGTTTCTGCCAATGTCTCAAATTCTGTCCCCTGTTGTAAAATCTTTGTGAGCACTTCCATAAAGGCGGACCTTGTCTGTGGGTCCCTGTGGTATCCTAGGCCTAAAATATTTTACTTGATCATCAACAATTTGAACAAGGCATTAACATACAAATGTTACAAGCTGCCATTTGTTACAGACAGCGGCCTCCAAACACCAACTGTTGAACACCATCCACAGAAAAGTTGGAAGACAAAATGTCAGTGAAATAAAAATTAACTTCAAATTTTACATTGCAGAACAAAAGCTTATTTATAAAAGTTTAATCACTACCATCACCAAATGTGTGACTTTTACAATGACTATGGAAATACAGAATAAACATCTGACATTTATTGAGATTTCATCACAATTACAAAAAAAATCGTATATCAACATTTATGCTTTTATACAGTACACATACCTATGGAATGCATGAGCCCACTGTCAATATTAGCATTCAGTAAGTTTGACATTGCCAGGACAGTGCAGTTACGCAAAGCTGTCAGATTAGAGCTTGCTCGTTTCCTGTTTGGGTCAATTGACTTCTCTTCAGCTTCTTCTGAACAGTCATTTAGCAGATTCATGAATAATGTAAAGTATCTGGAACACATTTAATAACTTATAAGATAATGCGATGTCACAATATGTTTAACAGATACATGGATAGTGTAAAGTATCTGGAACACAGTCAAGAACTTACATTGGCATACCCAGTAAGGAAAAAGAGACGAGACAAATTTTTTTCAAACTCGTTAAAAAGCGACGAGGCAGACCTGATCCTGGCATTCGCTACTTAAATGTGACTTCAACATTGGAAACTGGTCTAAATTTCCATCATGCATAGGTTACAAAATCATAAACTTGAAATTCTAATTCAAAATGTGTCATTATTTCATCATTGCAGAGGATGGAATCAGATTTCAACAGGGTGGCATATAATATTTGAATTTTCAACAGGGTGGCAATTTTTGAATTTTTGACATGGTGCGACACTTTATGGGCTCAATATTCTCAAGGTGATTCACTATTATGAGATAGCTGATTAACAATTCATAAATAACTTACTTGAGAAATAGTTGAGATTTTGCCTCCATTAGGTCACCGCGATCACTCTCTTCTGGCTGAAGGGGAAGACTCTGTAACAATGCTGCGACTGCTTCCATGCTAGCCTGATCCAGATCTCTACAAATATGGTGAACACATTAATTAAGTATAAACTAGGGGGGAGGGACAATGCTGGTCAATTTTGGTCTTGTTTGTGAATGGCATCAGACATTGGGCGATTGTCCGAATCAAATTTTAATGATTCAACCATTTCCATTTTGAAGTGTATCGGGCTTTCAATCTGACCCTAAAATTCCTCAGATTTTGCAATTTCCACAATCAAATAGATTAATCTCACAAACCTTGATTAAAAATCAAAATTTACAACATGAGTAAACTTTTTATTCAATATATAATACTGGGATGTTCAAATACAGACTTTTTTTCAGAAAATCTTTCAACCAAGGATAACATGTACATTAAACTATATGACTCACCTTGACATTAGACATACATCTCCCTGAATGTTCAACTGGTGAGAGTTCCCCATCACCCAGTCTGTTAAGTACTCAACCAGCTTGTTCCTGAACTTCATCTCCTGTCTAAATGTTAGGTCATCACGACGTTGCATCATAGCATCGACAAGTTGACAAAGCTTGATCTTGATTTGGATAGCATGGATACTGGAGTCCAAGTGTCTCACATACCTGGAGATAGAGATTAAAGCAATAAATAAATAAGCTACATGTAAATATTGTCTCAGAGTTGTTCAGTAAACTATTTAATTCCCATACCTGACCTAAGAGCCGCCTAAGTGGCTCTATGAAAGCTACACCAAGGTGTTCACATGGTGTCTCAGTGTTCTTCAGATAACTAGTTAATTCCCCTGGATATCTGATATATCTGACTATGGCCAGCAACACCAAAATGTCCACATGGTGTCTCAGTGTCCTTCAATTAGCTATCTAATTTCCCTAGATACTTAACATACCTGACTTAATGGCCAACATAAGTGGCTCTGCTAGCAATACCAAGATGTTCCAAAAGTGTATCAGTGTTCTTCAATTAACTATTTACTTTCCCTGGATACTTAACATACCTGACTATAGCCAGCATAAGTGGCTCTATGCTAGCAACACCAAGATGTTCACATGGTGTATCAGTCTTGTTCTCAAGGATATTCTTCTTGATGAAGATGATATTTTCTATGAAGAGTGTGTTGACATCACTCACATTCACCTGAAACCAAAACAACAATCAATATATAAAATGTTAGTTAGTTTGGAATAAAATGTTCTTTGAGTTGACCTTGGACAAAAACATTTTGGGATAGCATTCTCAGGATGCAATGTAGCAGAATGATTTAAAGCATCAACATTGCTTTCAAGATAGAGGGCAGCATTATATTACCCATAATGCAACATACTTAAGCAGACGTATCAGCAATCATACCTGTTGAGATGGGTCTAGGAAGAACTTATCCACACAAAGCTTGATCTGGTCAAACAGTATTGGATAGATGGCTGGGTTGAGTTCATGCCCCACAAGCTCTTTTACGTGTTTCTGTATTTGAGGGCCAAACTTTTCATTGTGGCAAACAAGAAGTTTCAGCAAGTTACAGATGAACCTGAAATACAAGAAAGAAGATTATTTATGGACATACATGCAAATGTCACATAACTTGAAACATTTGATAAATTCTGATTACAAAAATGAAAAATGTTAGCTAGCATGAATAAAACATAAAGCTGATCAAGGATAAGCTAGAAGCCAATGGGAACAGTCATTATGTTACACGATGTACTTGATTCACAGACAACATGTAGATTCATACACTCACTGACAAAGGACACCCTGTATATACATACATTACACAGTAAAACCTGTATATCTGAACACCTCCCTAATCTGAACATCTCTCAATTTGAACCCTTTGACACCTATATATTTTTTAATCTGCCATACACTTCTATGTTAAAAAACTTTGAAATATAAACAAGTGTCAATCTAAACATTTTTTGCCAATCCCAGTGGTATTCAAATAAGGAAGGTTTTACTGTAAACATAAATTATTCATGAAGTAAGGAGACTTACTCAAATAATACGTACTGAGTAACTGGACAATACTGCTCGGCTGAAAAACTTGACATTGTTGTGATGACGCTACTTTTCCGGGAATCAATGCCTGTTGTCTGGGTCATGGTACTGTTTATTGTTGTTGTCGATCCAGCGATTGACGCTATGCTGCTATTGGGACGGCATGCCCTGTTTGACAAACACACGCTTCCTAGAGCACAGAGGAATCCTGTCATGTTCGCCCATTCATTCACTTGATCCTAGATGGAAAATATTAACATTAAAATGGGTCTCATAAATGTTTTCATATGGCAATTGGTCCATCTACTTAAAATGTTTCCTCTAATCAACATATTTTATCATTGTGGGTCTAAATTCCTATTCTTCTTTAGTGCAACATATCTAAGGAGACATATCAATATTGGTTACCCATAATGCAACATATTTAAGCAGATGTATCAGTATTTGTTACCCATAATGCAACATATTCAAGCAGATGTATCAGTATCCATTACCCACAATTGAAGATTTTTTTTATTAAATCAACCGTTTATGGAACTTACTTACCTCTTAATTATATGCCATTACCTTAATAAATTGACTAGTCGAAAGGTCTAACACCCCTATTGAATGAACGGATTAGTGAATGAACTCGTCCAATACACTGCCTATCCATGCTTCATGCTACGACCTACTTCATATTACCGAGAGACCTCGAAGATACAAAAAAATAAAATAAAAAATTTCCCTCAAGCGGGGAAGGTGGGTGGGTCTCTGGTAATTAAGAGGTAAGTAAGTTCCATAAACGGTTGATTTAATAAAAAAAATCTTCAGTTTATATCACTTACTTCCCTCTTAATTATATGTCATAGCATGTAACATATTGGATAGGTGGGGTGAAAAAAGTTGTTGTGTACTTACTGCACCTGCTACAGGTCGCACACAGTTCCAGCCAGCATCACAGGTCCTAGCTTTCTAGCTTCATCTTGTAGGACTGTGACATCACGCAGATAAAAGTCGATAAAAGTGTTGTTGTGAGCCCAAGAGCAACTTTTCAATATTTCTGTTAGGCTAACATTCGACTGTACTGCATATGAGGCTGATAACGCTCTTATTTCATGTGCGTTAACTTTCCCAATTCTTCTACTCTCAGCAGTGGAATTATTGTAGGTTAGAAGAATCAGATGTTTCATCCAGCTGGATAAAGTATTTAAGTGTAAATTGCTATTACACCCTTTCTTCCAAGGTATGAAGATCCTATTCCTGGTACCTCTGAAGACTCTGGTAGCAGCAAGATAAAATCTGAGTGCTCTAAGTGGGCATAAGCATCGATCTGGATCATTTCCCACATGGCTTGCCAATGATTTCAGATGTATAGGTTGAAATCTGGCTTGTCCCTCTGCTGCTTCCAAGCTCTTTGGCAGAAAACCAATGAATGGATAGAGGAAAACTTCTGTATTGTTATTTTTCCATTGTATCCTTGTAACATCTAAGGCATGTATCTCACTACGTCTCTTGCCCGAGGCTAACAGTAGAAGAAATACGGTCTTTAAAGTCACCCATTTGATATCTGCCGAATTCATAGGTTCAAATGGAGGCTTTAATAGTTCATGAAGTACAAAAACCAAGTCCCATTTGGGTAAGGTAGACTTTGGAATTGCATCTTCTAATTTAAAGGATCTCAACATATCATGTATCACTTGTGATTCTGAGAGATCTTTAGATTGTGTAGATTTCCTGACATTGTTTATAGCTGTTCTGTAGCCCTCGATAGTAGAAAAAGACCTCTTTTTAGTGTTTCTGAGATAAATGAAGAAATCTGCAATCATTGGAATAGATGCCTCGATGGGATTGGTATCTCTTTCCAAACACCAAACAGAGAATAATTTCCACTTTGAATCGTAGATGGCATTGGTAGATTTTCTCCTAGACTTTTGTACTGCTTTGGACACTTCTTCAGAAAACCCCTCCTCTCGCAAGTTATTGTTGATAACAGACAAGCGTGTAGAGACATCTTTTCTGGATCTTGATGAAAAATCGAGGTCCTTGGCATAAGAAGGAGTTTCTTCCATATTGGAATCAGTACAGGAAAATCTACTAGTAGACTGAGAAGGTCTGGGTACCATGGTTGATTGGGCCATTTTGGTACTATCATTACACATTTTGTGTTTTGGTGAGCCTGCAGTTTGTTCAGGACTGCTGCTATCATTGCTGTTGGGGGAAATATGTAGAAGTACATGTTGTCCCAATTCAGTGACATGGCGTCTGTTTTCCACGACTGAAGATCTGGAACTGGAGCCACGTAAACTGGAAGTTTGTGATTGTGAGATGTGGCCATCATGTCCAGATTGGGAGTTGGCCATATTTTCCATAGATTCTTGGTTATGTCTGCATGAAGAGACCACTCTGTGTTGACAATCTGGTTTTTCCGGGATAACTGATCTGCCCTTCTGTTCAGTGATCCTGGAATATGATTCGCTCTGAGTACAATTTGCTGATTGTGACACCATAAGAGAATCTCCTGAGTTAACTGGAGTAGTTGAGGGGAATGTGTTCCGCCCTGGTTGTTGATATATGCTGCTACAGTCGTGCTGTCTGTGCAAATCAGAATATTCTGTCCAGTTATCTTTTCCTTGAAGAACATCAGAGCTTTCTTGACTGTTAGTAACTCCAGAAAGTTGATGTGATGACTTGATTCCAACTGGGACCAGACTCCAGAGCATTCCTGCGATTGTGTGTGGGCCCCCCATGCTTCCAACGATGCATCTGTGTAGATTGTCATTGTTGGGTGAAATCTGTTGAGAGGCTGACCAGCTTGTAAATTCCTGGGGTCTAGCCACCATAGGAGTGCCCCTTGAGCATCTGGTGAGAGGACAACTAGATGTGACTGGGGCTGAGATAGAGGAGACCACTGTTGGAACAGACAACACTGTAGAGGTCGTAGATGAAGACGACCCAATGGCACTTGTTTCTCCGCAGATGACAACAGGCCTAGTAGAGACTGCCAAGTTTCTGCTGAGGCTATTCCCTTCTCTAGAAGATGTTGTCCAGCTTTCCATATCTTTTCTACTCGATCGTGAGGGGGACGGCAAATTCCCTTGCTGAGATCGTATTCTACTCCCACATAAGTGAACTTCTGAGTTGGTTGTAGTTCCGACTTCTTGAAGTTTATGAGGAAACCCAGAGCCTGAGCCAGTTCCAGCACCATCTGAGTATGTTGTAGAACTACTGTAGGTGAATTGCCTCGAATCAGCCAATCGTCGAGGTAATAATGAAACAGTATGCCTCTGGAGTGAAGATGAGCTGCTAGAGGCCGTAACAGATGTGTCCAAATCATCGGGGCTGATGCCAGACCAAAGGGCAGGGCTTTGAATTGAAGTACTTGGTCCTGAACAACAAAGCGCAGGTATTTCCTGAATGACTGCTTGATTGGGAGATGAAAGTAAGCATCTACGCAGTCTATGGACGTTACCCACTGTTGAGGCTGTACTGCATCCATGATCTGTGCTACTGTTTCCATCTTGAACTTTGGAACTTCTAGATGAAGGTTCAGATGATGCAAGTTGATGACTGGTCTTAGAGAGCCGGATTTTTTTGGGACGAAGAAAAGATGACTGTAAAGGCCTGGACTGGATACGTTCTGGACAACTTCTATGGCCTGTTTCTCCAGAAGTTGAGTGACTGTAGCTGCATAAAGGTCTTTTCTGTCTCTTGTTGATGACTGGAAAGGCCAAGGATTGCATGTAAGGGTAGGTTTTGTGTGAAGTTTCGGCTGGTAACCTTCCTTTATGATCTGTAGAAATCCTCCTAGATCTGTGATTTCTTTCCATTTGGCAAGAAAATGCTGTAGTCTGCCTCCCACTGGTAGCTGTTGAGGGCTTACAGGTAGCTGTGGGAGACAAAGACTTGGAGGACTGGATGATATAGGTAGATAGTCACTGTGATTTTTTCTCTCCTCTTCCCTTGCCACGAAAAGAGTTAGAGCTGTTCTTTTTACCAGGGCCATTGTTGTTATTGAAACTGGACTTTCTGTTGTTGTTGTTGTTGTCTTTCTTATTTGGTTGAGAAGACTTCTTTGATTCAGCTCTCGCATTCATCTTAGCCAAGGAAGTTAAAGCCTGGTTGGTGAGATCAGACTGGTTGGACTTCAAAATTTCAGTGACTGACTCCTGTGGGAATAATTCCTGAGCCAAAGGGTTTATGGGTAGAGTTCTGAGCATTTCCTTTGCTGCAGAAGGGCAAGTCATGTTCTTCAAGAAGCCATCTCTCCTAAGTAGAACTACGTTGGACAGCAGTCTCACATTTTGATCAGTCAGACAGCCAATGGCTTGTGCTGCAGGTTGTAGTAGATCAGACAACATCTTAGTATCAGTGGATGAAGAATCGTTGAGAATTTTGGCCACTGCACCTAACAGCCATTCTGCATATGCCAGAGGTTTCAGTTGGAATCTTAAGCCTTCCTCTAGAAGCCTATACTGGGTCTTGCTGATAGTCAAATCCTTGTCAGCTTTCTTGAAATTTTCTTCAGACATCACCGCTGACAGGCTGGAATTTGGCCTCATACTCGAAACAACAAGTCCTCCGGCTGGAGGAATTGGAAAGCGTGATGCCTTGTCGTTTCGGGAAAGTTGTCCTACTTTTTTGAAGGCGAAATCGTTCGCGATGATCGAGGATCTGTTAGAAAAACAAGTCATCACCGTGGGTGATAATGGTAAGAAAGATTTTTCATTACCTTCAGACTCGTTTTTGAAGAACTGCGATGCCAAGGGCTTGATAACCACCGCTCTGTCTGGAACTTGGTGCGTCAGGTTAGCGTCTGGTAACAGGTTTTTGACTTGTGATATCGCCGCCGCGTTGTACGAAGCCAAAACTTTCTCTTCTTCCGAAATCCTGGAGCCGCCATCTTGAAAATTTTCACTGGGCGAGTCCATATCCTCGGGCCCCTCGTGACGTTCGAGACTGTGATTGGTTGAACTTTCTTTCGAAAGTGAAACTGGAGCAATCACTTCCGGGTTAGGTGACCTCGTTCGAACTGGACTTCTGCTTCTAGAGCGGGACTTTGGTCTCCTATGGGGACTTCTGTGCTTGTCTCTGCTGCTACGAAGTGACGGGTCACGTGGTCTAGGCGTGTAACTAGAAGAGACACTAGTTTCACGACTGTAAGACCTACTACGCCTGCGTGGACTGTGTTCACCATGACGGTCATGATGACCTCTTCTCTCCGGCGTATAACGTCTGGGTTCTGGTCTCCTAGGGCTCCAAACTCTGTCCCGACTGCTCGAATGTCTCCCATGTCTCCTGGGGCTGCCACGTCTCGAAGGACTTGCACGTCTCCTGGGACTTGCGTGGCTTCTGGGGTCCTGAAATCTCCATGGGCTAGGGCTCCTGCGGGGACTCCTGTAACTTTTGCGGGGACTTCTGACAAATTCACTCCTTGCCGCTGAGCTTGGTCTGTCCGACCTTGCCTCCTGTTGAAGCCTCCGAGGACTGCTGTGCCTGGTGTTCACACTGTTCCTTGGGCTTTCTTGTTGCTTGTTTTGAAGCATTTCGTTCATCAGAACAGAAATCTTCTCCTTGAGAAAGTTGTCAGTCAGACTCATGTTGAAGTTCTGGTCTGCACTCTCTTGAATCCCTGCTTGCTCTGTGTCTCCATCAGTGCATTCTCCTTCTTCTTGCTGGAGAATGATAGCAGGACATTTCTCTGAGGTGTTCATGTAAACGTCCTCGTTGTTCATCATCTTGACGAATATAGTTGCTCCAAGTTCTGTTGAAGGCTTGTAGCGAGATGGTCGTCGAAAGGTAATATGAAGTAGGTCGTAGCATGAAGCATGGATAGGCAGTGTATTGGACGAGTTCATTCACTAATCCGTTCATTCAATAGGGGTGTTAGACCTTTCGACTAGTCAATTTATTAAGGTAATGGCATATAATTAAGAGGGAAGTAAGTGATATAAACGCAACATATTTAAGCAGATCATCAGTATTCCTTACTCATAATGCAACAGATAATCTCACAGATGTATCAGTATTGGTTACCCATAATGCAACATGTTTAAACAGATATTGGTTACCAATAATGCAACATTATTAAGCAGACGCATATGTTGAAACAGTATTGATTACCTCTAATTCATGTTCATTTGTACTCTGATGTGATTGGGTACGTCTCTTATAGCTAATGACGCTAAGGCTGCGAGAGTGAAGTGTTTCCCCCATTATCATCTCATCTGATTTACTCTTGGGATATACTGCTAGCCACTTAGTAGTTGCCTCCCAATTGCGGAAGGTGTCCTCCCATGCCTGCTGGTTGCCGGCAGTGGGGTGGTCAATCTTACGTAACAGCGCCATGATCCTTTTCTGTAAAGCTGCTCTTCCTGAAAATAGACATACTCCCTACTTACTGTGAGTTGGGATTTGGTTGAACAGTTCAATGTGTTATTTTACTGATTGCTTTACTATGCAAAAAACTGACTCAATTCAAATTAAATTTTTCATTAGTGAAGAAAGTTGATTTTTTCGATAATTCAAATGATAAGCAAACATTTCAAATTTTGTTATATTAGAAGGTTAAACCATAATGAAATTGACTTAAAATGCCAATATTTGGACATAGCCCCTCAAAGACTAACATTGGTCCAGAACATACCTGTTGTTAGCACAGTACTAGCATTTGCCAACTCAGAGTAGACGTTATAGTTGGGAAGGAGCTGGGTGACGGCCATTTCATCCGCTCCGCAGCGAATGTCTGCCTCTTCACATAGTAAATGGAAGCACGACATTGCCGTCAAAACTGCGTCTATATCAATACTCCAAAGGTACATGAAGAATACAACCTGAAAATAGAGCAAAAATTAGTTTCATCATGAGGGATGATATCATATCTGACTAAGCTGTCTGATTTTGAGAAACAATGAAAATCTAGCACAAAATGAACTTTTTGTCTGAAATTAATAAAAGATTTTAGAAATATTGGGAATCTGTCAAAAATCATCAAATGCTTTTTTTCTTATCTTGCCAATATTATTTTTTCATCTTCCTCAAACCATCTTCATCATTTTGTATATACCTTTTGTGAAAATGATCAACTTGATACACGAATATCCCAGTTGTTATATAATTACTAAGAGTCTAGATAATGCATGTAAGTATCAGATATGAAACTCTTTGGAATCATATTTTACCTCTAGCTTAATATGAGCCTGTCTGCAAATTGGAAGATTACTCCCGACATTGGCATACTCCTTGTGCTTCGTCAGGAAGTTGTTACGGCAAATCAGAATATTTTGTAGCCATTTGAGAATCTCCGTGTAGTTGGCGATCTGGTGCTGGATCAACTTTTGTGAGATTGAGAACAACACTTGGGAGCTAACATCCCAGAATGTGTTGATAGGAGCCTCTGGATTCCAAAGCTCAATGTTTGATGGTTGATGGAGACACAACAGCGCCTTATGAAAGTTAAACAGACGAGTATCACAAATGATATTAAATTCTAAAAAATAAATGAAAGTAAAAACCTCTGTCGTGTAAAACGTCACTTCAAACTTACAGCCATCTTTCTTAATGCAGCTTTCGAGTGGCAAATTCATAAATAACCAAAAAATTTACAAATCATCATACACATTAACTCAAAAAAGAATAACTCAAGCTATAGATGCATATACCTCCATGACTTTCAATGACAGATTTGGTATGGATGACATATCAATATTTGTTACCCATAATGCATCATATTTAAACAGACGAATCAGATAAAGAAGTCTCTTAAGCTCCATTGCCACATCTGGCATATATATTCATTACCCATAATGCAACATACTTAAGCCGACGTATCAGATTTATCCTATAAATGTCTCTTACCTCCATGGCTTCCTGTGCCACATCTGGCATATAAACTGGTTACCCATAATGCAACATACTAAGCAGACGTATTAGATTGATCATATAGATGTCTCTTACCTCCATGGCTTCCTGTACCACATCTGGCATATAAACTGGTTACCCATAATGCAACATACTATTAAGCAGACGTATTAGATTTGTCATATAGATGTCTCTTACCTCCATGGCTTCCTGTGCCACATCTGGCATATAAACTGGTTACCCATAATGCAACATACTTAAGCAGACGTGTTAGATTTATCATATAGATGTCTCTTACCTCCATGGCTTCCTGTGCCACATCTGGCATTGACTGCTGGTGTATAAGAGACACAAGCCCATTGATCAACTCTAGCGTACTGCTCTGGATTTCATGACCTGCTTTTCCTGGATTCTATAATCAATAAATAAGATAATATAAATACATCGGGGAGACTATACATTAGGCATTTGATAACAATGCTAGCTTCGTTTCAAACTCTTAACTGCTGTGTCATTCAACATTAACAAATCAGCAATTACATTCAGCATGAAGAAAAACAAATACTCACATTCAGCATAAGAATGGGATCAGCATAAATGAGACGCACAATACCAAAGAGAAGGTACTTGTAACTGGGAAGTTCCTCACTTGATTTTTCCTTAAACTTACTGAACCCTGTCATGGCTGCAATTGACTTGGTCTAAAATAAAATAATACATTTTGAATATTCAATTGGTAACAAGAAAATAGGAAATCAGTAAAAAAGCATGCCAATTTTGTTTGTTTTTATCTAATTCTATTACCTGAAAAATTTTAATATCTGATCAGATAAAGAAATAATGATGGTTTAAAATGCAGAAATTTCCCTTCAATTCAGTCATTTATATTATTTTGCTATTTAACATATTACGATTGCCATGGTGGTAACTAAGATGATGACCCCCATATCATTCATGTATTGACACTTACTTGGGCAATTTTGACAGAGAAATGAGTATATTGTGTGACCTTATTGAGGGTATACTTACTTGGGCAATTTTCACAGAGGAATGAGTATATTGTGTGACCTTGTTCAGGGTATACTTACTTGGGCAATTTTCACGGAGGAATGAGTATATTGTGTGACTTTATTCAGGGTATCAGTGAACATGCCTCTCAGCTCAGCAGACTTGCCATGTATGATACCAATATTGGGCCACCATGGCAGACGAGGCTGTAAACAAAGATCAATATACTTAACTTTTTAATTGTATGCACTTCAACACTTATCCCCCTGGAAACACTTTTAAACATGGTGCTACAACCCCCTATATGAATTCTGAAGACATGAGGTTAAACTGATTATTTTGTGATTCCATTATGGCAGTCATGAAGAAAATTGTTCGTTAAAATATGTTCATTCTTTGATACAAGAAAAACATATTGCTCTCATATGTTTTGAACGTATAGGACAAAATACAGTGTTATGTACAGGGGGACCCAAATAATGCAACCCCCTAATTTTGTAATAATTTCTCAATCTTGTGATTTCTTTTGAGAACTTTTGAGTTTATAAAGTATAAAAGCATATTTCTATCTCCTGCATTGAACACTAATTACAAATCAACACATTTAAAAACGCAAACCTGTGTGATAATCCTATGCAATGCATTGACTAGAACATAGTGGAGTGTAGAAGGGCTACTCTGTGCGAGGCAGATCTTTAACAAGTCTTTGTTGTGGGGAGTTATGCGGAAACATGATACAAAACAGTCGATCATGAGATCCACATCCTGCCCGATATTCTGTTGCCCTCTCGAGAACACCTTCTGTGGATTGAATAGTGAAGTCTGAAATTGGAAACAAATACAGCATGAACAAAGTTTAAGAATCTGACATTAATCTTTTTTTGGTTCAAAAACAGATTTTTTGATTTTTTTATGTAAATCTATTGTACAAAGTAATACAAAGTTAACATTTAATAATATACAATAACTTCAAACATCTACAAAAAAGAGCCAAGAAATGGATAACCCATACACTAATGCTCTCTAAAAATATACATTTCAGTGTTTTTCTCAACCAAAATTTCATTTGTAGGAGAATCATATATATGATACATTGTAATATTAACTAAGAGTGTTAAAGATATCATACCTTCAGATCGGCTATGATTGAGGTGACCAAGATAAAGAGAACGTTGTTTCTGTCATTGATGTTAATGTACGTCGAGGCCTTGCAGAGTTTAACGCATGTCACAACAGCCCCCTCTGTCAGCTGTTTATTACCGCCATGTTGTTGGGATATTGCACGTTTTAAATCATCTATAAATTGTTTCTGAAACACAAATCAATTCCTTCAGTCTTGAAGTACACATTATTGTACAGAACTTCCACTCACTTACTCTTAGCCCTTAGTAATCAGGATTTGCACTCATTGTCTGCCATTTGTCAATAAATTACATACTTCATGTCAGGTACCATTTTGAAGTATACTTGTATTAGACTACTGACAGAAACCAGCGGTCTATTTTCCTCTTTTAAGTTTCAATAAACTTTAATTCTCTGCCATGATTTTTGAAAGCATTCCCTGACATATAAAAATGTTTATAAAGACATATGCTTCATAACTTGTCTCAAATACCTTTTTAAATCAATAAATAAATAAAATACCTTTTTGAGGTGCTGTTGGGAACAGGGAGCACCACTGTCAGCATTTGTTATTTCTTCTAGAATGTTCTGGAATATTGAAAAAAACAAAGTCATTCAACGATTTCTGTTAAGTATATCAAAAATGCATACTTTGTAAACTGAACCTTTCTTGCTAAAATAATGTATCGATGTATTTTACTTTAGGTACTTTGAAACCTATTGAACCAGGAAATCAAAGTCTGGTCACTCAACATCAAATTTAGAAGAGTATATTTTGAGGGTTTATAATTCAATCTGGGGCCAATTAAAAGATATTTCGATATAAGAACAAATGAAACAGCTTTCCCAACTTACTGGGCATAACACTAAGAGCATAATTTGTAACGGCCAAACATGTGCTTTTCTTTTGGAAGTTTCAGCGAACATATGGAAGATATCCAGTAACTTATCACAGCAGTCCTGGAGCTCATCATTGGGACGTTTCTGCAGTTCTGTAAACTCTTCAGGGTGGTTGTCCATCCAATTCCAGATTGCCTGAAAGTATTAGAGATCATGAGAATTGTGGAATATTGAGAAAATACATATTGTGAAAATATGTGGAATATAATGAAAATAAATGTACATGGAATATTGTGCAAAAATGTAGATTTATTTTGAAAACAGGTGAATTAACAGGTTGAATATGATGAAAATATATGGAATATCGTGCAAAAATGTAGATTTATTCTGAAAACAGGTGAATTATTGAGGAATATCCTGAACATATTGAATATTTTGAAAATATGTAGAATATCATGAAAATATGTAGAATATGTGAAACATTTAAATATCAAAAGCTCATTGAATATCTTGGAAACAAGAAAATTTGTATATGAAAATCACTTTTAAGTGGTAAAACCACTTTACCTTTTCTAGACTTGTAGCCAGGGTTTGGGCAACATTCTTCCTAAGAATAGCCTTGTACTTTACTGCAATTTCTATAATAAATTTTAAAAAAAACAAACAGAGTAAATAACTCCTGTGTTTGAAAAAAATAATACAAACTTTTATTAAATGACAACTTTCCAGAAATATTGGATTTAGATTTTATTTATTCCTCTTCAACCAATTTAGGGTATTAGAGTCTCGATAATTATGACAAATATTTTAAGAAAATTCACATACCATTGAAAAGCTTGATGAGTCTTGCACAGTCGACATTAATGTGTTGTATTAACTCAAGATCTGTGAAATCACTATAGTCCTCTGTAGATGTGGCTAGTGTGTGTAGTCTGCAAAAAATAAATTTGTATTTATGGTTATATCCAATGTCTATTGGATATTCATATTTCATACACATAACAGCTGCTAAAATTGATATCTTTGGGAAACAGGACTTATATATCGTCTGCCATGTAATTCCTGAACTAAAATTTCCCAGGTAAACATGTTTTTGTTCATTGTACAAACAAGTGCTATAATATTAATAACATAATTACAGATAATTAATTCCTATTCAGAACTTCAGTGTATCGTACAAATAAAGTCTTTGGAAACTATAAAACTGGTGAGGTCTATATATATTCCCATAAGCTAGTAAAATTTTAACTAAACACCACATACTTCTATTTGAGTTATCCCCAAACACCCAAATCAATGGATGGATTAGATGGTGAAAAACAGTTCTACCCACCTTCCAGATATTCTGTTGAAGACAGCCGTAAAGTTGTTGAGACTGAGGGCGAACAGCACCTTTGATGCCAACAATTTCAACTGGCTGACTAGTTGGTTGTCCTCACATCCTGTAGGTGGTTTCAAGAACTGAAAAAGTTATAAAATAAGTTTGAAACCTGGAAAAACCTAGGTATGGCCACAGTGTTCCTTATTCTGCACTTTATCATTTTTAACAAATATTTAAGAGTATGTACAATAGTTGTGCAATTGTGTACCTTATGAGTCAGGAAAGAGGTAGTTCTACATATATGACTGAACACTGTTACACCCCTCCCCCTTACTTGACATGCATGATTATTTTGAAAATATTAGAAACTATGTTGTATGTGCCTTACCTTACATATCTCTGGAAGAAGCAACTTTACGTACATAGTCTCATCAAATCTCGAAGGCTTCGGTTGCTGAAAATACAAAAAGAGAGATATTTCTAGGTAGCTTAAAATGCTGCTTATTTTTTCATGAAGCCACTCAGTAAAATTACGATTTTTCTGCACCCTGATGTCCAATCAAGATGATTTGACATCATAAACCGAGAAAAACTTTATTTACTCAAGTAGAGAAGAGCATGAGAGGTGTAGAGAATTGTATATGGCATGTTTGAGGTGTTTTTGGTGTCAAACGAAAGACTCGAATACTTATCAATCCATTTAAGATACACAGAAAATGAAAAGAAAGTCTTTATTTAGCAAACACTGAAAAGTATACAAAGTCTTCCTTTAAATAAACATACAGAAAATGTTGTTTTTTGTTTTACAGCGAGATGATCAACATTGCAACAATATTTCCATAGTAACATGTTTTATTGGATTTTGATTAATGGATCATCTGCTTCTGATAAGTTAATGATTGAACAAATAAATAAACAAATGATTTACTACAAAACATGTATTTTCTCACCAACGTTAAATTTACCAATTTGAATTCACTGATTTGAAAATGGTCTCATATCTAAAAATATATATTTAACATAATTGTTATTTTCAGTTTACCAATTGATATCATCAATTGACAATATAATAAAACAAATTGCCAAAATGTAAAAGAGAAGAAAATCGCGAATTTTCGTAATATTTTCATAGATGGGCATTGAAACATATTTACAGTACATCTATGGTCTCTAAATATTTCAGAGAGGAAATAATGCATCAGTAACATCTATTCTTTGGAAAACTATAGCGCTGGACTAAAATTCAAGTTGGTGCTTGATGAGAGAGTATAGCACTCTACCATGATGGCTTTTGTGTACATTTTCTTAGCAGTTACATGTAAGTTTGTTTTAAGCTATGAAAATATATGTTGAGGGATCAAGTTCATCTTGGATAAGTACAAATGTTACTTGTATTTCAAAATAATTTTTGAGCATTTGTACAACGATTTGTTCAAAAATGTTCAACATATATCTGATTTTAGGGATCCAAATAAATCCGGTGCATGCTGGGATATGCCAGTGTCCCCTAGAAATCGGCAAAACGATACCTGGCCCTTTGAACCTGCTGCTTGGCAATGATTTTCTTCTCATTGATGAGCCAATTGAATGTGAAACAACAATTCAATATTTTGAATATTTTCGTTCTTTGGACACATGGCAGTTTTATTTGTGTGTGCTGACGGAAACTGCAACAGATATGTATCGATTGGATAATAAAATTGAGATACCGGTTGGAGTAGTGGGCTTCAATAGAGTAGAAATATCAGTCAATGTAAGTTTGTTTTGACTCCAAAATTTTCTCAATTTTCATTCTCAGTCATTTCTACTTAAAAGTACAGTCCATCTCATATAGACTCTGTTAAATCTTGCATTTCAAGACTACGATTTTTATAACTACAAGCGCAAACCTCGGAATGATTGAAATCTTGTTGTGAATTATATTTACCACACAAATTGTAGTGTGTTGCCATTGCATGTAATTTTCCTTACAAAAGAGTCTATAGCAACTGTTAATTGCTCTAAAACTGGGAAGATCACCGAATGCTCATTTATATATTTATTTAGGTGAGCACCTCAAATTTATTAGGCTTCATGTTTTCATCTGGATCAACTAACAATTACTTGGTAACTGAAGACAAAGGCCTTGCAGGGACAGTACTGGATCCTTCATCAACCTTTTACAAGGCAGTCAAGAAGAAATCTGGGATTTTTGACGAAACAACCAACATAAACGATGTCCTTGACCTCACAGGAGCTTCTACTGAGGAATTCTTTTTCAGCAGTCGCTTTGTTTTGTCTAAATTTGTATTCTGTGAGTATCGCAAAGTAATGCAAACACAAATTGATGTACAGATTGCCCAGGGCCGTTTTTTTTATATAAAATCAAGAAATTATTTAGTTTTTAGGGGCATGCTGAGTAAATTTTAAGACGGTCATTTCTGACATTTAGGTATATATATTTAAGCACAAATGCCAAACAGAAAGGACCAAATGTTGTTATGGAACCTAGCAAGAAAACACAGGTCTCATAAGAAAAACAAACCCCATATATCCCAAAAACCACAATCTATGTTATTCTCTACTTTTTTTTATTGCAGTAGGAGATTCATGTTTTCGCAACACTTTTATTCGATCCAGAACAATTTTTCGACCAAGTATAGAAGCAGGGCTGAATGATTGCGCCACGCAGTATTACGCATTAGCGCAAACTTATAATTATCTGGTATATATGCTTACATTATTTATTAAAACCATGGTCAAATTCTAGTAATACAAATACCTAGATTGTTTTGCTGTTTCACCACTGATATAATGGACATACTGTGGCCCTTTCTAGAACCACTGATATAATGGGCATTATAAGGCATTTTCTAGAGCCACTACTCCTAATAAAACCACTGATATTATGAGCATTATAAGGCATTTTCTAGAGCCATTACTCCTAATAAAACCACTGATATTATGAGCATTATAAGGCATTTTCTGGAGCCACTACTGCTAATAAAACCACTGATATTATGAGCATTATAAGGCATTTTCTAGAGCCACTACTGCTAATAAAACCACTGCTATTATGAGCATTATAAGGCCTGTTCTAGAGCCACTACTGCTAAAAAACACTGATATTATGAGCATTTTATGGCCTTTCCTAGAGCCACTGATATAATGGGCATTATATGGCCATTTCGAAAGCCACTCCTGCTAATAAAACCACTGATATTATGAGCATTTTGTGGCCTTTTCTAGAGCCACTACTGCTAAAAAACACTGATATTATGAGCATTTTGTGGCCTTTTCTAGAGCCACTACTGCTAATAAAACCACTGAGATTATGAGCATTATAAGGCCTGTTCTAGAGCCACTACTGCTAAAAAACACTGATATTATGAGCATTTTGTGGCTTTTTCTAGAGCCACTACTGCTAATAAAACCAATGATATTATGGGCATTATATGGCCTTTTCTAAAGCCACTGATATTATGGGCATTGAGTGACTTTTTCTAGAGCAACTACTGCTAAAATACACTGATATTATGGGCATTATGTAACTTTTTCTAGAGCCACTACTTCAGGAGGGATACTGTTGCCTTTATAAACCTGGCCAAGGAGTTCCAAGAGGGTGCAAATAGTGAAAGAGTGTTGGGATTCTTTGTAAAAGAATACATCACTAACCGTTCTGCCTGTGTAACATTTGATGACTTGTCAGTTAGTAAATTTTTTTCATACTTATCTTGCAATTTTTGATTTATTTGTATAATGTTGTATTTTATTTATTATAAATAATTATTTTATTAAAGGCAATGATGTGTAATCTCAGGGAAAGGGCGGTGAAGAGTTACTTTTTTAAAGGGGCAACAAGGGCTGTAGAGAGAAAATTCAATTTTTTTTTTTCCTGAGATATCAGGTCAATATTTGGCTTAACATCTTCTTTGACATAAATATTTGTTCTTAAAATGTATGGATAAACTATCAATTTCAGCATTAAGAAGTGTAAATTCAGTGCAAAGCTTCAATACTTCTATAAAGGGAGTCCCACTTATACATTTTAAAGATCCACCACGTTTCAAGAGGAATATCAGCTGAAATGACGTTCATCCATGGGGTTTCTTTGAAGATACTAAAAATATATGTTAGTCTTGATGAAATATACAAACTTCAACATATTTTGACTCTGGTCGATGATCGTTGACTGGCCCCCCTGCACTAATTGTTGCACCTTTAATATTCTAGTTTATTAGAGATAAATCTTAAAATTCTGTTTGATGAAGGGAGAGGGGTCAAACAATTACAAAAGTAACTTTGTTTTTCAATCACTGTTAATAATTGGACACCGTCCCTCGTGGCTTTTTTATTAAATGGTGATAGTAACTAGTGTTGTCACGATGTGCCATAATCGTACATCGATGCATCGGCAATTTTCAGTAGTAAACATCGATGCACATCGCGATGTACATCGAGAAAAAGTTCGGGAAAAGTGCACTGAAATACCTAACGCTAATGCACTAAAATATCGAACAGAACAAATTAATAAGTACGCTGGTACATCCGGGAACATAGTAATGGTGAAATGAAAGTAATGTAATTTTTTAGATTAATGATTCTTTTCGACTAGCTAAAACAGTTTTAAAGTGAAAGAATATCAGAAAACATTTGAAAATGAAATAAGACATGAAAAAAGATAAGCAATTTGCGTCTCAATAAGATAAGAAAGGGCGATTTTTAGCAAATTAAAATTTTTTAAAAACATCGATGTTTTATTTCAGACATCGATGCATCGCCAGAACCAGCTTTGGCGATGTATATTGCGATGTATCGATTAATCGCGACAACACTAATAGTAACAATATCAAAAACAGCAATGGGCTTGCAAAGAATATGTCTTTAATTAACATTTATCTTTACCTTGTTCTCATATAAATTTGATAAACAGGCTGTCTATAAAGTATAACTCATAGGCATAGCACCTATAATGCCAAATATGCCAAGGTGTACCAAATTAAATTTGAAAATGAAATAATACAAAATTCTTGATAATTTGAAAGTTGTGTTTTTATTCAAAATTAACTGATTTTAGCGATATAGGTGCACCAAGAATGCTGAAACTGATCCAAAAAATGTCTTCCCCGAGTGGGCATGTCTACATTTAATATAGCCTTACGTCCTTATAACTGGTATAATTGATCATTTAAGGCACCAGACACAGAGGCAGAGACGCAAGTTGAAGCATTACAGCTTGCGCTCAACAAAACCAGGAACATAAACAGCTGCCTTCAAAGTGTTTATGATGATGAAAATAACATAGATTCCTCGGTAAGGGTTCAACTTTTTAAATACATGGACAGACCCAGAAACTCAAATATTGGGTGCAGTGTAAGGTTCCCCACATATTGGGTTACACAATGTGCTATAAACTGAAAATTATTTTTTCTTGAAAAACTAAAGAGTGAATGTGTTTCTGAAAATCGACACTCTATGTCTGCCTTATTAATTTCAAAACCTTTTAATTAAGATAACAGTAGATAACAGTAGATAGGGATCACATTTTGAGAGGGTCTGCATAACACTGGTTGTGAAATGCTGTTTGAATACCCTTTAATGATGTGTGCAGAAGTCTAATCTTTCATTGTTTTACTTGCAAAATTCAATTTTGCATTTACATTTATTATATTCTTGAAATGCCATTTGCTACAACGAGGGAGGGGCGAAGGGTATATTTTATATTCGTGTTATTTTTTAGAGCCGAACTATGATCAAGAGACTGGCTACTGAAAGGTACATAACAATTAACCGATTGGCTTATTTCTTAACGATCGCGAAAAAGATGCAAGTAACACCATTCGAAGAATGGATATTTGATGTTCTCAAAGTCCATTATGAGGGTAACCCGAAATTTGGAGATTCTGGAGGACAACACTTTCAGGATTTGTTCCCTAGCAACACCCGTGATACATTCCTAGGGCTGAGAGTAACGTTAGAGTTGGACTAAAATTTAAAGGTTGACTTAACATTGGATACAATGCCTCAGTCACATTTGATCTATGCCAACCATACAACAGCAGTCGCTTCAAAATATCGAGAAAAATATAAAGCATAAAATATAGGGATAAGCGGTATGATGTTGATTTTCTATATCGATTTTTTGGAGCTATGGCTGCTGGAGAGAAAATGTGACTCGGTCAATGTCAATGTGCTGAGCACTGATGTGATTGGCTAAAACATATAAATATTGAGAAGGGTTCAAAGTAATGCAGAATTAGTGATCTCCACAGGATTTTTTCTCAAGTGGGTGCAAAATTCCCATTTTCACAATTCAGACCAAAATTGGTTAAAATATGCTAATTTTTCATGATTCTTCTCATTTTCAAGTGGGTGCAAATGGATTTTCAGGTGGGTGCAGGGACTGTAGGCCTATTTTCAAAATTTCAGGTGGGTGCTGCGCCCAGTTGCTTTAATGCTGGGGAGATCACTGAGACTAGATACGAAGAATGTACTGTTCAAATTTATACAGGTTTAAATGTACTCTTACATATGTTCATTAAAGTGTAAATCTTATTTGGGGAAATAAATGTTTAAGATTGCAAAAACTGACTGTTTGTGAATTAACAGATGCCGAGTGAATGAATACATGTGTGACTGAAGAGAGTTACGTTACTTCCTAATAAATTGACAATTGCAGGAGAGATTGAACATTACAGGGCCTAGTATAAAATCCAATGGTTACGAGGAGATTGAGCTTTACTGGAGCACCTAAGCATTACAGAGATGATTCAAGGTTTAATAACTAATATGGGATAGATGAAAACATGGTCATTAGCAAAAAAAGATCTCATGCAATACATTGCGTTAAGAAGGACAAACTTCCATTAGTCCGTTGATTAATATCAAATTCTCCAAACCTTAAAATCATGTTTTTGCGTATATTCGGGAGAATAAAGATCAATGGCATAGCGTCATATACGCATAAAACGCCATGGCGTACTCTCAAAATTTAAAGAAAAGTTGATTTTTAGATTGAATTGCCTCACACTTTAAAAAAAGATAAAATGACCAATAATTTAAATGTCATTAGCTTCGCTCCCTCACGGCGTACACTCAAAAATACCCACGCCACTCCACTGAAGATTATGTTTATATCAAGTTACAACCCTCACAATTGATACAAGTCAAATATATGTAAATATATGAGCGCAAATGCCAAAGGTAAGGGTGACTAAAAACTTTAAAGAAACCGAACAAGAAAAGCAAACTGTAAGTGTAAATCTGTCATAAGACATAAGATGTTGTCAGTCTGAACAATCGCATATTAGTCTCAAACTGCACTAAGTGTAAACAAAGACATACCAGTCAGTCTGAACAATCGCATATTAGTCTCAAACTGCACTAAGCGTAAACAAAGACATACCCCATTGAGACATTGTTCCAGCGTATCCAATATGATCAGCTGAGACTCGTAGAAGTTTCTCTCTGCTTCAGCTCCATATATTCTCTGAAACACAAAGCTCATGCTACATTGGTAGAAATGAAGGTATTTGACATGACAATTGGTCTAATGATACTCAACTAGTCATATCAAACATACATCATAATTATAATTAACTATCCATATCATACTCAACTTTTCACATACATAAGACTCAATGAGGCAAACCATACTCAACTACTTATTTGATACCCAACTACTGACAACATACTCAACTTTTCACACAAGACTCGATGAGACAAACCATACTCAACTACTTATATGATACCCAACTACTGACAACATACTCAACTTTTCACACAAGACTCGATGAGACAAACCATACTCAACTACTTATATGATACCCAACTACTGACAACATACTCAACTTTTCACACAAAACTCGATGAGACAAACCATACTCAACTACTTATATGATACCCAACTACTGACAACATACTCAACTTTTCACACAAGACTCAATGAGGCAAACCATACTCAACTACTTATATGATACCCAACTACTGACAACATACTCAACTTTTCACACAAGACTCAATGAGGCAAACCATACTCAACTACTTATATGATTCCCAACTACTGACAACATACTCAACTTTTCACACAAGACTCAATGAGGCAAACCATACTCAACTACTTATATGATACCCAACTACTGACAACATACTCAACTTTTCACACAAGACTCAATGAGGCAAACCATACTCAACTACTTATATGATACCCAACTACTGACAACATACTCAACTTTTCACACAAGACTCGATGAGACAAACCATACTCAACTACTTATATGATACCCAACTACTGACAACATACTCAACTTTTCACACAAGACTCAATGAGGCAAACCATACTCAACTACTTATATGATACCCAACTACTGACAACATACTCAACTTTTCACACAAGACTCGATGAGACAAACCATACTCAACTACTTATATGATACCCAACTACTGACAACATACTCAACTTTTCACACAAAACTCGATGAGACAAACCATACTCAACTACTTATATGATACCCAACTACTGACAACATACTCAACTTTTCACACAAGACTCGATGAGACAAACCATACTCAACTACTTATATGATACCCAACTACTGACAACATACTCAACTTTTCACACAAAACTCGATGAGACAAACCATACTCAACTACTTATATGATACCCAACTACTGACAACATACTCAACTTTTCACACAAGACTCGATGAGACAAACCATACTCAACTACTTATATGATACCCAACTACTGACAACATACTCAACTTTTCACACAAAACTCGATGAGACAAACCATACTCAACTACTTATATGATACCCAACTACTGACAATTTTTCACACATGGCTCAACTATGCAAACCACACTCAACTAAACTCAACTACAGATATCATACTTACACATCATAATTACTCATTGACTACTCACACCAGACTAAACTACTCACATCATACTCAACTTTTCATACAAGACTCACCTATGCAAACCATACTCAAGCACTCAAACAAACTTAACTACTGACAATATACTCAACTATACTTATACTCAACTTTACTCATTTCATTCTCAACTCCTCAAATCAACCTGGAACCATATAAAATAACTCAACTTCTCAGTTACTCACCATGGAATCAACAAGCTGTAGGGTCTTTGTGAGTCCAGAGAGAACAATGGAGAATTTGTGTTTGCTGACGTTGATCAGACACTCTTTGTTCTGTTCTACATTCTGTATGGACTGACTGGTGTGGAGCCCAGTACGAATCGGCAACTGTAATTAAATAGGAAAGATTTAAAATTAATCGAATACATTGAGGATTTGTTTGAGGGTATAAAGCAATCATATTACGAGGCATTAACATGAAAAATGTCATCACCTGCCATTTGTTACAGAAACCAAATGCGGAATTCCGAACACCAACCACCAATCACTCACACAAAAAAGTTAGAAACTTTAACAAAATGTCACCATAAGACGTGTGGCTTAAAATATGCAGCACTAATTCTATCTGTACGGCATCTCAATATAGAGGTTTGACAGATAGCTTCTCATGTTAAATCAGAGGGGGGGATTTCTTGCAATCGATCAATATTGTCTCATTGTGCAGGGGTTTCATTAGCAGCAGGCAACAGGCGATTTTCACCTGTACTTTTCACAATTGCCTGTTGTTTTTAGAGACAGGCAAAATATAATGAAATCCCTGGGATAAATATCAATGGGTCCACCATATTCAAGAATGTTGGAACTTTATTTCACCTAAGTGGAAAATAGTCTCCTTCTCCATATAAAGTAAAACATATGTACAACAGAGAATGGCAACAAACAAAACTATATATGCTTGTTCTGTTGATGGGTAACATGTCAATGATGTTTACAAACTAATTAGAATCAACAGAGACATGTATGTGGCGTTTAGATTGTTTGTGTGTCTAAATTGTTGATGGGGTAATATGTGACTGATGTTCACAAATTTGAAAAATTGTCTGAAACAAAAATGGAAGGAAAATAGATCGCTTTTCAAATCATTTTTTCTATTTTATAAATTGCTGAACTTCCGGTAGTCCTCTTTTAAAAATCACCAGAAAAATTTGAACACTACTTCGTAAATTTCTGTAAAAACACTTTTTTGATAACTCGTTAGAAACATCTGAGCAACATCTAAGCAGTTGATAACTTACAGACTTTCGCAAACGCAGGACGGAGATAGAACATAGGGAGATAAAAAGTAAGCAGCTTTCGCGATTCTCTAGTAGCCTACTGGGGGTACGTGAGCAAAGACTGTTTTGTCTGGTCATTGAGACTTTGAAAGGGGTAATACGTGGATAAAATTGCAGCTACGGCCAGCCTTCGAAGAGGATTCTTCAATGATTAAGTCTAACTAGGAGAGTATTAGCAAAGTACATGCTCGAGTTGTAAGAAAATAATACCAGTGTGTAAATTATGATGTCTGTATAACTACTGCGCAAAATAACGAAGTATTTAGACACAGGATGTAAAATGCTAATGTACAGCATTTTTTATCTTTATTTTTCACACAATATTCTGATGTACATTTTCAAAATCATATTACGTGACAGTTAGAGAAGTGATCTTCATGAAAATGTTCATACCTGTGCATCAAACCTTGTTATTAACGACTGTACCCATTCACCGGGCTTTTGAGTTGCCATGATACCTGTATTCTCAGTTTAGTTCGATTGTTTTCAAACTCGCTCAATCAACTTCTTCGCCATTATTTTGTCTACACTGCGCATGCGCAGAATAATTCATTCATAATTTTTTCATTTGGACACTAACATGATGACCCACTTAGCGAGTGCGCATGCGCCAGTTCTACTTCCTGAGAGTAAAGTGAGATTTTGCTGAATTTCTCGTTATTATTTAGAATATCACCGTTAATATTAATACTTGATTGTGCATAGTTTGCTATAAGTAAGAATCGATTATAAATAAACATTTTATTGTATATATTCATGTCTCTGACGTTCTGGAAAGGAAATAGATCGAATTATACGCTGATTATACGTCGAAATTTCACCTAATATCGCCCATATATATTCACATTTTCAGCTTCATACTTGATACTGTCTATGTTTGTGATGACTAAACACGGGTTTCTCTTAAAATTATGAGTTATATAGGTGTCTGACATTCCCTTAGAATTAAAATAGCCTGAAAGTTTATTTTTTATTGCAGTTCAACACCGTCAGAAAAACAGAATCATGCCCAAGTACAAACAAACAAGGGCAAAGAAGTACTCAGACCCGAAGACATACATGTAACCTCATTTGATCCTTTGGTCTAGGTACTCTAGACCTTACCCAGTAGGTCAGTAGTCCCTAACAACAACATGGTCAGGATGTCTGTCTTATACAAACATTGCTAATGTCAGAATGTACACTACCGAAAATCTAATAGAATGGGACTGACCCCGGAGGGTTCACTTTAAATAATTTTGGAAGGTATGTGCAGCACGGCCAATTTTGGCTTTGGGCGTCAACCATGGAAATTGGCGAATCTGAGAAAAATGGAAAAATTGTCTAAGACTCTACGAGAGTACCTTTTTGAGGTCAAAAATCAGTTCTTCTACAAAAAATGGTACTAAATTGGCTAAATCAGTTGCTGAGGGTCGGGACAAATCAGCCGAAAAGTGAATTTTTAGTCAATTTACCAGTATTTCTGAAAGTTTAGTCCCAGCAAACTCCAGAGGAATTTGACATGGACATCTATGAAGTTAAGAGGAATAAAATGGACTTTTATAAGTCTGAGAGGAATTTAACATTGAAAGTTTCAAACTTGAAAAAAATAACATCGAAAAAATGCTTAAAATATTGAAGTGAACTTCCTAGGGACTTACCTTATCGATATTTTACAACCAATAATGGTTGTACATGTAAGTACAGTACACATATCAGTGATCTCCACAGGATTTTTTCACATGCGGGTGCAAAATTCTCATTTTCACAATTTAAACCAAAATTGGTCAAAATGTGCCCATTTTTTATGATTTTTGTCATTTTCAAGTGGGTGCAAATGGATTTCCAGGTGGGTGCAAGCCTATTTTCAAAGTCTCAGGTGGGTGCTGTGCCCACTTCCTTTAATGCTGGGGAGATCACTGCATAAGTTGTACAGTATTGAATCAAAAAATACTTTTTGAGTTTTAAAAACACCCCACAGACTGAAATAACCTACCAAATATAAATTCTTGGGTATATTTTCACGGGGTGCCATCGAATAATTTTTGGGTCGTACCGGAGAATGACATTTTACTAGGAAATGGCAATAATTTAGCACAATACATGTATATTTTTTAACTAGAGTTCTACTTTGATTTTGACAAAAGTAAGTATTCCATGCAATGACTATTTCATACATGAGTTTGTAGGAATTCTGTTGGAACCCAGTTCTGATCAAGTACGAAGTTATTGAAATCGGCGCAGACAGACTTTACTCCGAAAGATGTTTTTTTGATTACTAGTATAACTTTTTACAACATTTAAATATAGGCTTTTAAAAAAATGTCCGACACAGTCCTTATACTGTTGAATACTCCTGTTAATTCTGATTCACACATCTAGTACTAATACTAGTATAAGAGGCCACGCATTTCATTAGCCAAACCAAAAGCAATCCAAGATATACTGTTATATAAAAGTGGATTTCCCCTTTTTGAAGCTTTGAACTGAATGTACACTTCTTAATGCTGAAATTGATAGTTTAAGTTTATCCTTATATTTTAAGAAAATAGGTATGTCAAAGAAGATGTTAAGCCAAATGCTGCCTTGATAGCTCAGAAAAAGTTGAAATTTTCCTATTTTCTCTCTACAGGCCTTGTTGCCACTTTAATTTATCAAGTCATGAGTGTCATGCAAAAAATTAGCTTTCTTGAGTAGATTATTTTAATTAGCCTATTAATTTGGGAATTCATGTGAGAGCTTGAAATAAAACATAATGTCTTTATAATATACAAATATCATTCAAAGTCATGTAGGCTTCACTTGCGGATCCAGAAGCCAACAGAGGGGGCACATTTCATGTCGGCAAAAAGATTTAAAACCAAAAATTATGGCCTATTTTTTATAATTTGGCCTAAAAAAGTCAAGTCATGTGCCCAAAAATTTTTGGGACCCTTAAATTTTTTTCTGGGCCGTATTAAGGGGGGGAGGGGGCATGGCCCCCCTTGGATCCCCCTGGATCCGCCAGTGCACTTACACCATGGAACTAAACATTCCTTGGACTGGGTTCGATTCTCAAACAACTTGATATTTGTATATACATTTCAATTATCTTGAAGTTGATAATTACCCAGGCCAGGGTTACTGAACACTCCGAGGCGTACACTGATTTTAACTAAACCACATTTAAATAAGGGTCAATTTAATATATTGTATGAATATCTTTATTTTTCTATCTACAGTTAAGAAAACGCAGCAGTTTTTAAAGATTATGAGACCGATGCAGAGTTGTTGCAAGTAGCAGAAGATTGGTCAGTGGTCATCCAAGTACTACCCAACCATCCCCTATGGTGAGATAATTATTTTAAATACATATTTATTAGATTATATTTGTCTCAATGTATAACTTTTAAGTATAAAATTGAAGAATATTCTGAAAAAATATTTATTGAGAAATGCAAAGGGAAAAATTTAAATTCACAATTTTTATATGTTCGTATCTACTCAACTAATTTTGTATTGTTTTATTTTTTCAACTCTGGCACACCCAACCTGATTATGATTTCTGGCGATCCCACGCAACATGACAATGAGAAAGAATGATGGTGTATGACCCTGGCACACTCCACCCAACTTTGATTTCTGATGATGATGCATCAAGCTGGAAGTTTAGTGTACACCAACACACATATAATGCTACATCATGTACTTATCTTTGTTAGAAGGTCCCATGTCATTGTGAAACCGGAAAGTATTTTCAAGAAAAAGTCAAAAGTAATGTGATGTGATTATACAAATATCCTGCAAGTTGTGTAGGCTTACACCATGGAACTAATCATTCCTTGGATTGGGTTCAATTCCCAAATGACTTGATATCATATAGTATTCACATTTCACTTTTATTTTGGCCTTTTATAGAAGCATATACATAGTTTCATCTAAAAGTTTATTTTTTTATTTATTTATTTGCACACACTTTTACAGCAGTGGCACATGGGTCCTTAGGTCCCAGTGCGACATATTACATATTAAAATTACATAGTATAATATTCAAATTATTAAAAGAACAGTTAAAGGGAGAATCAGATCTATTGGGAGAGACAAATTGCAAGCGACATGTACAGTTGACCTACCAATACATGTACATGTATATTCCTTCGGGCTCAAATTAAAATATGATATCTCCCTAAAGATCCATGATACCTGTATGTTATGAACTGGTGAAATTATCAATTAGGATTCAGTGTGCCAAAATGGGGAAACTTGTTTAAATTCTCCCAAATAAAAATGGTAACCATAACATTAAAATAGAATGTATTATTGTAAAAATCCTAAAGTTTTTCTCAAATAATACAGCTGAGCTACATGTACTTTGGGTATTTTAGAAAATAGCATGGGCTTTCAATAGAATATTGAAAGCCCATGAAAATAGGCATGACAAGGAATGTTATGAGTCCAAAATATTTTGAAACTAAACAATTTTTGTAAAGAGTAACCATCTGGATTTTGCTAGATCTGCTTCTGCCTTTAAATGGTGCTGGAATAAAGTCCCAATGGTGCTTGATTGATGCTTGGCTATGCTTGGCAGTGCTTGAATCACAGGGTAAGACTGGTTATTAATTGTTTTGATGTCCTTTTGGTTAAAATGAAATAAACCACTGGAAAACACCAGATATATTTATTAAATAAATTATTTATTTTATCATATGCACTCAATGACCCCAAGGGGTTTCCCAGGGAATTCCCTCCAAAGGGCATAAGGGTGTCAAACTAGCTCAGCGCCAAGGCATCCAGGGCTACCAAATGTTGTATATTTAAGTGTCATTGGCTCAAATAATAGGTTTTTAAAGACTATCTACATGATTACATGATAGGGATACTATGAGTTGATGAACCACTGCCAGTTGCCCGGGACCAGTTATCAATGTCAACGAAAAGTCGTACAAAACGTCTGCTCCAATGAGGGGGTATGTTCTCACTTATTAATGGTGTAAATTTCACCAATTTAAGGGAAATGATACATAGGGATCTTATATCAATATTGAAATGTAAAATAAGCAACGAAACGGCATGGTTATGGCATATGAGAAGAATTTGTGGGACCTATTTTGAACAATTTTACACTGACTTCCTGTATGAGAGTAAACCGGAAGTTGATTTTACTCTCATGCGCAAGAAATGTGCGCAGGAAAATTAAGTGGGTCATCGTGTATTGCTTTAAAATACACGATAAATAAATGTCACTTTATAAAGTGTATTTCTGAGTATCAATTCTGATATTTTGTAAAGATTTTACTTAAAATGATTATCTGAAGACCTGGATTTATCGAAATTAAACCATTTTGATAAAAGTGATTCCCGGGGATTCCCTGGGATTCCCTTGACCAGGAACTCAGAACGAGGCCAAAATGTGGGGTGATAAAGTTTATCAAAATATGGCTTTTATCACATTTATTGCGTTCCTGCTTCACCATCACAGATGAGTGATCTTACAGCACCCTTAGACGATACCTTAATACTTGAAGACATGTCTGGCGACATTTTAACACAAAATGTGGAGGATTTCCCTCCAAACGAGAGGGGAGAAATAAATGTGGTGAACAATTCTGAAGAAAACCAATCTCCACAAATAACAAGAACACCTAGAAAGTCCTATGTGATACTTGCTGTTTTAGTCTTTATAAATTTGCTCAACTATATGGACAGATTCACCATAGCAGGTATTTTATTTTTCTCTGTTTTGGTTGGTTGGTTAGTCCATATATAGGGTGCTATCATGTCACCTGTTTTATTGTGAACATGTGAAGAAATTAGATGAGATTACTTCCTGCGAAAGCTATTTGGATTTTGATATAATAGCTTTCCCACGGAGCATTTGGACAGCTCAATGATCGTGACCTTTGAAATCGAATTAAGTCGATCCGCGGCTTACTTTTGGTCTCTAACTGTGTCTTACATCAGTATCATCAATCCGTGTAAGTATTGGAGCGCTGGAGTACTTCTTTTTCGATCAAGACTTGTAATTGTTAGTCGACTGAATCGTTTTACTGCCAAATTCCAATATGGCGGTTTCTGCTCGGACATTTTCGTAAATCTCCGGAGGTTGTCCGAACCTAACTAATTCTCAAAATTCATTTCGTTCGTTGCGTATCTCGCACCTAGCAAACCGCCATATTGGAAATAGGTCTGTAAAACTTTAACTCGATGAACAATTTACAAGTCTTGATCGAAAAAGAAGTACTCCAGCGCTCCAATACTTACACGGATTGATGATACTGATGTAAGACACAGTTAGAGACCAAAAGTAAGCCGCGGATCGACTTAATTCAATTTCAAAGGTCACTATTGATCAGCTGTTCACTTCTCCGTTTGAGAGCCATAAGTTTCAAAATCTAACATGGCTCTCGAAGTGAGTAAAGATGAGACATTGGCTTTCAAGCACAAAATCAATTTCAAGGATACTATACTCAAATAGCTTATTCTGGGAAGCAGTTCATATGGTTAAAATAACGAAATGATGTGATGTAACCATGTGTCTACTTATAAGTTTGTTCCATGTCATCCATCGGACTAGTCCAACAACATTAGACCTAGCCCGGGCCTCGTTTCTTATCTGACATGTGTTATGGCCCGGCTAGGTCTAACCTCCATGACCATTTTGCCTTTGATGCGTTAATTTAATCGTTCAGCAGGTTTCGACAAGCGGAACAAATTAAACCCTGAAAACATGACAATATTACACAAAGAATGTGATTCAAACATGCATACATACCTTATAAACACATACACCCCGTCCCGTATCCCCCTTAGACCCTATTGATGCATAATTACGAAAATATTGGAGACAGGTTTGGAAATGACGAAAATGTCGGTCAGTTTCGGTAACATCGAAATTGCAAATCGTTTCAGGAATTAACCGTCATCACGGCACTGCATTAACGAACATTGGGTTTGCAATTAATAACTATTTTGCGTGTATACACGCGCTATATAAATTAATCAAAGATACCCGTTATCCTCAAAATTGATCTTTTTATCCCGAGTAATCGCGATAATAATTATCAATCTATTTGACAACAATTTCGTTTCGCTGGTAGTTTAATTTTACGATCCGGGACACTCAGACGAACAGACACAATGACGGAACATGCGGAAATGTCACTTTAGAGATTGGTAAGTGTGGCCTCATTTTACTCGTATAAATGAACATTTAACACAAAAATATTGTGTTAAATCGCTTGATGTTATGTGTTTTTATATTATTGTCAAGTATCAGTTGCACGTTATCGCGGAAAAATGGTTTCGATGGATTCAGAACTTGCATCAAAGGAAAGAATAGCAAGGAGGTTAAACTCAATAACGGCCCCAACAAAATTCCTAATAATAAAGAACGCCGTTATTGAGTTTAACGACGTTGAACTACCATCGGACTAGGTTACATTGTGGAACTCAGCCAAACACGACACTGAAGGCAGTATTCTGAGGTTATAAAATCTAAATAATTTCCCATTTGCAGCCCCTTGGAGATTTCCAGAATTGAACAAAGTAGCGAACGTTGTCTTTCAACTTCAGTTCGTTGATTTTCACCACTTTATGTGTTCCGTTTCAATTTACATTTCAATGCATCATTTCACGTCTTTATGATTCATAAAATTAAAAAGTTTCCTAGCGTAATATCTTGATAAAGTTGATTTTAAATAGTCAGTAGCTTCAGGGGCCCTTCCTACAATATTTGACATCGTTATCTTGGAACATTTCTTTTATATTCAGCAGCAGATGTCCGAAAATCATTTTCTAATAAATGAATATCTTTCTTTGAAAACATGGCTGAGTGACATGTCACAAGTCACGTGATATCAACTAGTAACTAGACACCTGATCAGACATGTGACTTGCAAAATGGACGATCTAAATTTCAAAGATTTCGGCTAAGATCAATATCGATATGTTGTTGCCTTCATTGTCGTGTTTGGCTGAGTTCCACAATTCACATAGTCCGATGGATAGCATAGCACATACTGGTAAGTAGATTACGTGGTTACATTACATCATTTCATTATTTTATCCATATGAACTGGTTCCCAGAATAAGCGATTTGAGTTTACACCATTGTCGTTAACATGACAGAAGATCATTCTGAGTGTTGGATGTTTGCGCCTGTTACTATGATTTCATATTGGATAATAATATGCTTCTGGTGAATTTCGTTTAGAAGCAAGATAGACATTGTCGTTACATGAGTTTGTTCATTTCCCAGGGGTTTATTTTGTCTGTGAACAAGCCACTTTTGAGTAAAAAATTAACCATGTGAAAATCTTGAAATTTCTTGCAAAAATGACCTGCGCAAATGAGTGAATGACATCCCATTATAATTTAATTTGTAGATTTTTCAGATCTTTAACATTTATATTATACAGGAAATACATGTTTTGAAACGAAAAAGGAAAATGTAACTTATTTTTGGTCAGCCACTTCAAAACAGACATAAATAAAATCTACAAACAAACATTTGATTTTCAATTTGCTAATAGCAAGTTACATCCAACTTTTCTGTATTAGGAAAATGCAAATTCTCTGCGGAAATTCTGCATGAAAAAGTCAAATTCTGCACCAAATTCTGCATGAAATCCCGAATTCCGCGAAAAATTCTGCAAGCAACGGCTTAATCTGAACTATGAAATTGCATGGAATTCAAACTTTGTGACATATTAGGCCTAATCTTCAAGACAAAAGCTGGAAGTTTGAGAATTTTAAACAGATTTTATATTTCCCCTTCTAAATCCTCATAACACCAGTTTCTGATGACTGTCTGTGGAGTCAATGTGAGTGACAAATATGAGATAAAATGAGGTGGTTGACTGGAAAAATCACGCTTTCTGCGAAATTCTGTGCGAAAAAAATCAAATTCTGCAAAAATTTTGTAAAGCCAAATTCTGTGGTTTTTCTGCGGCGACGCAGAATCGCGGAATTGCAGTATCAGTGGGAAATGCTATTTTCAATTTGATTGGCTTGAAGTTTCTGAAGAAACAGCTATGCTTACTGTAATGCAAAGAATTTTTTCATTTTAGAGTCCAAAGAGTTGTTTTTCACAATAGTAACTTTTTAAGCTGAACTGTCATTGGAACTTAGGAGGGTACAAACTTCACCTGTCTAGAAGTTCAGCTTAGCTTTGCAACGAACGCATTATAGCCAGCTTTTGCCAAGGGGGTTCACTTTTGACAATTTAGGTCCTTAAATGGCCAAAATCACTTAAAAAGTGCTCAGAATGGTGAAAAACTGTGTGATTTTAAAGAATTTTTGGCCAGGGGGGATTTGCTCGAACCAATCAACCCCCCCCCCCCCCCCCTACCCCTGGATATGGGTCTGGCATCTGATGAACTGTTAAGTCCCACGTAAAAAGTATTTTTAGCAACAAATGTTGAAATGTTCCTTGATAATAACCAATAATGTCTCGGAGTACATTTTTTCTTTTTGTTGCTATAGAGATAGAATAATTGCCTGGCACTTGTAAATCTGCCTGTAAAGCTGAATAAATACCAAATCTACAAATGGTAAATGCAAATTTGATATGTACTTCTATATACAGGGTGGTCAAAAAATGCAATTCTGTTGCTATTTTCACCATATCTTAGGATTTTAGGAAATTATTCCCTGATATTTAGCACATATGTACATCATTTAATTTCCTACCATATTTCATGACCATCAGACTGATAGTTATAATGTTACACCACTTTGAACAACATGCTCCAAATGTTCAAAGTGCTGTAACATTGCGACTATCAGTCTGATGGTCATGAAATATGGTAGGATGGTTGGTATTGAATGATGTAAAAATGTGCCAAATAAAAGGGTGTAATTCTTCAAAATGACAAAGAAATTAGGAAAATACAGGGTTGCCTTTTTTACCACCCTGTACATGAATTTTGTTTCATTTTTGTAACTATTTGCAGGTGATTGGTTTGTTATGTTATTGACCCGATTTTATTGAAACCTTAAATGTAAAATTGATTTTTTTCTTGCAGGTGTTTTGGAGGAGATCATGAATTACTACTTCAAAGGTCAGAAACTTGACAGGGCCGCCACAGGGTTATTACAGACCTCGTTTATAATGAGTTACATGGTTCTGTCACCCATATTTGGATATCTCGGTGACCGAATTAGTCGTAAAGCAATCATGACAGTTGGAATATTTTTCTGGTCTGCCATTACATTGGCTTCTTCATTCATCCCAGCCGATGTAAGTTTAATATTCAGGGTGACATAAAAAATTCAAGCTGACACAAAAAATGCTACCCACACATAATGTTGCATAAAATTTTTCATTTGCAAGATTTCTGGCTTGTTCTTTGGTACATTAAGACTCCATTGAGCAACTCCACAGAACGTTTTAGGTGACTAGCTCAACTGGATGCACTTGGGCATTGGAATTCTTGCAGACAAATGTTCATCGGTGGATATACTTACTTGGTGCATCTTCGCACACTCGGCCTTCCGAGTGAACGGGGATGTACTTGGTATTTATTGGTACTTACTGATGCCCATCAATTGATATACTGAGCCTTATTCTTACATACTGATGTTCCACTACGAATATATACAGAATACTTATTGATACTTACTGATGTTCATCGGTGGATATACATACTTGGTGCATCTTCGCACACTCGGTCTTCCGAGTGAGCGAGGATGTACTTGGTATTTATTTGTACTTACTGATGCCCATCAATTGATATACTGAGCCTTATTCTTACATACTGATGTTCTACTACGAATATATACAGAATACTTATTGATACTTACTGATGTTCATCAGTGGATATACTGAGTATTCACTGTTACATACTGACATACTGCAATGGATATACATAGTACCATACCGAACATTCATTGGTACTTACTGATTTTCATTATTTGGATGAAATGAGGTGTGTACTGATGTTATGTTCATTTGATGTAGTTAGCCTCAGATCTTCTTTTTTTGCTATTGATACTAATAGAATATGTTTATGAATATATATACATATCAATACTATGTGTACAGACATTCCTTTGTCATCTTTACTGCTCATTTTTTTAGGATAAAATATGTACATTTCAAATTTTGTGTTATTGTTTACACTATGAAACATGGGTGGATTATGACCATTAAATTGAGATTGCATAATATTATTGATATTACGACCCCCTGCTATAACCTCATATTTTCTCATCTCCTACCAAGGTCAGACAGATGGCCTAACTTACTTATTCTTTCCAATGTTTGGGAAGAATTTTCAACCTTTTGGGGGAAGGTGCATCAATATAACTTATATATTTGACACTGGATAGAACAAACAACTTGGTGTCCATGCCTTGGTCTCTTTTTCCCTTTTTTACAGTATCTGATAATGATGAATTATTTGAACTTCTACCATTTGGAGATGCTTTACCCAATTTTGAAAATAAGATTTTTAATCCAATGGATATTGATTTAATAGAAGAAGATACACCTGAATTTGATTCTCTAACAGATGCCTCTATTAAGAGATGTAATTACAAATCACTGAATAAATTAAATAATATTTTAAATTCGAATAATTCCACTGAGATTTCACTTATCCATTCTAATATAAGAAGTCTATCAAAGAATCAGTGGAAGTTGGATAACTTGATTGCATCTCTTGATAAAAAGGTATCTGTTATAGCATTATCAGAAACATGGCTCTTTAATGAGGATGAGCATAGATTTCAGAATTATTTGACATACAATGGATTTTTTAAATCAAGGACTAGCAAAGGTGGAGGTGTTTGTCTTTATGTTCATAAATCCCTTACTGTTATTGAGAGAAATGATCTTAAATTTAATAATGATAGTTGTGATGTTGTCACTTTGGAATTAAAAATGGAAAATACATGCAATATCTTAATTACAGCTATTTATAAACCTCCTAATGTTAATATTGAAGATTTCAATGAAGATTTGGATATATATATGGCTACTATTTCAAGAGAAAAGAAAATTTCTTATATCATGGGTGATTTTAATATTGACCTTTTCAAAATCGAACAACATGCTCAAACAGAAAACTTTTATGAAATCATGAAATCATACAATCACTCTCCACTTATTTATAGACCAACACGTGTAACTTCAACATCAGCAACATTGATTGATAACATATTTACAAATGATAATAAAGTTAATTTATGTGGTGTTTTAATCTACGATATATCTGATCATTTTCCCATCTACGCTACTAATGAAAGAATACTTCCAAAAGCTAAAACAGTCTTAATTAAATACAGAAAAGTCAATAAGGAGTGTATCAATTTATTTAAATCAATGTTAAGTAACACAGATTGGAATAATGTAATCTCAATTAATGATCCTAATGAATCTTACAATATTTTTGACACAACCATCCGTTCTTTATATGACAAGTGCTTTCCTTTTTTGACTAAGAAAATAAAAATTTTCAATGATGCATCAAAACCTTGGATAACTTTAGGAATCATCAAATCTGTTAAAACAAAATCTAAACTTTATAAAAGATACTTAAGAAATCCATCTTATGCAAACAAAACCACTTACAAATCATATGACAAAATCCTTAGAAAAATTGTAAATGCTTCTGAAAAACACTTTTATAGACAAAAATTTCAAGCAGCTGCCGGGAGTATTAAAGACAATTGGGAAATTATTAACGATTTACTTAAAAGGAAAAAACATAATTCTAGCAATGTAACTTCTTTTTTGCACGATGGTAAAGAAATAAAAAATGAACAGGAAATTGCAAATCATTTTAACTTATTCTTTTCTGAAATTGGTCAAAATCTTGCTTCAAAAATCCCCTCTTCAGATAAAACACCCTTAGAATTTATGACAAATCTCAACCCACAGTTAAGCAGTATATTCTTAAATCCTATTGACTCAAATGAACTACTGAAGGAATTTAAACAATTAAAAGATTCGGCTGCTGGAGTAGATGACTTTAAACCTAATATCATTAAGCAATGCAGCGATAATTTTCTTAAACCTCTCTTACATATATTCAATAACTCATTCTTAAAGGGTGTTTTTCCAGATAAACTAAAAATTGCTAAAGTTACCCCTATTCATAAAAAAGATGAACTCAATTTATTTACTAATTATCGGCCTATATCAGTTCTTCCTGTCTTTTCAAAGATCCTAGAGAAACTTATGTATGCACGGATGAGTAATTTTATTGTTAGATTTGGAATTCTGTACTTGAATCAATACGGCTTTAGAGAAAAAAGATCTACTTATATGGCAATTCTACAATTTGTTGAAAAAATTAAGAAATCTGTTGATAGCAATGAATTCAGCATTGGGCTCTTTTTGGATTTTTCAAAAGCATTTGATACCATCGATCATAGCATACTGTTACAAAAATTAGAATTTTATGGATTTAGGGGACCTGCTCTTAGGTGGGTCTCAAGTTATTTAACAAATCGAAAACAATGTACCAAATATCATGATACAAGTTCATCTTTTGAAACTATCAAATGTGGTGTTCCACAGGGATCTGTTTTAGGGCCCCTATTCTTTATCCTTTATATTAATGATATCTACCTGGCCTCTCCAACACTTCTCTTTGTTCTGTTTGCCGATGATACAAATATTTTAATCAGTGGAAATAACCTTAATGAAATTAAAGATACTTTAAATACTGAACTTAATCAAATTAGAGATTGGCTTGTAGCCAATAAACTTTCTCTTAATATAAATAAAACCAAATACATATTATTTTCTTCTAAGCAAAAAAAGATAAATACCACAAATTTAGATATATTTATTGATGGTAAAAAGATTGAAAGAGTAACACATACTAATTTTCTTGGATTGATCATTGACCAACACCTTACATGGAATGACCATATTAGTAAAGTCAAAATGAAAATATCGAGAATAGTTGGCATTTTGTATAAGATTAATCATTTACTAGATAGGAAAACCTGCATGACTATATATCATTCTCTGATTCATTCCTATTTAACATACAGTACACTCTAAAAAATAATTACTTAAGTTTGTATTATCTTTGTATTCACAAGTAATTTAATTCCTAGGTCAGGTAATTGTTTTTGTCCCAAAGGGGTTTTCATTTTTGTAATTATATTACTAGCATAGTATTATTTTGACTGAATTACTATATTGAGTAATTAAAAAATTACTTGTATCATAAATAATAATACTTATTAAGTAATTATTTTACTCTATTCTATAAGTAATTGTTTTGTTCCAAAGGGTATTTTATATTTGAGGATAACATTACTTAGTAATTATATTACTTAAGTATTGAAGTTACCTAATTAAAAATTGAATAATTTGTTCAAGACTTTTTTTCTTTTTTAACTTGGCTAGGATTTATTTACATATTATCAAGAGAATTCTTTTGTTCTCAAGTTTCCACATATGTCCATGATTACATACAGCACTTTGAACAAATTGTAACCTTACCTTTGGGGACCAGATGTAATAGTTAACTGAATATCACAAAATGGAGTTTGTCTTATTAGGTTAATATTAAATAGAGTTAGCATTAATTAATTGTATGTTAATCAGCTTCACATAAAATTGACATAGTTCTTTGCAAATTTATAATTTTATAATTTTGTTACAGTTTCTTTTAATAAAGAATTAAATCTTGATTATAAAAATATTAAAAAACATGATACTACATTAAGTAGTTATTACTATTTTAAAAATTTAGAATACTAAGTATTAGAATTACTTAATCTTATCATTTTATTGCAGTTAAACATATTAATTCATTAACATTGCTGTTGCTATATAGTAATTCAAACATCGAAAGATTACCCAGTAAAGTATTTCCAATTCAATGCAATTAAACTTAGTAATTCCTTTACATTGCTGGTATTATCATATTTCTATTAAGTAATTCAAATATTAAAAATATTACTCAGTAATGTATTTTGAATTTAGTGCAATTAAACATTTATTTGGTACCATTTATTTACATTGCTAGTATTATAATATTTCAATATAGTAATTTAAATGTTAAAAGAATTACTAAATAATGTATTTTCAATTAAATGCTATTAAACATAGTAATTAATTTACATTGCTAGTATTACTATTAATGAAATGTTAAAATTCAAATGGGGAATAAAATTACCTAGTAATATTATTACTTTTATATGCAAATAAAACAAAAACAGAAACAATTTATTTACAAATAAAGTATTACAATTACTAAGGTAAGTAATTCACACAAATAAACAATTACTAAGTAATATGATTACATTTTAGGTGACACAAGTAATTTATAAATTACTTAGTAATCAATCAAATTACTTCAGCTAGCTGTCAAGTAATATTTTTTTAGAGTGTAATATTATTTGGGGAAATGCCAATATCACCTCAATTAATTCACTTCATTTAATACAAAAGAAATTTGCTAGATTAGTTACTCATAGTGGATATAGAGATCATAGTTCACCATTATTTAAAGAATTAAGAATTCTAACCATCCATGATATATTTAAAGTCAACGTAGCTGAATTTTTCTTTAAGTGGCAAAATAATGAAAACAATATCCATGATATATTTCCTAACTTATTTACAAGGCATATTGAATTACACAAGTATGATACAAGAGGTAAATACAACTATGCCTTGCCCCAATTTAAAACAGAATCCTTTGGAAGAAAGATGCTTTCATTTTCCGGACCATTTATTTGGAATGGCCTCCCTTCAGAAATTAAAAATTCAAGGTCGAGTAAATGCCTTAAATCTAAATATAAGAAACATATTTTGGCTTTGTATACATGATTTCATTTTACACTTTTCATATTCATGTATTTTATATAAAAATGATATACAAATATAACTCGAAGCCTGGGTACTGGACACTAAACCTGTAAATATTTATATCTGTGATGCACCTCCCCCACCAACACTTCCTCTTCGATCTTCTCTAAGACAAAACTTAATCTTGATATGTTTGATAATTCCTTGACCTTACCTTGTTCTTAATATTCGTAATATTATGCTTTAACATGTACGGGTATAAACATCAGAAATGATGTCACCTGTTAAACCTTTTATATGTACTGTATTTTATTATATTATTAAGGAATAAATTGAATTGAATTGAAATGTTATGCAACATTATGCGAGTTGCGTTTTTGTGATAGAAAAAAATCCTATAATTTTCCCATTCGCGTGAACAGGTGTTGTCATCATCATATGCCATCTAGGAGCAGTAATATCTCCAGCATTGAAGCCATACAGTGGCGCCATCTATCAGAATGTTTTGTTTGGACATTTCATAGTTTAGTTTAAAATAGTTTATTAAAGTGTCACCTGTGACATATACAGTTAAATACAACATAGTATAAAAAAACATTAAGTACAAGTATAAAAATCACAGCTAGCCGGCATCCGCTAATGAGACACCATCATTTCAGAACATTATAAATATATAATAAAATATTAACTGTTATTGCACAGTGATTAATTATGTATTAATAATACATTTTCTCTTGGACGGCATTATGTATGGAGTGAGTACATGTATATGTGCATGTATTCCAATCTGGTTTCTGTAGCATTTTTATGTCACCACCACTATATTGTTATAGTCTCCAACTTTTTTGTTGCGATATTTGGTGTTTGGCTTCTATAATAAATGGCAGGGGTGACATTTTGCTTATTAATTAGTTTTGGAACGCTTAAGTTTGGTATACACTGAATTAGTTTCTTTTTTATTTCAGTCTTATGGCTGGTTTGTCTTCATGCGAGGTATGGTCGGAATCGGAGAAGCCAGTTATTCTACCATAGCACCCACCATATTGGCTGATCTATTCACAGGCAAACAGAGATCTGCTATGCTGGCTATTTTCTACTTTGCCATTCCTGTAGGGAGGTATGTTAATATCATCATGTAACTCTCCTTAAGGATCTTGTGTCATTTTTGCGATTATAATTTAAAAGCATGATGTATTGAGCCAGCCAATGTTGATGAGTATAAACTAACGAGGATAAAAGTTAAGGAGTATTTAATTTCAAAATCTCTCCATTTATTTGGTTCACTTAGGTTTAAACAAATGATTTAATTCTGATCAATGTTTTTGTAAACTGATTGTATTTAATTAATTGTATGTTTATCGTACACTTAAATGTATGTAATTTATTTTGAAAAAAAAAATTAATTCAATTATTGTATTCTGTACTTAAACCTGCACATCGCTCCAAAACGCAATATGTTGACATATATTGTTTTTACATTTTCAAGCTCTAATATAAAGTTTATGTAAATAAAAATTGTTTTTTTCTGCGTAATATCAAAGAACAATCATTTAGTTAAAAAAATAAAAAGGCGAATGCGGGATTCGAACCCGGGCCTCCCACGTGCTCGGCGAGGATTCTACCGCTACACCACCATAATATTACATATGGTGGAAGTAATTAAACGCTACTCATTTTGCATGCTATGATTCGGAAGTGACGTCACGTTCTTCATTTAGAAACCTTTCCAAAATCATATCGCCGGCTCCGATCGAAGCAAATTCAATGAAAAATCTTTGAAATGACACATTTATCGTAAGTATTTCTACACAAGATTTGCCCCATTTGTTCATCATTCTATAATCTTTCATTAAGCTCAAAATGATAAAGTTCACCCCCGAAACAACCCAAGATTGCGTTTCGGAGCGTAGTCCAGCTTTAAAGTACAATAAACCCAACATAACTGACCTTTATTTTCTAATCCAAAAATTGCTAATCTTCTATATTTCAGTGGAATGGGCTACATAGTTGGTTCAAATGTGGCAAAAGCTATAGGTTCCTGGCAATGGGCCCTACGTATTACCCCAGCCTTAGGGATCATCTGTGTTTTTCTTATACTTATCCTTGTCAAAGAGCCTAAGAGAGGAGAAGCAGAGGGTGGCACCCATTTAAGCAATACCTCATATTTCACAGATCTTAAACAATTAGCTAGAAAGTAAGTACTCTTCCCAAAAATATCCTAAATTGTCAAGTTTGACAATTCTTATACTGTAAGTCTGCATCCTCCTAAGCAGGTGTCCAGAATCCGTACATCCTTCTTCCCCCTGCTATAACCAATTTGGAAGTGCCCGTTTGAACCGAATCACATGATCTTATTATGCGCAATGACTTATACATGATTTCTGTCAATCAAATTGCGAGTTCTTAATCTGGGAAATGTTAACTGCTTATCGCATGGGGTAAAAAGAAAGAATATATTCTGGATTTTGAAGCCCTGTGATCGGAGAATGTAAGTCTGAAACAATCCAAAATAGATCATTTTTTGTAACTGTTTGAAGAGTCTCACCACAATGATTTGGACTAGCAATTTTAGTACTCATGTTTTAATGTGCCTTATGCTGTACTTTTTTTTGCAGTAAGAGTTTTATGTTAAGCACCATTGGGTTTACTAGTGTAGCTTTCGTCACTGGAGCCCTGGCTCTTTGGGGACCTTACTACGTTCATCAAACCATCAAAGAAAGGGGAGAACACACAACAGAAGCCCAGTAAGTCAGATATAATAACCCTGTAGGTTGTGTTTTAAAGCTACGTGGGTTGTTATTAATACATAATAAGCCTCTATGGTGTGTTATGAAGATTTCAATGCTATGTGGGTTGTTCAAAAAGTACTGATACAAATGCCATCATTTTTTTTATCAAGTTGCAATTTAAGGTAACTTTAAATGACTAAGGTTTACCTCATAATATTTATTCAGTATTTATACATACAAATTGCCTTCAATTTCTGAGAATCTCACTTTTGTTCATTGATAAATTCCTTGAAAATTGAGAAATTTTATCAGTATTTCTTGGATGCCTCTCGTAGAAGGCAAAACTTGTTAAAACTGAATTGTTTGTAATAGTTACCAATACAGTAGATTGTTTTGTATAAATACCAATAATTACTGGTAAAAGTTTGATATAAAAGTTGCAGTTGCTCCCTTCGCTCATAACACCCATGAGTGTTAGACTGAAAGATCTTTTACCCGACCAGCAAACTATTTTTGTGGCCCAACCCGACCCAGACGGTATCTGACCCGTGACATCTCTATTATTTATTGTTGGCAGAATATAAAAGATATATTCCTTATTTTCAGAGTCAGCCTAATATTTGGCATTATCACAGTCCTGGCTGGGCTTATAGGTGTCGCCTGTGGTTCAACAACTGCCGCAAGATGGAAAGTCCACAATCCTCGTGCAGACCCTTTAGTTTGTGCATTTGGGCTACTCACATGTGTTCCATTCTTGTACTTGGCATTGGTCTTGTCTAGGTACAACACCGCGGCAACATGGGTAAGGACTTAATGTAAAAAATTGTTAAGACAATCATACATATTTTATTTCATGTCTAAAATTTGAAGGGTTTGTACAATGAGAGAGTAAACTAGCCTGTTTATTTCATATTTCTACTCTCCTTCACTCTCTGTTTTCTTCGTAAATGTGCATTCACTGTTACCATATATTTCCACTATATCAACAGTCTTATAACAGGGAGGTTAAACTGCACATTTTTAAGAGAACTTCTGTGTAGAAATGAAACATTATGAATTCTGTAGGGATTACTGACCCCCTATCAATTGTTTTGTTTATTACAACTTTTCCCTTATACCTTCAAACTCAACTTGGCAAGTAAATACTGCACAGGGGAGGATTAATCCAAGGGGACCACACATTTGTGGCTTACTAGTTCTCCTAAAGACTTGATGCTCAACCTCCCTATTCATTTAAAGGGGGTAGTATGCGCTGTTGGGCCAAAAGAGGCCTTGAGGTCATTACTTGGCCTTTTAAGGCCTTATTTTTAGCTTCAAGCCAAATTTTGAAAAAAATGGGCCTCGAAATTTCAAAATTTGAGTCCATTTTTAGGTTTTAGGGGCCCAAATATGAGGCCCAAAACTGAAAGTGTGATTACTTCACTGCATTGTGATTCAGTTTATTTACTTTATAGGTTCTTATATTTCTTGGAGAAACAATGTTGTGTCTGAACTGGGCTATTGTAGCAGATATCTTATTGGTATGTACTGTACTTTAATTAATCTTCCCATGTTATGTACTTTTGTGGTGATATCACCAAGTGTCAAGAAATGCTTCACTATGTCTAGAGAAAAATGTATCGATGATATTGAATGATAATGTAAATAATATATAATTAAGATTAGGTCCGTAATCAAGAGGGTTCGTGGGGTTCGAGCGGACCCCCCCCCTTGCCAAAAAATTATTTTAAAAATGCAGTTTTTTAACCATATTGGGCACTTTCAAGTGATTTTGGGCCAAGATTGTCAAAGAACCCCCAGTGGAATTTTTGAAAAAGTGAACCCCCTTGGCAAAAGCTGGCTATGCGCCTGATGACATTGATGACATTATTAGCCAAGTGGGTTATTAATTAGCCAAGTGGGTAATAATCCCTATAGCAAAGCCACTACAAGTGTACAATGTTTATGTATAAAATAATTTCTGAATAAAAAAAAGATATCTTTACAGGGAGTGGTGATACCAACTCGCAGATCTACTGCAGAAGCATTCCAAATTTTAGTAAGCCATGCATTTGGAGATGCTGGAAGCCCATATCTAATAGCAGCTGTAAGTTTGATGCATTGCTTCATTTAAAACATATAATATAGATAATCTCTCATGTCTCTCTAATCAGACCTTGTGATACTGAGATTTAAATGTTTGGAGGTGTCATAGCTTAGGCATGGGGAGTGCGTATGAGCAAGCTCACTGGTAGGATCTATGTACACAGATTATAAAATGCTCATTTTATGTTGAGGTCCGGTTCGTACTTAATTTTAGAATTATTAGATATTAGAAATTAAAAAGTTTATAATATAGCTACCGTAGATCACAAATCTGGACAATGTGTCTTAGCTTCTTTTTTGTATCAGCAGGTTGCATGGTTTATATGATATCATTTCCAGATCGCAGATGCATTATCTATAGGCCAGCGCAATACCCTCAGCACCCAGGTGTGGACTTTCCAGTATGGACTTTTCATTACATGCTTCGTGGCAGTCCTAGGAGGGGCAGCTTTTCTAGCATGTGCAATCTTCATAGAGAAAGACAACAAACGTGTACAAAGAATTATCCATGGTATGGTCCTCTAACATTTATTTTCATTTTTTTAGTCTTAAGAAAATCATTCATTGTTACAGATGCAGTTTAATACATCATTGAAGCTCCAAACTGCTTTGGAAATGAGAATTAATGTACATGTATTTTAATATAAAATGCACATATAATGCAATGCAATACAAAATAATGCAATATCTGTCACATAATGCTGTACAATGCTCGTATGAGACTGACAGCATAAGGCATACATTGGCCTAAATCCATACACTACACATATTTAATCATAATATTATTTAGAATATCACCTTATAAGGTATTTAGGATTTTCTGTTGGTTGAAAGATTTAATTGAATGTTTTAGATTTCTAAACATATTTCTTTTTTGTCAATTTGCCTGTCGGTTTTAAGGAAAAACTTTTTATCACTTTTTATTATCTGTTGTCTTTTCATTATAATTCTGAATTTTATTACTCTTCATGGTCTTGCAGTTTAATGGATATTAAAATACTTAATTTTATTGACATGATCTGCTCTAAATACACACTCAGTTTTTATATTTTATTCTTTGCTAAAGTGTCTTTTTATTATTTAATTTTGAATTGACTTTAAAATTTTAACTTTATGTTTTTGGTGATGGATGGCTCTCTCCATCAATGTCATTACGGATTTTGGAAAAAAATAAACAATTGGTGACTTAGTCGCAACCAAATATGTTTCATCTATTCATGTTATTATTAATTGACCAATGTAAATTATAGGTTTTAAGTTCTAAATGTTTAACAAATTCCACTTATTCAGGCCCATAATGTTTCATTATATATTTGAAACTGTTGAATACTACACTAGTCAGGAATATTTAGGTGAAAATATTTCAAAAATATATAGAAGCAATTTAAAGGTTGATTTCAAAACTTCATACCATTGTTTTGAAAACCTGAAGTGGCACCAAGCGATCCATTGACTTTTTCACCGAAAATCCAAGATGGCCGCCGCGATGTATCAAAAAATTATAAAAAATGACTAAAGTTATGATTTAATGATTCAAAATAGTTGTATACTGATCAGACATGACTAATAATAGTACCTATAAGAAGTTCATATCCATTTAAAGTCATTGGATCATTTTTGTGTGAAAACTGGAGTCCCACAAGGCTCAATTTTATGTCCCTACTTTTTTTGCATTGACCATGGCATTTGCACATAGCAATGCATAGAAATCCATTTTTGTAACATGTGCACCTAGGACCACATTTCACTTTGCACCCACACTTGACCAATGCTTCGCATGCTGCTTGAGGAAGGGATGTATATAGTGGCACCAGGAGGGACATGTCATACTGCCAGCCCCATGTTGTGAACTCCGATACCCATGTTGGATTGAGATTGTACAGTTGGCCTCAAACAATACGACCTTGGTTAGCAAGTTCTTAAAATTTTCTGTGCAAGGGCTCCTTTTGTTGGTGGCATTCTATCAATGACTGTATGGGCATCACAGAATATTTGCCTTCGTGCTGCATTGATATCTATCTGGTTGCTGGTTTGATCATATACTAGAACAGTAAAACGTTTTAGGGACTGAATGGCATGAACTGACAAAGTCAGGTTTGTTGTAACCATTTGTGCTACTTGTAGAAAAGCTGGAGTAACTTCCTTGAACACATTCCATAGCTTGAAGGGCAGATTCTTTGCTATTGGCCAAAGAATGGTGCAGTTATATAATATAATTTAATACCTGTATTTTTGAGAGGTCAGAAGGCAATCCAAATTGACACTTATTGCACCCTTATGCTGCAGCCATTGCATGAACAACTACACCATTATCTCCGCTGATTCTGATTATGAATGTCTTTTTTACCCTCTGAGGTCATCTGTTTTACCTGAACAAAGAGTCTAGTGTAGTATCAGCTTCTTCATGAGTACAAGGTTCAATCATTACTGTAACTGGCAACTGAGAAAAGCACTTCAACAGATTCCACAATAGTCATAAACATCAACCTCAAAAATAGAGTTGGCCAGGAATGCTAACAGCTCAGTTTTGTTCTGGTTGTTTCTTAGAAAGGCTAACCAATTCTGGGGCATCACATTCTCTGCATAAACCACCCATTGCCACAATGAGTCCTTGTCAGGGACTTCCTACTGATTTATAGGTAGACATCCCAGATAACATCTTATCTTGAAACACCTTCCATAGGCTGCCTTAACTTGGGATGAGACATTGGTACCATATTCTTGGAAGTTGGTAGCCACACCAGGATGCATCACATGGACCAGAAGGATGCCATCTATTAAAATTGCATCTGCAGGTGGCTTTTCCAATACTTCAGATCCATCTGGCTTAGCTTCTTGACATTTAAGTAAGTCTGCTTTTGTTGTAGGTCTCATGGCTCCGTGGTTATGTAGGGATGGTGGGAACTCATGGTTTTCATATTTTAAAAACTCAGACATGTCATTGTGTCTTGATTGGCATGCAATGTAGAGTAATAGCAAAAAGGTCATAATCATGTCTCAGATCCTTGACTTAAGGATTCACTTACATGCATGGTTGGTGTGGTCTAGGGAGAAAAAAACAAAGCATCATCTGCAGTGATTCCTGAGGTCAAGGAACTGAGAGAAGAAAATTACCTTTTTGCTATGCTCTATATTTGCCTTTGACAATCAAGACACATAACATGTCTGAGTTTTTCAAACATGAAAACCATGAGTTCCCGCTATTCCTAGCTAATCATGGAGCCATGAGACCTACAACTAAATGACCTACTTAAATGCCTAGAAACTAAGCCGAGATGGACCCAAAGTATTGGAAAAGCCAACTGCAGATGCAGTTTTAATAGACTGCTCCTTTCTGGTGTCTCATCCCAAGTTAAGGCAGCTTATGGAAGGTGTTCCAAGATTAGATGTTGTCTGGAATGTTTACATACAAAACAGTGAGAAGTCCCTAACAAGGATTTATCGTGGCACTAGTGCTAGAAGGATGATTTATGCAAAGATGCACAAATGCCAAAGAATTGGCCAGCCTTTCTAACAACCAATGGAACCACACTAGGCTGTTTGCATTCCTGGCCAACTTTATGTCTGAGGTTGATGTTAATGAAAAGCAAATGATAGCTACTATTTGGGAATCTCTTCAGTGCTTTCCTCAATTGCCAGATACAGCAATGATTGAACCTTGTACTCATGAAAAAGCTGACACTAGGCTCTTTGTTCAAATAAAACAGATGACCTCAGAGGGTAAAAATACTTCATAATCAGAAGTGGAGATACCGATGTCCATTTTCTTGCCATGGCTGCTGCATTAGGGTGCAATGCAATAGGTGTCAATCTGGACAGCCTTCGGACCTCTCAAAATAAAAAATTACAGGTATTAAATTATATTATATATTATAACTGCACTATTCTTTTAGGCCATAGCAAAAAATCTGCCCTTCAAGCTATGGAATGTGTTCAAGGAAGTTACTCCAGCTTTTCTATATTTGGCACAAATGGTTACAACAAACCTGTTTTTGTCAGTTCAAGCCATTCAGTCCCTGGAACATTTTACTGTTTTATTATATGATCGAACCAGCAACCAGATAGATATCAATGCAGCATGAAGGCTAATGTTCTGTAATGGTCATACAGTCATTGACAAATACCACCAACAAAAGGAGCCCTTGCAGAAAATCTTAACTTGCTAACCAAGGCGGTATAGTTTGGTGCCATAACCAAAATTGATATCGAGTTCACAACATGTGGCTGGCAGTATGACTCCTGATGCCACTAAGTACAGCCCTTCCTCAAGCAGCTAAGGCATGCCAAGCATTGGTCAAGTGTGGGTGCAAGGTGAAATGTGGTCCTAGGTGCTCATGTTACAAAAATGGATTTCTATACATTGCAATGTACAAATGCCATGGTCAATGAAAGTCATTGGACTAATAAAAAAGTAGGGGACATAAAGTTGAGCCTTGTGGGACTCCAGTTTTCACACAAAAATAATCTAGTGACTTTAAATGCATATGACCATCTAATAGTTACTATTATTAGTCATGTTTGGACAGTATTTAACTATTTTGACAAATTAAATGATGATATTAGTCAATTTTAGTGATTTGCCGATACATTGTGGCGGCCATCTTGGATTTTTGGTGAAACAGTCAATGGATTGCTTGGTGCCACTTCAGGTTCTCGAAAGGATGGTATGAAGTTTTGAAATCCACCTAAAGATAGCTTCTATATATTTTTGAAATATTCTGTGAACTTATCTCCTATTCAAACCTGACTACACACAGTACACGTTTCCAAGAATATTACAAAAGTCCATTGTTTGGTTATTTTCAGGACTCAGTGAAGCGGGTGACCTTGAGAATGACCTTGCCCTCCCTGCACCAGACATTGATGTCACAATTGATGTAAATCAAAGGAGGACGTTGGTCGATAATGAACAAAATGTAATTGCATAAAATTCAATGGGAATGCAGATGTTAATAGGCTTTATATATGATGAAGCTGTAGACCAAATTAAGAAATCTCATTAAAATATTGAAGTAAAATTTTACCAGCTGAATGGAAAAATTGAGGAATTTGATAATTGAACAGGTTAGAAAATCATATTTTGTATCGATACTGGTTCTCCTACCTTAATCTGTTTAGGAAACCTTAAAAAAATTGTAATCGTGTTCATGAGAATTTCTAGTATTTTTTGCATACTTTTTGAAAATATATCATGTTAATGTAATAACATCACCACCACAAGTATTATAGTCTCCAATTTTTTTGTGGATGGTGTTCGGTGGTTGGTGTCTGGCGCTTGGTGTCTGTACCAACTGGCAGGTGGTGACATTTTGCATGTCAATGCCTTGTTAAAGTTTACTGTCCTTCCGTCCCTGCATCACATGACAGATTTGAAACGTAATAATTTCTACTCTGAAAATATGCAGTGTTTTTGATTCATCTGGTGAGATAATAGTACTTTAAATTGATTAATATGAATGAGAAACAAGATCTGTATTTTTATGTCCAGTATTTTCCATTTTATATGAATTTTGCCTATATCATTTGCCAACATTTTTCAACATATTAAAGGAAGATTTTTTGAGTCGCAACAGAATGATAGAGAAGTTAAACTTGCACCTTTATTTAGATAGCAAAAGCAGGAAATTAAAACTTCTCTATTTTCCATAGACCCAGGAACATGTACTGGTATAATTGATTTTTTTCTTATGAGACTCATGCTCCGATTGGACAAACTTAAATTTTGCATTAATTATACATTTTCCTGGGCCTATGGTATTTTCTGCATGAAGGTTTAGAATTTCGGTTTGGATGATGCAAACAGAACTAATAATCAAATATGAGACATATTTTCAAAGTTTTTCGCTATATATGAAAGCAATAGAGTTAACCATTACGCAAGAATGTAAAAGTTTAGGAATAGCTATTTATAATGGCATCCTATTTATCCACCTTTGTTATTTGCTGTTTAGTATTTATTCTAGGTACATTAAGTATAAGTGCATTCTCATATTATGTGTATTGCATTCATCCAATGTGACCATTTCAAAGTTTAATTGACTTTGAATTTAAATTGGTTTTGAATTTGCTCTGGTCTTGTATGAACAATGTTAAGATGGAATTCCCCAGCAGGTTAATGAAACTGTGGATATTTGTTTTGAAATTTTTTCTTAATATTTATAAAATATTTATTAATTTTGTAAAATATTTCGTTTTATGCATGCTTGTACGTATTCAGTCAAATTGTAAAAACCTCTGTAATAACATATCATTGTTTGTCAGATCATTCATTTATACATAAAAATATACGTGTTTTCTCCAAGTCCTTCATTCTCCAAGTGCATGGATTCAGATTCCTATGTTCCTCTCTATTTAGACAAAGTGAAACTTTACATTTGGAGAATGGTAGGTTAATGCCAAACGAACATGAAGTATTATCATAGTTTTAATCACTTTGATGAGTTCTAATTTGATTTTTTGATTGTTCGCCAGACATGTCTTCAAGAGGAAAGTTCATAAAGGTGATTAGAATTGTGAAAAATAATGAAAAAAGTAATAATGTTTTTATGTGATATTCTATTATACATATGCTACACTAATGTTATGCTGTCATGCAACCACATGTATTTCTAACACTTAATGATAACATTGTCATGGTGATAATACTTAATGATAACATTGTCATGGTGACTTAGATCGTTATACAGCAAAACTTTGTGAGTAAAACATTTTTGGCATTTTAAAAAGTGTTTCACTTGGGAGAATTTCTACTTGTAGAAATAAATTTTGTCACCTTATTTTGGAAATCTATTCCACTTAGGGGAGGCATCAAAAGATCAATGTCTGATAGAAAACTAAATAAATCTAGTTTGGGGGGAGGGGGTCAAAGCTATTTCAGTTTGCTATCCGACAAATTTCAACATTTAATTTTTTTGCAATTTCGACTCGAAATGCCTTGGAATGGTTTAAAAATAAAGACTTTATGAGATGCCTTCTTCAACAAGATGCATGCAACATGGAATATTATGCCTATTGTTGATGGCACATGTTTTAAGAGTTATAAATAAGTTATAGTACTGCCCCCATGGAAGTCCAAACTGAGTCGCTAAAACATGTGAAAAGTCCACAATCAACTTTCACTGTATTTAGTTTTGAGGGGGAGGGTGGGGTCAAACTCAAAACTAGATTTATTTAGTTTCCTATCAGACATTGAACTTTTGATGCCTCCCCTCATTCGGGTGTTCCACTTACAAAGTTGCTCCCCTTACAAAGTTGCTCCCCTTACACAGGTGTTTATCTCAACAGCCACTACTTTAAATTGTTTTCATGTATTTAGGTTAAAATTTAGAAAATGGCTATTTATCACTAAATCGAAGATGTAAGAAGAATTAAAATGAGCATATCTTGTAATAGTCAATTTACCACCATGAGAAGCAAGATTTATGGTGAATGTGTTCTATGAATTAATGTACAATATATTAGTCATTTAGTTATTTGATGTACATACTATTTTTGTACACATACTTTCTTATTCATAAATACAGTACATATTATACAACCATGTATATTGTATATTTATTTATGTCTTATGTTGAATATAATGCTTAACCAAACTGTTCTATAAATGTTTATTCCCTGAAACCAAATTTCCACTTTGCAGTTTTATAATATTACCTAGGTGACAAGAATGACGTCATTTCTACCCAATTTTAAACACACAGATGTGTATATGTTGCATAATTAATACAAATTAATGTGGAAATAATGGTATGTTAGAATATTAGTGTCACCGCCATCTTGTAGCTTTATTTCCCATATATATCGTTGTATATTTTAAAATAGCCTTGCCCAAGTCGGTATTTTTTCACTTATCTGATCTTGAATTATAACATAATAGAAATCAAGATAAGTAAAAGAGACCGACTTTGGCAAGGCTAATTTTAAAAGTACAGTTTGATTTATGTAGCATGTGCAGTTCACGTGTACGAGTACTTATCCATCTCCACGCAGGGTGCACAAATGAAATTTTACGCGGTATGAACAAACTAAACGGGATGTGTAACACCCTATTTGATTCAGCAAGTAAATATGACATATAGGTACATGATATGACTGACATGGATAGAATGGTATGATATCACGGTGTGATACACAGCCTCCAATTATGAATAGTACGCACGGTACCGATTTGGCTACAGTACCATAAATATGGCACCGTATGGTACGTAGACTAAAACAGTACCGTACACAGATATGTACAATGTACAGAGATATGGTACTGTTGACTAAAACAATACCGTATGGTACCGCCAACACTACATGGCATCATAATGAAATGGTACTGCACGGCACCATACTCTTACATGTACGTACCGTACGATATACGTACCGTGATTTCAGAGAGCCCTAGATAGCACCCAACGAGCATCAATGATAGCAAACAGCTCTTTTCAAAAGTTTCGGAATCGTTTTTTATTTTTATTTATATTTCTGAATTAAAAAATCCTCAAAGTGTAATTCACAGTACAGTCCATTTGTCAATCAAATCATATTGATAGGAAACGTGGTAATATGATGTTATATCTGGATACATTTTCTTCAACTTAAAAAAACATAATCATTCAATTAGATGGATCTTGTACCCTTTTCAGTGGTATGATTTAGTTTCTTAAAAGAGAGCTTCATCTGGCTATACAGGTAGTAACAACGCGCCCTCGGATGGGATATTTTGGGATGGTACATAAATCATTGGTTAAAGATACGTTTTTTGCCCTATCATAACTAATCCTGGATTTAATTCATAATGGGATTGCCATCACCTTCTCTAAATGTTTACTTAAGTAGATCCTTAAGCAGTGTACATCGTCCGTTAAGCGTGAAACTTCGCGCTACGGCTGTTGTTAGTACAGTAGTAATACTTACTTATTTGGCAACGTTGCTTGAATGGATCGCAACAAGGAAATGCATAAGTAGTTTTGTGTGAATAAAACTACTCATGACTGACATCTTACAGTATGTGATGATGAAGAGGGTGGGGCTAAAAAGTCCATAATTCAAGATTTTAAACGTTTTAAGTTCATGAAATTGACCGTTCCCATGCCATCCAAACACGTTTTGCAATACATAAAACATAATACCAGAAAGGCACTATAGCTTTCTGATATGTCCATTTTAATCTCCACTTGTAACCCTTTAAATTATTAATTTGATTATGCGTCTGCAGAAAAGAAGTTCACATTGATATTTGTAGTAATTACTAATTACTATCAACAGGATTCTACCGTTGCTGCCATCTTTATGATATCACCGAACAACATTATGCCAGACTACAACTACAGTATGTCTCATTTTCTTTGTTGTGTTAAGAATTATATAATATTATTTTTGGCGAAATGGAACGTCAAAATAAAGCAGCATGGCTGCCAAACTACAAAACTCTGACACTACCCGGCCTGTGGCTAAGAAGGTATATAGACGGACCTTTCTTTCCTCTAGTCTAGACCCTTCTGTTTGTTTCAACTTTTGGTAGTCTCCTAAGTTGTCTAGACCCAGGCTTATCCAATTTCAGGACTATTGGATAAGACTCAGGATCGTAGCCAGGTTTGTTTGGTCTTCGGGGAATCCGCCTCGCCAAAAATTATTTCAAAGTCATGCAGTTTTCACCAATACCCTTTGCATTCGCTCGACTTCACTTCTTAAAAGAGAGCTTCGACTTCAGTTTAGTTAGTTAGTTTTAGGTAGTTTATAACTAGACTCTGCTTGCAGGGTACCAATTCGAGCGAGTGGTTTTGGCCAAAATTGTCAAATGACCGGTCAAAGAACACTTCCCATTCTAACATTTAAAAAAATAGCCTCCGCCCATTCTGATACTCAGACCAATCGTTCTAGAAGGAAACTGAAAGAAGGGTGTGACATCACACGATGGGCCCCGCCCCTCTTAACAAAAGGTGGTTATACGGATATCGATCTGAGACTCTGCTTCGCTTAGTTTAGAGATGAGGTTTGTACGAGTATAGAGAGTCACATGGGCTTGAGACAAGATTTGGCGGCTAAAGTTTGAATTTTAAGAGAAGAAATTATTCTATATATCTGGTGCAATTTATAACTTGGAAATATTCAAATTTGTTTTGGTCTACTTATTATTTGAGACATATAAGAGCTCTTGAGACATATTTTGATAATTTGAATTTCCCTGCATTTTAGAAACAAAAAGTTAACGATTTTAAGATCATCAAATACAACACTTCAATTCTGTAAAACACAAAAAACGGTTTTCAAAATCAACATTTTGAAATTAATTTATAAGTTTCACGAATCACAATTTCACATTTTGATAATATTGGGATAATATTGCTTCAACTTGTATATGGGCTTTAAAAATTATTCAGTACCACGATTATTTTATTTGCTGACAGCTGAAAGGATCGTGAGATCCTACCCCAAAGTAAAAAACAAAAGATCCGAGCGCGCCAGGACTCGAACCTGGAATCTTCTGCTCCGTAAACAGACGCGTTATCCATTGCGCCACGCGCCCTTTCATGTTCACTGAAGTGAGGATTTGCAATATATAAAAAAGCCAAATATGATTATGAACGATTGTGTCACAGTAGTTGGTGAAATGTGAAGTCCTACGTCTTCTTCAACGTAGATTTAATAACATTGATTAAAAAGATATTCTCACATGACGATCATTTTCCCTGTCAGGGGTGTCATTGGTTCTTCAAGTCCAATACATTATTTGTAAAGTTTATTTTGGCAATTTTTCTATTTGCCTTTGTCATGCTATGTACGTGTCTATCAATTAGTGGATTCGGAGGCCCAGATAAGTAAAGTTTCCAAAAATAACTTTAAATATATGTAGTTTTGCAGTGTTTGGCGTCTACTTTATCGAGGATCAAAACAACTTTATTTTGACTTATCATGCAAGGTAAGTGAAAACCTGTTGTGTACCCAGCCAGTTCAGGTGCCAATCCAGGATTATTCCTGATGTACATCTCGCCTAACTACAAGCCTCCGTGACCCCGCCCCTTCCCCCGTGACCCATCGCTCTCTACTACGAATTAGCCTGTTTGCTATCAAACGTGAAGTGATAGTTTCAAATCATTCTTGTTTTACGTCCAATTGAAATCCTGATATGGTTCATAGACATTGTCAATTGTATATTATGTAATCGACATGTTTACATTTTTCTAATGCGATATATGACTGCGAATGGAGTTCTCGTAATGTCATCGGAGAACACCCAAGACGACTGAAATATTATAATGGTCATATTTGTATCAAAGAACCTTAGATGTGTTCATCTAAAACAGAATTAAAATTTGATCAAAATCCTGCTGTCAGAAATGATGTCCAAAACAGAGCACAACAAGGCTAAATAGTAAAGTTTAAAGGAACTACTCACCCTGTTAGATTCGCAGATATCTCAAATTTTATGCCAAAAAGGGGTAGATATTAATGCACAAAATGGCACAAGGCTCATGATATACCATTTTAAGCTTTAAGTCTTTGGGATTTTGGAAATAAATCATTTAAAAAATGATCATATGGCACAGAGGCTAATAGTAACTGCATGAATCGTCCATTTGAAATAGTAAAAAAATATTAAAATATTGTCAGAAATGCTATCTAAACTTTAGCAAAACAGAGTTCGGAGGAACGTAACCCTGTGCACTGACAGAGCCTTATAGTAACTGCACGAAACGGCAAGCGCGCATAAAGAAGTAAATGAAAATTATATTACCGAAAAGGGTAGGACGTTTACAGCTACCTGGAGGTGAATCACTCAAGTGCGTCCCTACAACTGTGCTCTCTCATCAAATACACTCTTCTCCAAAAGTTTGGCAAGCTTTAGTTTTAGATGTGTTTTTATGTCGTTGTTTTTGGTTAATTTTCACTGTTGTGTTAAATGTTTAAATTTTTGTACTCCATGCTAAATGGGAAATAAAGAGATATAATAATCAGGTTAGTTCGGATTTATGACTTTGATGACTTTTTCTTAAAACGCCAAACAAAGACAGACTTTGCTACATGACCCTAAGGGGATTTCTGACTGCCAGACTTATGAAAAGGAGTGTACGCGGAACAGAAATAGCTGACGATACGCCTACGCCACACCGTGTTCACAAGCATGGAAAACTACCAAAAGGAAACATATATGACACGATCCACTTCAATTATGGCGAAAATGCTAAAGTGATTGAAAAACTGATTTTACAGAAGTAGACGGCTTCCTAAGGAAACAGCAATATGTACCTCATAACTTGTTTAAGAGGAGGGAGGGCCATTAAAATAGGAGGTTTTATTATGACATTAACCACCCTCCTTTGGTTGAGTACAAATACAGACATTGAAGTATACAGAGAAAGGAGAGTGCGACGGGAATCACAAGATTACGAAGTCTACAAAATAGACATCGGTGAAAATGGAGACCTCCCATTAGATTCGGATATCAGTAGAAAAATGGAGAAGAAGGATATCGAGCATGTGGAAATTGTGGATGATGGCAAACTAAAGAATAACAAAAAAGCTAGTCCGGAAATGGGAAGTAAAGAAATGGCTCCTATTGTACCCGGTAATTTTCTTTCTTTCTTTTCTTTCTTTCTTTCAACCTTTCTTTCTTTTGAGAATCGAACAAGCATCACAAAGTTCACGTTTAATTTTTTTCCTATAATTGAAACCATGAGAAGGTTGACTCATATCCTGTCTCTATTTTTTAATTGTTTTATTTTAATAAAAAACAATTAGACAAGGTGTTTACAAGTCATCATTCGTTAATATCTAAATTCAATACCAATACCATTTTTAAGTTGTAGCTGGAGAACGAAGTCTTTTTATGGCATTTTATTAGCATACATGTATAGTATATATCATGTTAAAGTTTAGCTATTCATTTCAGTAGATATGTCAACCAATATAATGTAACCGTTGTCAATATGTAGCTTAAATCGCTCAACTGTGAAACTAAGTTTAATCCAGCTGTTAAACAGAAGACATGCCAATATTGTATACTTTAATAAAGTGTTGGTGAAATTATTTATAACTGTAGTCAACATTTTTAAATATGATGGTCAGATTCCTGAATTTTAAAACAAACATTACTAATATTCCGTTGCAGGGGCACTTGACCAACATTATTGTATCTTATAGGTCGTTATCGGCCTGGGGGTATTTCAAATTTGTTTCATATGATTTTAGACCTTGATTTACATGTACCAATGGACTAAAAGAGATGAAATAGATTTAAATAAATAATATATGCCTTGCTTATCAAGTGATGGTTAAAGGGGCAACAAGGACTGTAGAGAGAAAATTCGATTTTTTTTATTTTTTCTGAGCTATGAGGGCAACATTTGGCTTCATCTTCTTTGACATACCTATTTTCTTAAACTGTATGAATAAACTATCAATTTCAGTGTAAATTCAGTTCAAAGCTTCTATAAAGGGAGTCCCACTTATAATTTTTTTAAGATCCACGACGTTTTAAGTGGAATATCAGCTGAAATAAAGTTCATCCTGTTTTTTTGTAGATCACAAAGATAAATGTTAGTCTGGATGAAATATCCAAACTTAGATATATTTTGACACTGGTCCATGATCGTTAAATGACCCCTCTGCACTAATTGTTGCACCTTAAACTGCATCAGTGGTTTCAGTTATAACAGTAAATCTTTTGCCTACAAAAGCATATTTGAAGTTTTGAGCTTTGGCAGACTTAAAAGTCGGGAACGGTTGCTTACCTGCATATCGTGTATAATTTAAACGTTCCTAAACAAGATTGCCAGATTGTTCCTTAATTACAATAGTACATGTGATCCAGAGGGGGGGGGGCGTTCGGCTGCCAAACTTATCGAGGGGAGTGTTATGTCTGACTTTCACAACATTAAATATGGTTTCTTTTATCGTCCGGTCCCCATTTTCATTTTCAATTAAATCTCAAGTGGGCCATTCAACTGAAACTTTAAGAAAATATTGTCCATCACAATATCATGGTGACTGGCTTCAGTGAACCCTGATGGATGCATTATGTAATAAACAAGTACAAATCCTTTTACATTTTGAATAGAAAAGTCATAAAAATGCTTTGTGTTAACATAGTCAACCGTTGCATATTTGCTTTTATCAAAATTTGTCCCTTGCCTATTAGCCATGAACGTATAAAACATGGCTTTTCTAACAATTTTTACCCAGTAAATGTAGAGGAAAACATATTGACTTTTAGCATCCACAAAACGATTCAGAAAATTCAGAATTAATAAAATGAATACTTAGCATTTTCGATTACAACGCAAAATATCTAGATGTCGACCTTTGTTCGGACCTTTGTTGACCTAGATGCCCCTTTGGCACATGTGCTTACATACTTGATATTGGAATGACCTTGACCCACAAACGTTGACATTGACCTCAGATCACATGATCATGGGTCGCAAAGGGTCATAGTAGCCCCAAAGGCCCAGATGCTTTAAAACATAAAATACAGTACCTAGATATTGACCTATGTCCTTGAAATTACCTTGACCTTGACACAGTAGCTCCAAAATGCTTTAAGTTCCAAATAGCCGGATATTGACCTTTGACTTTCGTAGAGTACCTAATGACCCACTCAGTGTGTTGACCATTATGACCCAAGGTTGGAAGATCTAGAAGGAGATGTTCGGACAGACAGGGAGAGTCGGACGACCATGCTTTATTTTGAGAAGTCTATATGAATGCTTTCTACTCTAGAAAATATTGCCCTCCAGTGAATAATGTCGTAGTGGTATATCTGACCTTCCTGTCCCCACCTGTGTACGGACAATAAGTCGAATTAGATCATCTTGCAAATGTATGTACGGGATAATAAATACAAATCACTAAAATTACACACATGACTATAGTTTGAAGTTTAACTTCCTTTTTTACCTCGCATTGCCTGAATGGCAAAAGCGAAATCAGGAATAATTGTCCGCCTTCACACTCTATATCAGGTTTGGCTCGAATTCCCCTATCAAATATTTGAAGAATGTGAAGGTAGTGTACTGATATTTAAATGTGTTTGTTTGTATTATTTTGTAGTTTTACTCTAACTATTGGAGACCTAATATCATGCTTGTTTTTTACATTACAGAAGATGACTCGCCTACAATGTCTCCATTAGCTCGAAAACCAAAAATAATGATTCCAAAACAATTTAGAAAAATGATAGAATCCAATGCCAATATGTACAAAAAAGATCTGAAGGGTAAAAAATTAAATAAGGCGTACGAAAAGGAGTTGCATACGCTATTTTCACAGACCAACTACACTAGATGCAGTCGACTGATAATCGAGGCTGGGCTGCGACATGATGTTAAATATTTCGCTTTCCCATATAAATACGAACCATCTCCAGTTGATGTCACCCTGATGTCTCATCTAACACTTAACAGGTATGTATGTTGTTATATAACTGTTGCTATGACAAAAATACACCACCGGTGACATGTAAACGTACCCTATGAAATAGATAATTTCAAAGTTGAAATTACCCAATTTAAACACTAATAAGATATACAGGAGATACCACATGGTATTACGTTACTAATATTATCTTTTATACAGATACCACACGGTATTACATAATTAAAAAAATTACCTATCATTTAGGGTAATTTTACATGACGCAGGTGAGTGCACCTCCCTCCAAAGGTCTGACAACCCATGCGCGTAGCCATCTTTCTAAGGGGGTTTAGCTTTTAAAAATTCCAGGGAGGGGGGGGGGGTCAAATTCGACGGGTTGGGTTTAGAATTGACACCCCCTGGCTACGGACCCGCAACCTGAAGCTGTCCGTTGGTGAGTAGCCTGCTACTGTTCATGTTTGGTATGTTGAGGATTTTTCAGTTACAATGGTTCAGCAATGAATCACTGATGATTTTTGTTTCCATAGCAACATAAACAGCAGCTTCCATTGGTCAAATGGGGGAACGTGTTGCCAAATTTTTGAGGCGAGTGTAAGTTAATAACTAGGTATGTCAAACTTACAGAGACATATGAACTAATCAGGTTTCAGCTGGGCACCATCATCATGAACCATAACCAAATTTATCGTACGATCTGTAAAATGAAGCCCTCTGATTGGTCAGTTCTTGTGCTGTACCAATCTGTATTGCCACTGAGATTGTCCCCGTTGATCACCTCCGTCGCAATACAGAAAATATTGGTACGGAGGGGACACTATCAGTAGCAATACAGAGGATCATACAATAAAAACGTTATTGAATGGTTTGAAGTGCAATACAGGATGTATTCTGTCTCGATATTCTGTATTGGCACTCGACTTCGTCTCGTTCCAATACAGAATTTCTATATTGCACTTCAAATCATTCAATAACTTATAGACCACGTGGATTTCAGTCAATACACGTCGATTACATTTACAGAAAAGGCAATTCTTGGTACTTGGACTCATATATGATTCGACATTGAGTAAATGAAGTGAAACAGACAAGATACCAATGTCTACACAGCCAATGCACAACGTTAGCAATCTTAATTTTGTGTCAATTGGTTACTCCTATTCAACCTTTCCGATCGTTTGAGTTTATTTCATTAAAAGAGAGCTTCATCTACATCCATTGCACTATGTCATCAATTCTGCATTTTTTCATAATATTACATTCGTGAACATTCGTGAACAATTAAAATTATTTAAACGTTGTTAGACTTCAATCTTAATAACAATCAGTAAATGAAAAAAAACGATATGAAAGTTAACACATACGAGCTAGCTAGGCATTCTATATCAATTCCTGGTTAATCAGAATACAGTAATATAAGCCATTCTATATTTTACAACAGATGATTATTTGGGCGAAATCGCAATCCTCGTCCATTTTACAATTTCATGATGATAGTTGTGCACCCCTCTTAGCCAGCACATTTAACCCATGTTTTTCAAAATGAGGAATACATACAGAATTACTTAGCTATCTCTAAATAAAATTTGTCGATCGATTGTTGACGACTTAAGCATGTGTCGCGTTTGCTCTACGGCGGTCGTAGCTTCACAAAATCGATTTTGAGAAGCTACGACCGTTGCCGTAGGGCAAATGTGACTGAGACATTTCGGTTTTGGTTAAGGATTAACATCAATAATCTCGTGACATATTTCACAGTGCAGTCAAAACATCGTTATTGACTCCTGATCTTGAAAAAAAATTCAAATTCATTTTTGCAGGGGCTATACGAGGATCGCGAAGATACTTGCAGCTTGGCCAGGCCCTGTAAGTTTCACAGTTTTTGGGACCGATGAGGAGATTAAAGCATTTCTTAAGACCAAGCATACTTGGAAACGAAAAAATGTTGGGATTCATGCCATATACCAGGGCAACGATACGGTAAGTTCTACACAAATAGCGAACGAAATAGACAACCATTTAAAATGATTGGGTCAGTTTCAAAGCAGTTGAGTAAACATTTAGTGTTCCAAAAATCTTTTTTTCTCGGTCACCTCAGGCATGAGCTTTCAATTATCTAGTTGAAAGCCCATGCCTCAGGTTGCATTTAAAATGTTGATAAAACATCACAATTTGCTGCGATTGTATCATCCGGAAGCTGTACACACTGTATTCTTATGAAAGCATAAGAATAAGAAATGTTACATCTACTTGCGTTAATCAGCAATCGGACTTTTGTATATTACTCAATTTTCGACGCGAGTTGAACAGCCATTGAAATTAAATTGTTTAATCAATTTTAAAACGAGGCTATCACAAGAAACTCCACATTATATGTTTTCAAAAGTTTGTTTTTCCATATTGAGAAGGTGACAAAAGTCTATGCATTTTCCGAACCAACCTACACATTGTCCGACTACACATTGTCCAATTTGGTATTTCAGTGCAATAAAAATTGAAAACTCGACGTTCAGCTTCACTGAACTGTGAAACTAATGTTAAGAAAACTCCAATTATTGTATTCACGTTACGGTTAACTACAAATTACACTTTGGTACATGCAAATTCAATCACTTGAGTTATACGAATCGGGGTTGAATTAATAACATATTTTGCATAGTTTTTTTTACCTAATACCAGGTCGATCAATAAGTTCTGAGAAAAAGGCTATTGAACTTTATTAACAAACATCAGTCAATATTATAAAAATGCCGTTCTTTACAAAACATAGATGAATACTTATTTTCGTGAACGTGACCTTTTGAACAGATATTCATAATTCATACGGAAACACGATTTCATTCATGTATCTTTTTCATTTTCAGAAATATTATCCCGTGAACTACATGAGAAACATTGCCTTGTATGCAACGAACACCTCACACGTATGGATGATAGATGCTGATTTTACTCCCAATCAGGATGCCTATAAGCTCATCAAGGGCTATATTCCTCATTTCAATTGGACTAAAAAGCCAACGGTTTGTAAATTTTTGTGTTGAGAAAATCAGGAGGGTGATAGAGAAGTTGCAGTACTTAGTGGTCTGTCTATCTATATAAAATAGATGATATAGCTAAGTTGATAAATATATTATAGACAAATAGACAAACCCCGCGCCATCTTTCTGTCAAGTTATGGTTCTGCACATGGAAAATGTATGGTCCTGTATACAAATATTTTGTCACCTGGACCAAGTTATTCAAAAATTTGCGATTATACATATGTTTACAGTGTAATATAATTTATTTTATGGCTAGGACATCAATTTCTATATGGTATTTCTCTTTCATTATCAAAATGAAATAACATTTCTGTACATAAAAAGAGCATTATTTTTCTTTTCGACGATTTTGACAATGGCAATGATGATATTATCATGAAAATGAGAACAAGAACCTGTCTGAAAATACAAATCATTTACATATTCTTGTAATTTCCAGGCGTTGGTGTCACCTGCGTTTGAGACGTATCTGCCAGAGGGCGGAGTGCCCGCCAATAGAGCACAGTTGATGATAGACTTGAAAGATCACGATAGAATAGAGACATTCAGGTAAAATACAACCCACTTCATAAGTTTGGATCACATAATCAAATCATGTTTATATTTGGAGATTCATAAAATCATCAGATTTGACATACATGTACATTTCCGAACTATATTGAAATCAAGGAACACAAGATTCAAACGTTGACAGGTTTTGATATCTATCCAATGTAAACACCTGTTGCTAAACTTATCGGGGGGTGCACACATACCCACACATTGTACCAAGGAAGTGCTTTTTATGTTTATCTTCTCGATGGGAAAGTTACCCGACCAAAACTTCAGATTTACAAAGAAAAATCAGTTGATGAACAATTCTTTGGTATGCTTTCGAATGAAAGCCTTGTTCCCAAACCTATGGAGCGGAGTATATTGACAAAACAACTGTTTATATTTCAGCTTCAGAAGATGTCCCCGGTGCCATAATAACACAAACTGGCCCATGTTTTTTAATAGCACCAAGGAATACAAGGTATTTATTAAAGAACAGCATTAGCCATAAGCCAAACAGATAGAAATAACTTTTCAATAAAGATAGAGTTCATTCCATTTGATGTTGAATAAACTCTACTTTTATAATAGATAGTTTTCATACAGAAATTCATTACCCTAGACAAATATTTGTTACATTGAAAAATAAATTTCAGATCAAGGGTGGAGGGACTTTCGAGCCTTACCTCGTTGTTCACAGAAAGTCTATTCCGGTTTATGACGAACGATTCGTTGATAGACATTGGAATAAAATACTCTACGACTACGAACTTTATGCATTACAGTAAGTATACAACGACAAAGATATTTTTCTAAGTCGCCCAACCTTGGTCCAAGGGTATTTCACTTCTTTCTTTCCTGAATTGAGTAATAAATGAAGTCCTTTGAATGAAGGATGAAGTGTAGCTTAACCTACACTGTCAATCTCAAACAGAACTGTACAGCGCTGTTCATGAAACAGTGCATTGCTGTTTTCTAAAACAGTAGTGATGCACAGCGCTGTAAAACAGAGCTGCGCTGTTCAAAGCAGTCCTGTAATGACCTTCGATAGCAAGTCGCCACTACAGTCTCAGCTGTAGTGGCTAGCCTTTATGGCTCAGGGGTAGAGCGTCTGACTCGAGAGCGGGAGGTCCTGGGTGCGATTCCTGTACGGGGCATTGAATTTAGCACATTCTCTTTCGAGTCTAGTATCTGGCTCGGTACACTACAGCTCCCCGAGGACGCACAGTGCTCAAACTGCACTGTTTGGTACTGTTTACAGCGCTTTAGAGTACTGCAAGATGATGTTGCGAATTGGGGGTGTACCTGTCTCTGACATGTATTCTTCTCTGCATGCAATCGAAGTCAATTAATGAGTTGTTATCCATTTTTAGATATGAGTTTTATGTGCTACCCGATGTCTTCATCGTTCACGAGCCACACGAACGTATTCAACAAGCTCAACTGGAATTCGAGTAAGTATTCATAGCATTAGACAGACCTTTCAATATTACACGTTCTTAACAGGGAAAACACAAAGGAGCACGTAGGTTATCGCAAACAATTTCAGAATGTTATATCTTGGATTTTGACTATTTTCTGACAATGAAGACATGTTTATCTTTTAGATCAATTCATTATCTCAAAGAAAATTATGTACAGTAATGTACAGCAATCAACCCATCAACACACTTTTTCAAAGATGCTGACCCCATTTTCACCAAAAATGCAATCATATTTTACAATGTTTAATGCATTACTATTCTCTATTTTGATGTATCAAATGGTTCTTGAAAGAAAAACTTAATTGCTTTAAGATAACTGTTCCCATGTTATTTCTCTATTGAAAAATCTCATGCTATCCATTGGTTTCAGTTCATTTTTGTCATCCAAATTCAGTATCTTTAAAGTCCCTTGAGCAATCAACTTTCCTTTTGGGAAATCGAACATGTCTCAAAGCACATTCTACTTATAAATGCAATCAACAATATAATAAAAGATTGCATTTTTGGTGAAAATTAGGTCAACATTTTTGAAAAAGTATGTTGATTGGTCCATTGCCCCTTCAATATTACTTAGGTCTGATTAAATTAATTATCAATATATATACTTTTCTTGAAGATAATGAATGGATCTTATAAATTGCAAAAATGCATGCCATAATTACTGTTAAGTCTGCGTTAAAAATAAAATAAGATTGTATTGTAGATGGTGGCTATATTACATATTCATATTCAAGATCATATATAACGTTTTATTTTAAATTTCAGGTGCTTAGATGTAATTGGGAAAGAAGTAAAAAGGAAGTTACTCCTCAAAAAGAAGGACATTGAACGAACTATAAGATTAAGAAAACGTAGTAAAAAACGGAAAAAGACACCATCGGCATCAAGATCTAAAAGATAGAATTTTTTTAAATGTACATTGAGAGATTACCCTATAAGAAGCTCAGTATATTGGGATTATCCCGGGGCGAATATGATATATCTACCCGCGAGGGCCGTAAACGATAATCTCAATATCCTGAACCGACTATAGGATGATCTGTTTATCCCATACCAATCTTGTTCATTTGGTGTTCTGGTGTTGGAATATTCATGTTCAGATTCGTTTCCATGGCCGTATGTATAACATATCTGCCCGGGATAAATATGTATATATTATATTAAAAACTATATAGTCATTTCATATATTTCAAGCAATTCGAGGACGTCTATCTCACCCGGGCACCACAAGTACAAGCCCTATAATATGGCACCTGAGCGTCGTGATGTCCAAAGGGCTATCAGCATTATTTTATATACTGTATTCAGTTTAGTAACACCCCAGTCACATTTGTCGCACGGCGGCCGCAAGTCGACCGCAGATCAATTAAATCGGTGAATTTCTGCGGCGAGCGTAGAAAAAACTACGCTCGCCTTGCGGCCTCCGTACGGCGAATGCAGATTTTACAAGCCGCAGGGAAGGCGTAGAAATTATAACTCGGAGTTATAATTTTTGTTCATTTCTGAGGTCCCCGTTGAAATCAACTGGCTCAACAAGATTGAATCATTATTTGTCAATGTTTCACGATCATTTTTCAATTGATATTACATCATAGCACTATGAATAACATTTATAAATTGTCCCGACGTAAATAATATGAAAAAAGTATTATTTATCAACAGAAATTTTTAATTCACCGTGCAGCTGCCGTGGGAAATGTGACTGCAAAAGTATGAGAGCGCAGAAATTCCACGGCGAGCGTAGAAATGTTACTGGCCGCAGAAATGATAGGCCGCACGGCGGCCGCAGGAAATGTGACTGGGGTGTTAGAAAGGAAAGAGGGAGGTGGTCAAAAATATCAGCTATATGAGATTGGGAATATCATAAAAGTGATACCGGTGCTACGTTTTTTTAGTGCAATTGTTTTTTGTTCCTTTCCACCAATCCTTGAGAATAAAATAAAATATCTTTCCAAACCTTGTTGGAACAAAATAGCATATACAACATTTTCTAAGACCTCTCAATATTATAGTTATACAAAGGAAAATTTAGTTGATTTAAACGTGGATCATCTTTCCAAAGGCGTTACAATACTCGGAGATGTGCCGTTTCGTACACTGGATAACCAGATATATGCGTGCGCGCACTAAACGAAACGTAACTTTCTGGGTATTGACTTTCCTTGATCTTTCTATGATGTATTTTAAAACAATATCGATCTGTTTATTTTGTGATTTTATCAGGACTATATTTGATAGATTTGGTAATCGCTTTCCATGTCGATTTTGAAATGTATTGTATTTACGTATGTACATTTATGACAATATTAGTAAAATCAAATGTTTGCATTGCATATATTGTACTTACATGTAAGTAATATAATATTTAATGCAGATTTTCGTTTTCTAAGTCATTTTTGTTTTTAATCTAGATTTTAAAAATAAAAAATAAAAATCACGTATTATATAATTACTGCATCAGTTTTCTGCAAATACACATCAAACTATAATAGTATCTCCGTAAATAAAACATCAATTTTTGATATGTCTATGTAATGACAACATAAACATTTTGTTATGTCTCTGTAAATACAGCATCGATATTTTGTTATAGATAGGCTAATTATACAATGAATTCATATAATACTTTTACACAATAATGTGTAACTTTTATATCACGATTTATTATCGTGTCAAACGAAGTTTGCAATGTAACTGCCCATGTAGTCAATAAGTAAAAAATAAAGTATATCCCATCGTCCTGTATATATTCTTCTGGGTGGTTAATAAAAATCAAACAGTTTTCTTTTATCAATACCTTTATTCTGAGTATATCTCGAAGCCAACTTTGAACATAACTTAAGAAACGGCGCTACTTTAAACAATACTAATAGACTAATGAAGAACCAGATTTTTTTATAGATTAACTATTTATTTCATCATATAATCATATAACCAGATGGTCTCGAAACTGACTCAGATTGAATTTAAAGGATGTGGTAAGAACAGTTTATTTATACACAGCGATCTACTATGTGTATGTTTGTGTTAACCTTTTCGTAGGCAATCCCAGGCCAATTATAAAAATCTTTTGGTCATTTTGTGGATCGGTCATCTTAAGATATACATGACTAAAATGGAATTACTGGTGAATGTATAATTACATATTTGACTCATATGTGATCATTGGTGTAAATAATAAAAAGAGGGGGCCAAATAGTGATCCCTGCGGGACGCCTGTGTCAAAAAGATTTTCCCTGGACCATTCAGTAGAAACCTAGAGTAAGATGGAAAATCATGATTACATTATCTACGAGCAGTCATTCCATGTTTCGACAATAAGTGTTGCTATTAAACATGGCCAATCGGAATTGAACAAATACGACATAAAACATTTTGTTATTGATGAGTTTTGTACTATTAATGCCACCTAACACGAATAGACACCTGGACACGTTAAAGGCATGGATTTTAAAGAAGCTAAATAATTGTTCCAATAGAGTATAAGATATGTACATCATAAACCGGTTTCGAGGAGCCAGAGGACTTAAATTTGGAGCATTCGTGTTAGGACTGATTGGCGCATTTTGGTGGACGACAACAGCGAATAAAAACCTGATGACAATACACGTTGATAATTACAATACAGAAACCAATAAACATATTAGAGATGACTGTGCATGTAGTAATATAACAAGGAAAATAGCAGCTAACACTTCTGGTAACTATGGTAACGTCATTTAAGTTGGAAAGGGGAAAATATGATAAATTAACTCAGGACAGAGTGTATATATTTAGATTAATTTAGTTCATAGCTAGGTGGGTCAGGATATTAGGATTATCCCGAGGCCACTATAGATATACATGTCCGAGGGTTTAAGGTCCCGAGGGATAATACCGAAATCGTGAACCGACTGTAGAATGCTATGTTTATCTTAAATTATTTGTGCTTTATACTGTACATTCGTCTCTAGAATAATTGACATTTTCTAATAGTGTCCGAATATTCTGGAATGATATTTTAAAAAAAAATTCACAGAAAAGCATTGTAGCTTTTATAATTATGTGTTGCGGGACTGCTTTTCGCGATTTTCATCCAAAATTGAATTTTTGATAAAGATTTGATTGTTTTTATGTTCCCTTGGCAGATAGACAAGTCGATTTATGCGCTCAGTCGGAACGCAATGCTAAACTGCCTACTGTTGAAAAAACAAAACTTTGAAAACCTGCTTTATATACTCCTCAAAAAGATAAGGACCAGTCTTTTTCCTCATAGGTTTACATGTTAAACCCCATGTATCTTTAAACTCTATTTTCTAAGCCCGAAACGAAAGAAAAAACTGATAATGTAATTGGATATGTACCTTGACTCTATTCTCTATATTTCAGAAAATTTTCAATTTAATCTCTCTCTTTCAATAGGTCAAAAATTGATGTCAAAGTTGAGGATTTTTTTTAAAAATGGCAGAACCCATGTTAACCAATGGGAAATGGTGGTTAGGGGCAAATCAGATTTTTGGATATCTATTCGGTAAAACATTTATTAAAAATAATTTCTTAGTAGACAATTGAATTGTTTTACTTTCTGCATGTTTGGTGTTAAGCTTACTTTGTGAGAATTACAGATATAGAGCATCAACGTCTTTTTGACAACTTATTTTTGACCCTGTGTTATTTCAATGGGAGGTTTATTGAGAAATGATTTTGACTTTTGAGATTCATAACTTTGTAAAACCTGGAGAAACAAATCAATTTTTTGTTGTAGACAAGTTAGCAAATTCAATTGTCTATCAAAATTCTGTTTTTGAGAACAATTGAATGATGGATATTTTCTCATATGACTTTTGGCAACCTAACCACTTCTCATTGGTTTACATGGGTTCTGCCATTTTTTTAAATTCCTCAAATTCGACATCAATTTTTGATATATTGTAACGGAGAGATTGGATTGAAAATTTTCTGAAATATAGAGAATATAGTCAAAGTACATATCCATTGGCATTATCAGCTTTTCTTTCGTTTCAGGCTTTTAAAATAAGAGTTCAAACAGACATGGGGTTTAACATGTAAACCTATGAGGAAAAAGACTGGTCCTTAACTTTTTTTGAGGAGTATATTTATATTTATGTTCTTCAAACACGTCCATGTCTAGGATAAATTCATTTATTTCACGATTATAGTGATATTAAAGTGATAACGATTTTCGAAAAATTGATATCAAACGGATATCAACATCATGGAATTTATTACAGGTGCAGTACAGTGAAATCAACAATTTATTGTTTTGTTAAATTCCAGGTAAGTAGTTGGCCAAATTAGAGGATCGAACAGATCAAAATATGTGGTAAAGGGCAACGTAACTACATCAAAAACATTTCCATTTTATAGGAGATTTTAATGTAGATAAAATAATGTTACAGTAAAGATAAACCAAATATCACATTAATTCTCGCTCGTTATACCATTTTATATCATTATTTGTATAAGAAAACATCAAATTCGTGTTCATCAAATTCATCTCTGAAATTGACGTTACTTTATACATCTATCATTTTCCGTTGACAATTTGTCCTGATTATAGTATCCTCTTTAGATTAAACGTTTCATTTGGTTTATTAACACCTGTGGTCAATGTTGCAATCTCGTGATATTTCACAATAAATACAATTACCTTAGTAACGTAAACATCAAATCAGAATATACAATCAATAATTAGTCAATATTTTAACACACATTGATAACAAATAATAGATATCCATTAAAGGGGCAGTTTTTGATCATGGATTAGACCAAAGTATTTTTTTGGTGCTGAATCGTATTAGCTAAAACCATCAATATACTTTGATAAACGCTGTCCTCTTCTGGAGGCCTGTGTTAAATCTTAGTTACAACTTCAACTGAATCCTTAGATATATTTACATTGTGCATATACTAGCAATTGAATATGAGTTATTGTATTGTATTGCATTGTATTGTATTGTATTGTATTATGTCGTGTTGTATTGTATTACATTGCATTGTATTATGTCGTGTTGTACTGTTTATTATTTTATTGAATTGCATCGTTTTTATATGTTGTACCGATGGTTTGTAGAGAAATACATTATGAAAACTAATATCATATACCCAGATTTAGCCAAGTTAATATTCTGTTAAAATCTATTTTCAGGTTCCCATCCAACTACCTCTCTCACGAAGTCAACTAAACAAAATACTGAAAAAACAATATCAACTCATATAACGGGATATGCAAAATTAAAAAAACTTGTTGAAACTAATAAAAATATATACAAGCACGACTTACAACGGAAACAGTTTAATGAGCCATACGAGCTGAAATTAAAAAGTGTATTTTCCAAGACTGAATACGATAAGTGTAGTCAAGTAATATCCGAGAGTGGATTACGTCACGATGTCCAGTATTTTGTGTTCCAATACAATTATAACCCGTCACCTATAGATGTCACCCTATTGTCGCATCTTACTCTTGAAAGGTACAGTAAAGCATAACAATTATGTATTGATAGGCTCAGAATAAGTGTTGATACGATGTAGATGCTGATAAACTATAATTTGTGTTTTATGAGTTTCATTATGCAATAAATCCAAGATGCTTATCGAAGCAAAGAACTTGATGAATTCTATTTCGATTTGGGTAAATGCAATTTGATCGACTGTATCATGAGTATGCGTACTTTTTGCCAAGAGATTGTGCAGTTGAAGATCTCTTTTAAATAAACAAAATTAAAATAATGGAAAGGGCATACATGTAGTTTTGTTACAGCTGCTACGTATACACTTAAAATATTTAATGACTTCATGATAAATTGTCACTATTCATTTTTTGCCATTTTACTAAGTTAATATGTGATTTTCGTGCTATTGTGACATTTCGATGGATAATTCTGCTACTAATTTTCTTTGGGCTTTGTGAAGTCATTGTTATTGACACACCGACACAATAATAGTTTTGTCCAATATTGCCGATGTCATCCTCGGACACATTAACCTTCTTGGAAATTAATTAGGCCTACTTACTAAATAACAAACAAATCGATGTCGTTTGCAGGCAGTTGTATTTTATCCAGAATCTATTCATTTTGTATTGAATATTTTTTGTTTATTTCACCCTTGGTTTTATTGATTAGTCGGAGGACCATAAATGTAACAATTGCATGCTAAGCTCCTTTGCCATCAGATCTGATAAATTCATTCTGATATTTTTAAATAAGTTATCCAAAAGTTATCCTGAAGGGGATTTTTGTTACCAAACTAAGGGATGGGAGTGTATGTACAAGACTACTAGTTATATATTTTGTTTTACATTAGTGCATTGCTAAATGTTCAAAGGAGTGGTATCGATATGGAGAACTTTTTGAAGAAACGTTTCTCTTAAACCAGTCATAAAAAATCTAAAAAATTAACACATCGTCAATTAAATGGTCAACTTATGAATGGTAACGTAACAATATAATTTGAAATATATATATGATACGACGTCAGATACTGTACATCACGGCGTAACATTGTAATTGTCCATTTTACCGACAAAATGCAAAGATTTACGCGATAAATATGCGCAATGCTCCTCCAAGTAATTGCAGAAGTTTTAATATTCGTGGAATCTTCTTAAAAACTTCAAGTTTTGTTCAGATTAATGTGTGCTTCAATACAATTCTATATTCAAAAAGGTTGTATCACGATATACAGAATTAGAATCACCAGAAAGTAGACATTTCAAACCCTACCCGTTTTCTTCTTTGTCGCGCTTTTCGGCCCCGCGCTCTCGTTGTCGCACCGTCTTTCTAGACACTTTCAAAGTGCCCCTTGTCATATTCAACTGATATACACAGACGGGAAGATATTAAGGATTGTTAAATGCATTATTTGTAATTGATTTTAACTCGAATATTTAGTTTTATTTATTTGAAGCAATGAATAATAAAGGAGAACATATAATACGCTAACGGCATAACGTCTTATTTTGTAAAGGCTTCACTTGGGGTTGCGGTGATAAAATGATGTCTATCTCAATATTATTTTTATTTATTATTTATTTATTTAGATATACACTTTTTTAACAGTGGCACTCTTACATTAAGGTGCATCTAATCGAAAATATCCAAAATGCCATGTTGGTTAAAAACAACATTTTATCAAACTAAAATGAGTCTTAAAAAGAATTAAAACATAGGTACAGGTATGTTAATATTTACTTAAAATCTTATTTAAAAAGCTTTTTACTAAAGAGTCGAATAAAACACCATATTCGTGCCCCCCAAAGATGTATGCCTCATCTCCCAGTAACCATTTCAATTTTGTGTCAGTTGGGGCGCTAAAGAATATCCCTGTTAAATGTATGGGAATTTTATCCTCAAGTATTTTATAAAATTTGGATCTTTCCCCTGCAAAATTAGAGCAAAATAGTAATCTATGTTCTATATTCTCTTCTTTATCAGAGCAAAAATCACAGAATGGGCTATTAACTTGTACATTTGCCCATTTATATGTTTCACCTTTAAGACCTAGTTTCCCGGTCCGAGCAAGAAATTTTAATCGTGCGCTTGCAAAATCAAAATCATTTCTTAAATAGTACTGTAAACCTTCGTGTTTAAGATCAATAAGCTGTCTATACAGTGTCAAGGAAGACTTTCCATTCATTTCAGTTTGTATCTCGGAGTCGCATGTCTTCTGAATAGAAGATTCATAATTTTCTGTCAAAGTATTTAAGTTATTGTCAATGCCTTTAAGGTCAATCAGTTTAAAGATATCATTTATGTGCTCGACATATTTCCAACTATTTGATTTGTTACATGCAAATCTTTCTTGCATTCTAGTTAGTAGTAATCTTATGAATGACCCCTGATCAAGAGTCTGTAAATGGAGAAAATATTGGATTTGTCGCTTGAGGACTATGTACTTAATTGGTGTCCAACCAAGTTCATTAATGATAGCAACATATGCAGGGGTACTTTTTATATTGAAAATACCCCTGGCCATGTCATATTGCATTGTCCGGAGTTTATCAAGGATGGTCTTGGTATTCGTAACCCAAACACCACAGCCATGTAACAGCCCCGAGAGGAATTTTGTTGTATAAAGCGTATTACCAAATTCAATACGTTTAGCATTTAAATGTTTGCTCAGTATAAATGTAATAAAGTTCTTCAGAGTCTTTGACTTTTGAATTTGTTGATCAATTATGTGGAAGTTATCTTTTAAGGATCGATCAATATGAATACCTAAATATTTATAGGTTTGGACTTCATTTAAGTTGAGATCACCTAATTTCCATAACTTGTTCTTATCAATCTTCTTGCCTATAACCATGACTTTTGATTTTTTCTCACTAAACCTAAAACCATATTTAATAGCAAAATCATTAGTGACATTGAGCATCTTATTGAGATCATTTTCAGAATTGCCTAAAAGTACTATATCATCGGCCCACATGAGGCTAGGGAATTTTGAGTTATTAAATGTAATACCTACATCAGATTTTAAAAGTTCATCTTGAAGGTCAGTCATGACGATTGAAAATAGAGTAGTTGATAAGGTACAGCCCTGTTTGACTCCACATTTTGTATTAAACCATTGGGTATTTCCATTATTATTATTATTTTCATTTTGAGAGCCATTTTTATTGTCGTTATCTATGAGGTTTTCATTACAATTATTAGATAATTTGACCTTGGTCCTTATTCCTCTGTACATTTCTCTTATGAGTCTCCAACATTTACCGCGGACACCTTTCTCCCATAATTTTATGAACATAAGGTCTCTGTCCATTACGTCAAAGGCCTTTGAAATGTCCAAATAAGCCAAGTAGGTCTTTTGATTTTTATCTTTCCTTAAACTGCATAGAGACTTAAGTTTGAATACATGATTTTCTAAACGTTGTTTGATTCTATACGCTCCTTGGAAGTCACCAAATATATTTTTATCTTCACAGAAAGCCATCATTTGCTTGTTGATTATGGAGCAAAAAAGTTTAAATACATTAGAGGTAATAGAAATACCTCGAAAATTATCTAAGGAGCCATTTGCGCCACCTTTATGAAGTGGCTTTAATAAACCTTCTTTCCATTGTTCAGGGAATGATTCATGGGTCTTACACATTGTAAACAAATGGAGCAAAGTGTTGACAATAGTGGGGCCCCCATATTTCAAAAATTCATACGGTATAAGGTCAGTGCCCACTGCTTTACCATTAGGCAGTTGCCTTATATGGGCTGTTAGTACATCCTTGTCCAAAATAACTTGATCAAAGATATCAGAGTCATTTTCATTTGGTGCACTGAGTTTAAATTCCATATTCGCCAGAATTTGAGAGTGTTTAATTTCATTTGCTGTCAAATCAGGCGATTTTTGATTTCTGTTTTTTATTCCCACTTTTGACCAATAATCTTTCATTAGAATAGATACTTGTTTTGGATCATCAACAATTATGTCAGGGTGGAGAGGATGTTGGATTCTTATGGGTGTGTTATTATTACTGTTAAACATATTAAGGGTTCTCCAGTATGACCTTGAACTGGACGATTTTTTGGATGCATTTCTAGTCAAAATATTAATATGACGTTTGACCATTTTGTCTTTTATATAAACATGAACTCTTTCCTTTCTTATTTGATATATTTTCCATAGTTCATCGAAAGAATCAAGATCTGTAAGACCTGAGGCACGCCAGTATCTACAGAACTGGCTAGCCTCCTTACGGCTCTTGATTAGTTTTTTCAGTTCATCATCCCAAAAGCTTCTATACTTTTGTGAAATTTCAAAATGACCGATCACATTATTGCCAACATTGAGAACGCGTTCTCTCCAATCAGTCCACATTTCTTCAGGAGAGGAGAAATCTGTAGGATTCCAATGTTCAAATTCAGAAGAAAGAGTTGTTTTGAAGGCTTTCCAGTTTGTCTGGTCGTTCATTTTCCAAAGCTTAGCATTGCAATCGAGATTTACTTTAGATTTTCTGGAGTGATTGGTATGTTTTACAAAAGCAAAGTTAATAAGAATCATACAATGATCACTCCCAATAGAATATTCACATTCTTCATCAATATTCATTGATGTCATTTTATCATATAAACTTTGATTACATAAAACATAATCTATAGTTGAAGTCTGACTTCCTCTAAACCAAGTATAAGAACCATTACATTTGCTTGAAAGATTTAATATATTCATATCTGTTACTTCGCTGAGCATTTCAATCAATTTCCCATTTGTGCTAGAAATGCCATCTTTTGAGAATTGCTTTATTCTTCCATTGAAATCTCCCATTAAAATGATAAAGTCCCCAGATTCCTCTAGCGAGGCCACGTTTGAAATAAGTTCATCTGTAAGTGAGTTACTCAGATCAGTATGCTTACCATCATTAGGATAGTATGCAATACCGATACTGAAAGTTTCACCGTTAATTCTCAATCTTATCCAGTATCTCTCAAAATCGTCTGACTTGGAATTTAATAGGTCATCATTCAAAATATTAATCTCATTGCTTGTCTTAATAAAAAAGCCCACGCCACCTCCTTCACGTTTTACCCTATTTTTATGTACCCATTCATGTTTATCACTTTTTACCATCATTGACCGATTTTCATTGAAAAATGTTTCTGTTAAGCCCATTACTTTAATGTCATTATTTTCAAGCAGATATTTCAATTCACTTTGTTTAGCCCGTCCTAAATTTTGCACATTATTAAAAGCAAATTTTAAATTCAAACATTCACCCTGAGAGCGTTTCCGTTTGGACCTTCTATGAGGTCTATGTTTTACAGAAGTGACATTATTTTGGCTTAAGGGGGGTGAGGCAAAACATTTCTGGATTTTGGGGGGTAAGGCTGACTCATTGCCGTACATCTAATAATGCTCAAGAACAGCAAATCTATTCCTAAAGTTATTATTGCCATGTCCATAGTCCTTAATGTAATGACCATCATAATCATGAGTCATTGGTGGAGCACGCTCATTGGCAATTCTGGTATTTGCAAATTGTCTGGTCATTAATGGTGGAACCTCAGACTTGGGGCACCTGGAGGATTTGTGTCCCAATTCCCGACAGGAATGGCACCGCACTGTGTTAGGATGCCAACACGAGGGAGATAAATGACCCGGCTCGCCACATTTCAGGCACACAAGATTGTCCCTTGATGAAGTAATAAAGTGGCGTTCTTGCTGTGGGGTATATGTCTGCTTCGATCTCGGTTTACGTGTGTTATTATAACCGGATTGTCTGGGTATATCACTTTGGGTGTGCGTCACTGGACTTGTTGAATCATTGGGCTGGTGTTGCTGTGTTTGGCGCTTATTCTGTGGCTGCTGCTGTGATTTTTTCTGCAGAGGGTCAAACCTTTTATTCTTGGGTAGGGTGACATCATCACAACTCCTTTTGAGTTTGAGGTTTTTGGCCAGGCTATTGGTGCCTGCAAAACTAAGGTGGACTTTGTCGGCACATATGTAGCCAGTGTTGATTGAGTCATCCTTGAGCCGAAAGTTGATATCATTGTCATTGAAAATTACATCCTCATCTTGGCAATGGCAAAGGAGGAAACCATTGAGTTGGTCAATGCGCTCCTGGGTTTGGGTAGCACCTATGCGCGGTGTTACGCTAGAAACAGTGACAGAACTGGAACACTGTTTTGCTGTACGGATTAGGAGGGTATAATCTTCTGATATTAGCTTGACGTCTTCTCTCTCAGAACAATCATTACTTCCCACCTGCAGGTATATATGGTCAAACTTCCTCTTCATGGTAAGTAGTTTCTTGTGAATGTCAGATATCTTTCCTCCTCGTATGCATATAACTTCCGTATTGTTCAGTTTGGCTTCATCAATGTCACGAACTATTGATGATCCTATAAGAAGGGATTTCGCATTGTCATTTGGGGGTGAAACTGTCTTATTTACAAGTTGTTTTCTCAAAGTGGCAACTTCCTTGTGGAGCTCTTCATTGTCAGCTGTTTTACGTGACAGCTGTTTTACCAGGTCGGCGTTAGTTTTATTAATGTCTTTCAGATGTTTAATATCCTCAGACATGTCCCTCAGCATTGTCATTATGGTTATAAGATCAACCGGGTGTGTCAGAGCCGGATTTGATTGAGCGGGTTTAGTCCTAACAGGTTGGGACTTAGTTGTTCTTGGGCGCCCTCTCTTGGGTTTGGATGTCACTAGTCTAGAGGCAGTGAGAGGGGTCTTGAGGGTTTTGAGCTTGGTTGTGCGGCCTGATCGTCTGGTAGGATGAGGAGTGGCTAACTCTGTATTGTCCAGAATTTCATTTTCGTCAACATCTTGAGATTGTCCCTGACTACTTTGAGACAACCCCTGAATGCCAGCTAAACCAATTTGGGTTTCTGTGGAAGTATCCAAGTCTGTATCAGAGTAACTGCCTAACAATTGGCTAACAGTTCCAGTTTCCATGGTTTAAAACTATTCCAAGTCTGCCAATTATTCTATCAGGCCTAACTATAAGTCTATCAGGCTATATATAATATATACTGGATCAAATTAAATGAAATTAATTGTATGTAGTAAGGGGTATATTTAAAAGAACATGCTGAAACATTGAAAAGTTTTGAATGTTTATCCCTTAATTAGAAATATTTGAACTCAAAAAATGAAACGTAATTTTGTGAATTTTTCACATGGCTTCACTTCATATTTCTTTCAATTTATGCTTCTTACAGACTGAATTTCAATCGAAATGATATAGTTTTTTGATAAAAATATAGAATATAATATGCCTTTCAGGAATCAAAAAATAATAATTCACCTTTCAAACGATTTAATATTTAATTGATCAAAATATATATCTTGTTGGTACGAAATTCTGCCTGTCCACACTTTTTTTGCATAAATATAAGCGTTAAGTTAGCATTGTTATATTATGACGTCATCAACCAGAATCTGTTTGTCTTTTTCAAAATGGTGAATTTAAATATTGCGAAAGTTTGAGAAAGATCCGTTAAGAAATGAAAAAGTTATCTTCATTTTTCGTTTAAAATTGAAATCATTTTTCTTCAAAATGTTACAGTCCACACCCGGTTTTAGCATATAAAGTCGCATAATACGGCTTGCGTGATTCGCATTTAAAAAGTCACAAATCAGTTATTTGGAATTCTGATAGGCAAAATATTTCATGGACATACGTGTTCAACTGATGACGAAAAATTGTAGAAAAATATGATTTTGCTGTCGAGATATTGCGGTTTTAAAAGTAAGAACGCATGTGAAAATGCAGTAAAATGCCGCGATGTACAGTATCTGACGTCGTATAATATGCAATACTTTTGACATCGAAAATAGTTGTAAACACGTAAAAAAGTTTGTACTATTTTTTATGCTTTCATTGTACATTTGCAGGGGTATACATAGAATCGAGAAGATTCTTGCACAGTGGCCTGGACCTGCAAGTCTGTCTGTTTTTGGAACTGATGACGAGATTCAAAATTTCCTAAATACGACGCACTCTTGGAAAAGAAACAATATTGGAATCCACGTAGTTTATCAACGAAATGCAGTAAGTATCTTGACTTAAAATAAATGAGGTTTGGTAAAACCATTTTTCTTTTATCTACAACCCTGGGCCCATTACTCTATGGGATCGTATACTTTTAGGAGTGTTACCGTTTATGCTATCAATTTCATTAACATGTACATAGTAGCCAGGACAGAATAAATCATGCCTTTTTATTGTTCATTATTTTTAATTCTGAATATTTTTTAGGAACTATTCACAGAAAATATTCAAAGCATTTTAACATGAAAATAGTGTTCTATTGGGAGTGTGGCGATGTATAATTTGATAGTTTATCTTCATTGTAATAAGACGGATATCACTGAAGGGGTATAACAAAATATGGAGAAATCGCGTTTTTTATTATTTACCGTGTCTCTATGTATTTTGACAATTTAGAACATCAAATCTAACATATTGATGTGGGGGCACAACATGATGCAACATGTCCCGTTTTGTTGTCCACCCTGTATATTGCTATTCATCATGACCTATACATTATTAACAGACATATCACAGTTGTTGATTTAATGGCCTGTTTTACTTACAGACATATTATCCAGTTAACTTCATGAGAAATGTTGCCATCTATGGAGCGAATACTTTCCATATTTGGATGATCGATGCCGATTTCACTCCAAATAAGGACATTATTAATTATCTCCATTTCATTTACAGACATATTATCCAGTTAACTTCATGAGAAAAGTGGCCATCTATGGAGCAAATACTTCCCATATTTGGATGATCGATGCCGATTTCATTCCAAATAAGGACATTGTTAATTATCTCCATTTCATTTACAGACATATTATCCAGTTAACTTCATGAGAAATGTTGCTCTCTATGGAGCTAATACTTCCCATATTTGGATGATCGATGCCGATTTCACTCCAAATAAGGACATTATTAATTATCTCCATTTCATTTACAGACATATTATCCAGTTAACTTCATGAGAAATGTTGCCATCTATGGAGCTAATACTTCCCATATTTGGATGATCGATGCCGATTTGACTCCAAATAAGGACATAATTAATTATCTCTATTTCATTTACAGACATATTATCCAGTTAACTTCATGAGAAATGTTGCCATCTATGGTGCGAATACTTCCCATATTTGGATGATTGATGCCGATTTCACTCCAAATAAAGACGCATACCAACTGATCAAGAAATATATTTTTCGGTTTGATTGGACTGGTACAAAAAGGCCGGTATGTATTGAAAATAATAAGAACATTTAGATACTAAATGTAAGCTGTTAATATAGTTGATCCAAGGCTGTACTTTTACGTCTTAAAATATTTCTGACCGACCTTCTAACTTTCTAAGCGACTGATTGACTTAATTCATCATTAAAAAGTTTTTTGAACAAAATCAGAAAACTGCCATAATATAATTATTATCATTAGAAATAAAGACAGCCTTATGCGATTATTTTCGACAAGATAATACACATCTCTTTCATACTCTTTGATGAACGGGGATTCCTCTTCAACCATATACCAATGGTGATCCACTCGATTACGCCAGAACCGTTTGGTAACAAAATGTCGGAACATCGAAGGTACGATTTTTCTTTTTTCCGTATTTCACACGTTGTTGGTAGGGAAAAAATAAAAACCATACGTACCTTCGACGTTCCGACATTTTGTTTCGGTAACCAGCGTAATCGAGCGGATCACCAGTGTATACGCTTCCAGGCATTGATAACGCCAGCCTTTGAGACGGCCCTGAATGAAGGTGGGGTGCCTGACAACAGAACACAACTACTGAAAAAGCTGGAAGATAATTCGACATTGGTGACTTTTAGGTAATACACGAAACTGAGTTCTTAGGAAGATTATATTAACACAATTATAGGAAGAATAAGCTGGCGCTGCTTAAGAACGTGTACGTGAAACGTGTAAAATTGTGTTGACATAGCTATTGACAATCTTCGCCCCACCGGTCCTTATTTGTCCAATTGATGAGTATGAAGTTGTAATATAATAAAGTCAACGTTTAAACAAATTCGAGGTGAGCAACACTTCCCGGGGGTCATAATATTACAAGTTCATGTTCAAGTTCTTTCAAATGCGAGGATCTTAACCTCTCTACTAAGAAAAACATCCCACAAGGGTTCATCGATCTGACGAGATCACCCGTTAAAGGTGATCACTCCATCCTTTTAATTTGCGAATTTTCATTCAAACTGCTTAGTGGATATTGGTTTGGTAATAGGTGAAGTTACCTGTATTTAAGAACTTGTACCCTAACGTACAACTATGATCCAATAGGGATACATGTAGCTCTCCCTTTGTAGTATTCACTTGCCCGAATGAATAAAATAGTTGTAATTACATGTAGGTTCCTGGAAAGAATTGAGAAGGTGACAGTTATCCTTAAGGGACATGATATCGTACGTTCACGTACAAGTTTTCTCAAGAAATGTGTCCCTTTTCAGATATGTTTAACGTATGCCCTTTTATATTTACAGCTTCACCAGATGCCCTAATTGCCACATAAACACCAATTGGGAGCAGTTTATGATAGCCACTGAGGAGTACAAGGTGATGTGTGTAGAATTGGACTTCACATCAAATAGGTTTTAGGCTGATATGAATACGGCAGTAGTATCAGTTCATTTTTATTAGATACACTACTGCCACCTTTAAACATAATTTCCGATTCGCACGTGCTTCATTAGTGAAACTATATCCTTATCAACAACTTTATAGTCATCTGTTTGCATTCAACAACGAAAAATCACAAGACTCATTATTTATACTAAAGTAAAAGTTCACGTTGAAAAATATTTTGAAGAAAACTGATAGTAATAAAGATCCATTAGGCAATTTTCGATTAGGTTTCTTTGTAAACACAATTTGCTTCGATTTCAGGTAAAAGGAGGAGGAAATTTTGAACCTTATCTTGTGCTACAAAGAAATAATAGTCCAATTTATGACGAACGCTTGATTGCTAGGCATTGGAATAAAATACTATACGATTATGAATTATTTGTTTTACAGTAAGTAGCACAGAAATAATTCGTAAAACGGATCGGATATTTAAGATCTTCCGCTTACACTACTATCTCTGCTTAATTCTTTGTTCCAAATTGCCGATTTTATCTCAAAACTGCTATTTCAGCATTTGACATAGAAAATCTTATAAAGCAACGTTTGATTTTATTATTTTCATAAAAGGTAAAATTTGGTTATATTCTTTATGACAATACTAGCACAATCAAATAGATGTTCAGTTATTGTTGTTCGTGTCATATCAGCGGGCTATGATGATCCATCAAGCAGACAGGCTCCGTTGAGCCAATTATTAGGATAAATCTTTAATCACTTGCTCTATCCATTTCCGCCTTAAACATAAGTACACCGATTTGGAATTTGGTAATGTTTCATCCTTGATATCTCATCTATGTTTTCGAGGAGCCATTATTGATTTTGCAGAATAAATACTGCTTCATTCTAAAAAACATTAGATATTGTCATAAGAATTTTACACTAAAATGACAAGGGTCATCTTTAATGTCGCGGCTACTATAATCTCATATTATGCAAACATTTTTGGATTGTGAATATATGGTTTTAAATGAAGCTCTGTCAATTACTGATGCATTCGCCTGACAAATCGCAAACGTAGACGAACAACTGTAATGCAATCCTATCTTTTGTTTCATTGCAAGGCATTCTACCATTTACAGGTGACATCCAGGTTAAAATGAATATTGTACTTTATTGTTTATTTATATAAGGGGACATCTAATGCTTACAGCGCTTTGCCCCTTGTAATTGTATCTAAATGACTTGTGTTTACAATAAATATGAAAGATGTTAAAAAAAACTGTAATGCACATCTGGTTGATCAGAAGGATTGGTGAAGAGTTACCTTGTTAAAATCTAAGGATTTACAAGGAAGCGACACTTGATCAGTTGTTGAAAGTACGCAAACAGAAAATTCTTCACAACTTTTGGCTTTCCTTACGAAATGGATAAAACGCCCACAATCAATCAGATCAATCAATCAATCAATTTATCAGCTATACAGTCAATCAAGCAATTAATGTACTTATCATTTTCAGCTATGAGTTCAATGTGTTACCAGATGTTTTCATCGTTCATGAGCCACACGAACGAATAAAGCAGCCAAAAGTGGAATTCATGTAAATATATGTTTATAATATATGCTCTGTAGTGTTGATTTTAAATTCTTCTTGCGATTTGAAGTTAAATTTTTAAGTACTGCTAAAGTAAAACACAAAAATACCGATAACAACTGGTGATAGGACATATTCAAATTAGTATAGTTGGACATGTTTATCTAGTTTTTAAATTAATGTATCATTTCGTGGTTACCTATCCCTCGAAAATCCCTCGAAGCACACGCAATACAGTTAACCATCCATCTGTAAAACCATTATTCACGATCGCGAATTACACTTCCTTCCATAAGTTTGGCAACTGGACGACCCTTTTGGACTACTTCTTAAAGGCCATTCTGATACTCATAGCATCTTTCTCTCTCAAAGCTGAGAAGAATTGAGATGTCATGGTTTATCATGATGCTTAAAGGCTGTTTAATACATGTTTGGTGATTTATTGTGTTATGAATTTCAAATATGTAATAATTATAATTCAAACATTGTCAGGTCTTTGGTAACTTTCGGTTGTCAAACTTATGGAAGAGAGTGCATATCGACGTATTCCGTTGTTTCTAATAAAGAGTCTCGATTTCCAGGTGTTTGGAAAAAATTGGACGGCTAATCAAGGACGAACTAAACAAGAAAAGGATATTTCTCCAACAATCTATAGCAACACATAGACAGGTTCACAAAGCTCACTAATAGTACGATAACGTCATTTCGAAGGGCAATATGCCCTCGGTCCAATATTTCACTATATTGCCCACAGAAATGACGTTATTAGTATTATTACCACCGTTAATGCCCAGGGCTGAAATAGCAAAAAATTATACGCATTGAACGATATCTCATTATTACCACCTTGCCGGGCCTGTTCAAGGGGTATTAGTGCTTGTTTAGAAGGCATTTATTTTACTATATAGACCTGAGCAATACGTGACGTCATACTGGTGGGCCATAGTGGCGGGCCAATAATGCATTAACGCCCGGCAATTTTCTCCGGTTATTTAGATATCGTTCAGTGCGTAAGATTTTCTTGCTATTTAAGCCCTGGCCATTAACGGTGGTTATAATACTAATGCGGGTTATATTTCACTATATTGCCCTTCGTAATGACGTTAAATTTGTTCTATTTCCCGGGGAAAATTACCGGGCGTTAATGCATTATTGGCCCGCCGCCACTATGGTCCGCCACTAGGACGTCACATATTGCTCTGGCCACCCATTGATCATCTCCGTCGCAATACAGAAATATTGGTTCGGAGGGAAGATTCTCAGCAGCGATACAGCTGAAAGCATCACACGATAAAAACGTTACAGAATGATTTGAAGTGCAATCCAGGATATATTCTGCTCTCGATATTCTAGGAATTCTCGGAATTTCTCGAGCAGAATATTCTGTATTTTTACCACTTTGCCGGGCCAGTTCTAGGGGTTTTAGTGCTAGTTTAGAAGGCATTCATTTTACTATATCGACCTTCGGCCAATATTTCACTATATTGCCCTTCGAAATGACGTTATTGTACTATTGCACTTCAAATCATTCAATAACTTATATCATAGTACTATGTTGTTTTAATGCTTAACATATCTCGAAAGTAAAAATGTTTCATGTTTCACCTAAAATGTCAAATTGCTCACGTGGTAAACTAAATTATTCTACGAGGTGAAAGTGTAACGCACTGGTATATTCTCTTGGCACATGTAGGCAAGTGAGAAATGAGAAATAGATTATGAATAATATGTACAAAATAAACTAAATATAATGAATCTACCACCATTTCATTTTGTTACTAGTTGCAATATTTTGTTAATAAGTATTTTTAATTTGTATACAGAATCTATAATTAGGGTATATATTTATAAATATGGTTTCAAAAAATGCCTAGGCCTCTACCAGCATAAAGGGTTTGATTTTGAACATTGAAATGAATAATTTATTCATCAAGCACATAACAGCATCAATCGGGAGAGATAAATCGACAAATGATGTAAAATGTATTTGATTAAAACATAAGTTTCATTTATTAATGTTCTAGTTTTGACACATATTTTAGGGCGTATACATTTGTTATAATCACTTACATAAATATGTTACAATAACCTTATTCATTTAGAATGAACGAATCCTCTTCTGATATCCCATGAATAAACTGGCCCATATAAATCACTCAGCGCTCTATATTTTTGTACTTTGGGACACGTTTCTTTACCCATTCAGACAGAAGAATTGGGATCAGTTTTTATATATTTTGTAGTTTTGTATCCTATTCCGTCGAATCAATTTGTTGCGTTTAAAACGCGACACATTTTGCAAAATGTGTCAGGGAACCAAAGTATCATGCACTACAGAAATAAAATACTTTGATATTCTTACACTCCCCTTCAAAGATTTGGCAAATCAACGACATCCATTGAGACACAAAATAGATCCTGTTTATGCTTGCATTGGCGAATAAGGTCATATGCTATAACTCTAAATTACATAATATCAGTAAAGAATTTAATTAGTTTTCATTTCATTTCTAACATGAATAGGGTTTAACTGGCTATTTAATGTGAAGTAGTTTCCAAACGTTTGGAGGGGAGTGCAGAAACCTAATGGGTGACACATAGTACAGTTTCTTGTAAATACGATTATATGAATTACGCCCAAAGATCTTAACAAAACAATCTATAGACTGTTAAGGCTGCTTTGTTGAACTGGCTTGGTCAGTAATATTTGCTTTATGAGAACAGGAATAGGGGTCGAATCGAAAGTACTTAGAGTGTACGATAGTTTCTTAGTTTCTTATGACATTTCAATATGTTGCACCAGTCTCCTATAGACTAATGCCGACTGATCTTGGGTATTTTCTATCCATTTTTATCAAACTCATTGCATTATACATCTGTGCTTTGATTCCGAAGAATGATTAAACTCACGTTTTGATACAACCCCCGATTAAGCTGATTCCATTCTTTGGTCAAATAAACTTTTAACGTTCACCATCAGCAGTTCATTTGAACGTGAATATATCAACGTATATGTTATGATCATGCAAGCACCAAATGTTACACATAGGGTAAATAAATATGAAATAAAACTATGGGCAAGTTAGAAGATTAAGCGGATTTAATGAAACAGTGGCCTACTGTTTGGAATAGTCAGATGTCTGCCAATTTAAGCAAATCAACAAATAATACACGGATTATATATTTAATTGGGTGCTTTAAACGTAAATAAATACGACATCCCGCATTTCAAATGGAATTACTAATGACTGACTAATTACGAGGATATAGGGAACATGTTCATAATGCCATCATAGATCTCAAAAACCGAGGAAAGACGTAAAGGGGTGAACTTACGCAATTGGAGAAAACGGAATATGCATTTCAAAACCTGTTTCAAGAGAAGAACCAATGCAACTACAATTGTGATACTTGTTCTAGGGTTATTTGTCATTTTATTGTTTACGCTCAACAAGGATGTGGACACAATTCAGGACGATGTAATCAATGTTAAAATCAACGACAATATCTCAATTGACTCTTACACAATCAGGAAAATGGCGAACACCATCGGTAATGTAATTCTGTTCTTTATTTCCTGAAAACAATGTAACGCCAATTTTTCCATTGAATTGACTTGTAGTTGTTATTGTGATGCTGATCTTTTTGCTGAGAAAATTGACTCTATTATCTCCCTGGATTTTTTATCAATAGGGTGCTCGACCCTGATTCTATGGCCAAAATACAACACGCCCCCCTTTCCCGGCCCACTTTTGAATTTTGACAGATTTTAACTTTATAATCAAAGAATTATTCTGAAATTGAATAAGTCCAGGTGGGCATGACGTGGAATGATGACAGCAAAACAGTACAATTGCCATAATTGCCATAAATCAAACTTTAAGTAAAAAGTTCGATTCTCTATTTTTTCAGAGTACTCACCGACACAAGACTATACCTTTCACAATACGACGACTAAACAAGAAAATACAGTATCAACACAAATAAAAGCACTAATGAATTTAAAGCAACTCATCGAGAGAAATAAGAAAATATACATATACGATTTAAAGGAGAAACTATTAAACAATAACTTTGAAGAAAAGTTAAAAAGAACCTTTCAAAAGGGCACATATGGTAAATGTAGCAGTGTCATATCCGAAATTAGATTACGTCACGATGTCCAGTATTTTGTGTTTCGATACAGTTATGAACCATCGCCTATAGATGTCACCTTATTATCGCATCTTACTCTTAACAGGTATGGTTAAGTTATGAAAGTGTCACAAGAATATGCAACAAAATCAGGCACGTCAGATGGAGGGGGGGGGGGGGGGCGTGGGAATGATGTTCGAAATTTTTGGGAATGGAGTAATTGTGCAAGTAACTTAAGTGATCAAAATAGACCTTTAACCAGCGAATTTCTGACGTCATACGACTACTTCCGGTAAACTGGGCTGGACACCTGTTATCTGATTTTATATGAAGTTACACAATGCCATTAATGTCACCAATGTCACATATACTATATCTACACTTAACATGACCGTTGTACGTTCGTAATTATATATTTGCAGAGGTATACATAGAATATCAAAAATTCTTGCACAATGGCCTGGTCCTGCAAGCTTATCTGTTTTTGGAACTGATGCTGAGATTAAACAATTCCTGGATGTTAATCATCCTTGGGAAAGAGAAAATGTTGCAATACACGCAGTATATCAACGGAATGCTGTAAGTGATACTGGAGAGTACCGATGCATTGCGACCGAAAATGTTAATATGACGAAGATGGTCGAAGATGCTTGAAGTAGCCAATCAAATTCCTTCAACAATCTTCGGCCATCTTCGGGTATTGTAAAATATCACGAAGATGGCCGAAGATGCTACGAGGAACCAATCAAATTATCTAAAGGAATATGGTTATAGATCGTCGGTCATCTTCAGTTGCCGTACAAAAACCGTACCCTCCCGTCATACCCAAGACTATATCCCTAATCTAATATAATTTAACGATGATCAAATAACGCAAGTAGTAACAAATCTATCATTTGGCTTTAATATTGAAAATAGAAATTCTCAGGGTTTGTTATGTGTTATGCGCCCCTATCAATTTATTTTTCCACAACTGATATTCTTTCATAAATTATTTCATTTTGATGAATAATTATATTTCACTAGTGCAAATTGACACATTGTTTCATTTACTGTATAATCATATATCAATTGATGACGTGAAACTTTCTCTAAATTTAATGTTCCAATTTTAATCTTTATCTTATTTTCAGACACATTACCCTGTAAACTTTATGAGAAATGTTGCTCTCTATGGTGCTAATACTTCCCATATTTGGATGATCGATGCCGATTTCACACCAAATAAGGATGCATATCAGCTTATAAAGAAATATATACCGCAATTCGATTGGACAAGAAATAGACCGGTATGTACTGTATTTGATAGTACAGAAGATAGTAGTTTAAACTCTAAAGGGATCCTGTTTTCAGTCAAATGCAATCAGTTTCTCATCACGATCGTTGGCAACTAGACGTATACACTCTGGTCTTTGTTCAATATGCCATGGCGCAGTGGTAATCGCCTGGAGCTTTTGTATTTTATAAGATAGAATATGGAAGAAACGTGTATTGTCGTACATTGCCGATTTTAGTAATTAGCAAAGATTGAAAATGGACAAAATTAATTGTGAAATGGAAAAAGTAGATTCAATTTCCAATATTTATAGAAAAAAGGATTGTACCAAATTCAATTGGTGATGCATGTTTTGTTTTTAGAACTAAATGTTTATCTCCATATGATATACTTGTGTTTTCTAGGCATTGGTAACACCAGCATTTGAAACTAATCTAAATGAAGGTGGAGTGCCGGACAATAGAACCCATCTGTTGGAGAAACTGAACGAAAAGAATAAGACAATAGAAACATTTAGGTAAAGTAGTTCATAACTCACAATCAGATTACCCTTTGCATTCGTTTGACTTCACTTCTTAAAAGAGAGCTTCGTCTTCTTAACTAGACTCTGCACGCAGGGTACAATCAGATACAATCACCAAGCCACATACACAGGGTGTGCCAAAAATTGCAAATATTTTCAAAAGGCTAGGAAAGTATCATAACACGAACAATAAGGTATTAACATAAAAAATTATTTACAGAAACTTGAGGAGAGGCATATTTTACAATTCAAATATTTAAGCCCATACTGACTTCAATTTTTGTCAGATCTTTGAATATCAGTGGTGAATTGTTCATGTCCGAGATTTACAGTTTTTCATGATTTTATGAACAGATATAGCATGGAAGAAACCTGTATCGTCTATATTTATGAGAACTGTTTAATCAAGGTCTAGTACAGATTTAACAGCAGTATCTTTCACGCCTTTCACCTACTAACACTAATACTCATACCATTAATTTCACATAAGAAGACCTAAACGGACAAAGTTGGTTAAACTGTTCAAAAGTGTTCTTTCTATATAACAGGACCAGCATATAATGTTTGTTGACAACGACGCCATCTTTTGAATTTTACATGTTTTATATTTTCAGCTTTTCAAGATGCCGGAACTGTCATAAAAACACGAACTGGAAACATTTCATGACTACCACGAAGGCATACAAGGTGACGTATGATAACCAGTTCAGATACAATAACTGTATAATTTATCAATAACAATATTTCGCTAAAAATATCATTGATTTAAATAAGAACATTCAAGTGTCACATTTGTAAAAAATGTTACTAGTCTTATTCCAAGATATGGACATTTAGGCGATATTGTAGCGTCTTATTACACATGGGGCCCGTAGCCAGGATTTGCCAAGGGGGGGGGGGGGGGGGGGGGGGGGGGGGGGGGTCAGTTTTCAAAAATTTCAGGGGTGGTTTACATTTAACAATTTTGGCCCAAATATGGCTAAAATTACTTGAGAAATGCTCAAAATGGTGAAAAACTGCATGATTTTGAAAGAATTTTTGGCCAGGGGGGGGGGGGGTCGCCCGAACCCTGCGACCCCCCCCCCCTCTAGCTATGGGCCTGGTCCATACAATATGACACTAATAAATGTATAATAAATCTACTGTACATACGTTGTATAAAAAAGTATCTGGAATATCGATTGTTGTTTTCTCCTTCACTTCCCAATAAAATGATAAAATATGACAGTTCATATCATGTGATATTTTCACAATACAATGTATGATTATAGATACAAGGCGGTGTAAAACCCTTGGTTGCCCTTTTATCATATGGTATTTTCACAATATAATGTATAATTACAGATACAATGAGGTGTAAATCCCTCAGTGGCGCTTTTATCAAGTGATATTTTCACAATACAATGTGTATAATTACCTCGAGGTGTACCTCGATGGCCCTTTTATCATGTGATATTACAATGTATAATTACAGATACAAGAAGGTGTAAAATCCTCGGTGGCTCTTTTATCATTTGATATTTTCACAATACAATGTATAATTACAGATACGAGGAGGTGGACGTTTTGAGCCTTATGTTGTTTTACAAAGAAAGACTATTCCAGTTTATGATGAACGATTGATTGCGAGGCATTGGAATAAAATTCTTTACGACTATGAACTTTATGCATTACAGTAAGTACAATCAAAATTGATTAAGCTTTCGTATATATGTATAGGATCAGACACAAGTTACACGCAATTTACCACCATTAAAGATCAAAGAGGCACGATAGTGCAGCCGATTTCATTTGTTAAAATGTTCATATCTAATATCCAGATTTTACATTTTGTTGAATTACAAATCTAAGAATATTGCAATACCACCGCAGCTTGTTTTATTGATTGGAAAAAACTTTTTTGGGCATGATTTTATTTGAAACTGTTGTAATTTCGACAAAGCAAATGTTGATATTGTTGTTGTAACGTATTTGTTACACTTGTCACATTTGTTTATTGTTTTTAACATTTGATGTATTTGTATGCCATGTGCACAGCAGACATAGTTTCAAAAATAAGCCGTAATTCTATTTGTTTAATATACATTTCAAGGTATGAGTTCCATGTGTTGCCAGATGTTTTCATTGTTCACGAGCCACACGAACGGATAATTCAACCACGAGTTGAATTCACGTAAATATATTTTTATTTCTATGCTTAGGGTCATATAACATCCTTTCCTTATTCTTAATTTCTTTGGTAATACCGTTACATTAAGATAGTTAAGAATGATGTCCTACCAAATCATCAATAATCTGCAGAAAACAAAACTTCACATTTAGATATGCCCAAATATGTAGGTGCAGACAGCACTATTTTGAGTGGCGTATTGTACTAAAGGTTTATTTATAGATTTATTTTGTTCATTTTCAGATGTTTGGATAAAATTGGACTGCTAATCAAACAAGAACTCCTTAAAAAGAAGAAGTTTCTGTCAAAAGTAATGGCTGAAGATAAAAAGAAATCTGACAAACCATCGCTTTAACACATACAAAAACAATCGAATTGTGCCAGAATTTGCTTTCAGTGCATATATATTTGTATGTATAGTCTTAGCAAGACATGGGGCTACCTCACCGAAAATAAATGATAGCATAGGCATAATATATTAAAAATGGCATATGATTTAGTATGTTTGACATACTAGGTTATTTAAACTTGTAAACTCATTTGCAAGATTTTATAAATTAAAAAGATGATTAGCAAGTTTTAAAAACAATTGTGATGAAAACAATTTTCCTTCCAATAAATGGTATATGCAGATGCTGTAACTGTATATCCCTTTGTCTAATTTGGTTGATCGGGAGGGGGGGGGGGCGTTTTGGCCCATATTGAATAGTGTTCAGATCAACTGAAACTGTTGAAATGAGTAATTTACCTTATGTAGACAGTATTTGCCTAGCTCACATATGATTGTTTGCCTCAATGAATTATTGACACTGGCTACGTCCCTCTGTAATTGAGCACAAAACCACGTATGTAAAAGGCGTTGTCATGTTTGACTCATATTAGGCTCGAATGTAAAACCCATGTGCAATTGATTTGTTAAAGATACATTAGACTGTACAATGATAAAGTATATTGGCTGAGCTAGAATATAATTTGGTTTATAATCACACAAAGGTACATTGCGAAGTGAAATGTTTTAGCATTTTATATATATTTATATTCAGTATAGGGGGCTGGTTTTAAAGAAATTGAATCATGGTAGACCAACTGCAACACAGATATTGTTAAGTTCGCCCAACAGCCATGTTTCCATCATCTTATTTTAATGACCATTATCTATATTTAGACATTTTGTAAAGTCATAAGAAAATGAATTTTTTAAACACTGTGGCTAGTCGATCTATGTGGATGCAGTCAGGCACATGTAATGTTTCGTGAGTACCCGCCTCTGTACTTTTCAATGGAAGAATTTTGCACTTCTGTTTAAATAATCTATATTTACTCATCCGTGTATATCATACTTCATTGATTTACAAAAACAAAGCTACGCTATAAACACACATTCTCTGATATTTTTACGGAGAATAGCATAACTCAAACTAGTTCACTCGACCAGTTTTATCATCTCGCTCATAGCTGTGAGAAGGTATGTATAATTTGCCATAGGTTTACCTTGTAATGGGGAATAAAAAATTCAAGTAATATAATTATTTCACATACACAAATATGTCTGTGTGAAGTAAAATACGAATACAATGCGTTCTATAATATTTTTGGGGTTATGTTATGAAATATCCGCTTTAAAAAAGCAATTTAATTATGATGTATCATGTGGATTAATAGACGTTCTGATTGGATTTATTGAACAGACTGGCTAGGTTTCAATTGAATCATTTTGAATGTGTGTATTTTTAATATTTTAATCCACAGTGTCCAAAAACAATAATAATGCTATATTGGTAATTGGAAAGATTCCACTTACCACGATTTCAAAAAATTGTAAATAGATAATATTATTCTTGAATTATGGTCATTTGTTTCAAGGAATCTGGAGGCTCGTTCAGCTGAGCTGACAAAATCATCAAGATTTACGGATGGTCCATCTGTTGGACGCTCATTGTCACTTTCAAGGAATGTTAATGGCTCTGAAACTTGTAGCCTTGCCCAAGTCGGTATTTATTTACTTATCTGATCTTGAATTATTACCACCTTGTACAATCCAATGCATCATCGCTGATATTATGCTAAGTTACTCAGCGGTTCCGAGATTCCCATAATACCTAGGCTACCTAAGGGTATCGCAAAACCATATTGATTGACAATATGGACATGGACACAACGTGTGACTTCAGGCTGATCGACCAATCAAAACGTTATCAGGTTGACCTGCATAAAAAAGCAAACTACCGGTCTAGGACTTGAAATTCAATGATGTGATCGAGTGTTTCTTGAGAGTTACAATATATTAATGTTATTAAATGTACATTTGAATGTAAGCAGTCATTAATACTCGTCTAAATGAAATCATGCAATTCAATGTTGATTCAAATCAAAACTGAATTCGCGATGGAAATGCACAAAGACCTAGTCCGACAATGTAGGGCCGTCGTTGATTTGTCAAATTTTACCGACAAAAACATTGGGTTGGTAATGCACGTGGCTTTCTCTTGGGTACAAGGCGGTCATAATAGAACTTGGGCAAGGCTATGAAACTTGATTTGTGGGTATTCTGTGGGTCGATGGGTCTTTTGCTCTCAATTCACTTCATTGGCGAACCTAATTTGAACATTTTCATTGTCATCATTACATGTTATGGACCCGTTTTTCAAATTAACATTATTAGCGATAAAACCATAGTTTTTTAGCCTATGGGGTCGACCAGGCGTCCGTCCGTTTGTCCGTCCGTTGGTCCGTCCGTCTGTCAACATTGGCTGCACAAATTAAAACTGCTATCTGGATTGAGTCATTTTCACATTCATTTTATGCATATCCATAATGTCTATTTGACCTATCATTGCCATTTCCCAAGTTCGGCCGGTTTTGAAGAAATTGCTGATTTTTAAATTTCGAGAAAAATCGATCTGATGATAGCCTTATAGAAAGTCAAGAGAAGTGAAGAAAAGATTGAAAAAATACCAGTCCAGGTCCAGGTCCAGGTCCAAGTCAAGGTCCAGTTCAGGCCCAAGTCCAGATCTAGGTCTAATCAGGTTTAATCTAGGTCAAAGGTCAAGAACTAGGTCAAATCCAGTACTTTGTCATTTTTTCAATTTTCTCTGTCGTCCTTTAATATTTTTGCTCCGTTTTTAATCATGTTCCTTGGAAAAAAGCTAATCCCTACAGGCAAGTTGTTTTGATCACTTTTTTTATTTGAGATATGGCATCCGAAAAGTAGGTCACAATAAAAAAGTTCTTGGAATTCAATGTATGAGTTATGAAATATGTGAAGAATTGTCCAAGGAATCCGAATCTGCAAACCAGATTTTGATCCGACTTCCGGTTCGGAAGTTATGGCATTTTGAAATCTCAAAAATCGCTATTTTGGTATCCCATGTTAAGTCAATGGGGCTTGAGAAAATTATCAATTGTAACATCACAACACTAGATACAGCTTGGCTGCAGCCAACTTAATAAGAATCTACAATAGAAGCCGTCCTCAAAATCTACTTTCCTTCAAAATTTTGACACTAAAAGGCCTAGGTCAAAATCTAGGTCAAATTCATAGTTTTTCCTTTGACTACAAGAAATCATATCTGAACCAACAACAAAGGACTCATCTTTTATTGATCTCATATTTACCAATACTTTTGTTTGAAAATCAGGATATACATTCCTCTGAAGGTTCTACACTGCGTGAGCACAGGACCGTGGGTCCTTTTTATCATCTGTAATGGCATTTTCCAGTTGATGGGTTTATATATGGTATTTTCAATTTTTCATGAGGGTGTCTTTAGACTACTTCTAATGGGGTGGTTAATTACTTTACTGAATGAGGAATGATTCAAACAATGGATACAAAGAAAATCTGGCCAGTTGTCCATCAGTAAATAAATCATCATGATAAAAGTATAATTTATTAAAGCATCCATTTGTTACCGTTCTGAATCCAAATGATACATAGGTGCATCCATTTTATACATATATGTTGACGTTTACGAAATGTTTTTCAAATATCTTCCCTATAACAGGAATATGGTAGCTGAGACTTTCACACATTGTCATACTATGTATATTGAATATGTATGCAAGATTTCAAGTCACGATGTTAAGTAGAAACTCTGAGATCATTTACCTCGATTTGCTGTCATATTTTTGCAATGATCCCATTCCCTATAATGTACGCGAGCACCCACGATACATTACATATAAATGACTGCATCCACATAGATCGACTAGCCACAGTGTTAAAAGTGATCAGTTTTGGACACTCATGTAATTACTCGATGAATTGTGGGTGATTTTACGCACTCATGCACATGTCTTGTACGCTTGACATCTTGCTACGCCCTCATCCAAATACACTATCCACTGGCGAATCCAGGTGGGGGGGTGCATGGTGGCCTTTTTGGGCGTTAAATTTTCAAAATTTGAACCCAATCTTTGGTTTTAGGGGCCCACATTTTTTACGCGCTTTTTTCCTCGAAATGTGGCCCCTCCCCTTGTTAGCTTCTGGTTCCGCCAGTGCTATCAATACAATGCTTTAAATTCATCCACAATTTATTTAGCCCTGAGTTTAAACCCATACATATTCCACCACTCTCAAGGAGTTATAACTGTCGTTGAATTATGAAATATAGAAAATACAGAAAATGTCTGCAAACATCAGCGATTCTGGTTACTGGGTTCTGGCTTATGACCATATAAATCGGCAAAGGGTGTCATTTGAATGAGGACAATTTAAAGAGGGGAAATGTGTCCAAGTTTGCCAGTAAGAGCAGATGTGGGGATTTTAGACAACTACTATGAAAGTCACGGAGAATCCACTAATAAGAGCTATTGACCATTAGGAAAGAACGCGATGTACGTATTTCTACTGTACATGTGACAAAAGGAGTTAAAGATTACGGTTTTCGATTCAGAATTTTTATATTTCCGAAGAAGCAAATTCACTATTTAATCAAACTAGTCTCAGTGTCAGACAGTAGAATCGTGTATACCGTGTATGTAGAACATAATGTTACAATATTGTATTGACATGTTCAATATGACAATTACAACAAAATGTTATTAGAAAATAAGCTAGTCAAGTTTTTAAAATATTCAGCAAGTTGCTAAATATTTATAAAAGTATCTATCAACGTATTTTGCATAAGTGTCCCACGCATCGGATACATGTTTTAGTGCATTTTAGTATTGTATTTTAATTTATGACAGTTTGATAAACTATATAAACTAAACTGTCTGCCTCGGTGTAAGGCTCTCGTACAATAACCTCGTACCTTACACACCAACAAACCATGGAGTCCCGAGTTTGTCATTTAAATGCATCATTTCTTCATAGGTCTAGGCAGTCGGTTACAAGGTGCACAAGCAGTCTGAATATAATCGTAACGGACCAAAAAGTTTCAGGAACCTCAATAGTCAACATCACCATTTAGGTCCGTAGGCATACGAATCTTGCCATTCACCTTTTATTTCACAAGGGTGTAATTGTCTCAGCGGCATAGGTTGAAAGTAGAAAATACTTTTATGTTTTATATAAATAAAATGCTTTGATGCCTTTCATTGTTTGCCGTATTCATTTAATTATGTCAGATAATGTAAGCTTATGGAGAATATTATTTTATTGTTTTTTTTGTAACATCTTGGCATCACATGGTTTACGGATACTCTAGTTTCATTAATTTCGTAATAATACGTGGTTTTAAATTAAATATTACACAACAATCAAGTACATCAAATAAAATATACTTTATTTTAAAACCAACAAATACTAACAACATTAAGTAAAAAATAAAGGTAATAATTTCCAGAGAGCGATTTCGATATAACATGATAAAAATAAATAAAATTCAACAATGATAGAATAATTTAGACATGCAAAACAAAGAATATACTTCAACATGAAACAGTGATATCATATAAACCTATTATATAAAATAAATAACGACAACATATTAACATATAAATATATAAAAATATTAACAAGTATTTAAAAATATATACAAGTATCATTAAAGGAAAATTCACTTCACTTAAAAATGTAGGATAAGACATTTTAAATGCAAGGACTAGATATGCAATGATGTGGAGCTGGTTGTCACGGCATATATTCAGGCTATAAGTTACCGCATCAGAGAGCTTCAGGTATCAGCATGGGCTTTCAATTTCTAGTTGAAAGCCCATGGCATCAGTAATAGATATAGAGAACATCAAACAAAATGGATTTGACTTATTATTTGCTAGAGGTGTGATTCAGTGATTATATTTCTATTGGGTTCTGTACTAGAGTTATTATTTTCTACAGATTTTACTATTGTTGGTCGCACTAGCATTTCATCACAGTCTCGAAACAAAGTATAATCGACGTCTCCCAACTCCTCGTTAGAGGGCGCACTTGACTTTGTCGGTGTCGCACCACTACCAGATTTGGAAACATAACTTACACTTCGTATTCCCATTGCTGTATTTATGTTTGAAATGTTCCTGGTTAAATGGTTAATGTCTTCTCTTTGTCTCCTTTGTGTTCTATATAATTTTATCGCAACGCCAGCTATGACCAAAATTGCTATAGTTGCCGTTACGGTGGAAACTAAAAGAATTGTTGTTATTCGCTCAGTCGATGTGCGCAAATTAGAGTCTAGATTAGAAATAGGTGCAGTAATAGGGTTCCCAGATGAATTGCTGGAACCAGGAAGACCAGGGGGACCTGTCGGACCCGTTGCACCAAACACCCCTGGAGAACCAGCACTTCCGTTCTGTCCATCTTGCCCCGATGGACCCGTGGCACCTGTATTTCCGGTAGCACCAATTCCAAGTGTGCCGTTGGGCCCCGTCGGACCAGTAGCTCCTACACCAGATGGTCCAGTCGCTCCAGCAGGACCAGTTGCCCCAATCCCGACTTCACCAATAGGTCCTGTTGCCCCCGATGGTCCGTATAAGCCTATTGAACCGGTTGGTCCAGTTGACCCCGCGGGGCCCGTTGCTCCTATTCCAACGGGCCCTTCGGGACCCGTGTTACCTTCGAACCCGCGTTCTCCAGTGAGACCAGTAGCGCCTGCAGGACCAGTGGCGCCCATAGGCCCACCCGACGGGCCAGTTGCTCCCTCTGAAACAATGAAATCGAAAAATGATGATAATGAATTCAATTGAATCTACTTCATCCAAATAAGTACTTCGGTTGCAAAACATTTTTTTAGAAATAATTAGTGTAGAGAAAAATTAAAGGAATAAACATGGAATTATAGGGACTAATGGGATTAACGAGGCAATAGTTTCAGACGGTAATCTTTGTAAAAATTGTAAAACATTTTAGAAAATCAGCAATGAATTATTTATATTTCCACCGTAAAACCATGCGAGAATGTCACCTTAAAAATAGGTGGCACGGACAGGTCCCTTCTGTCATCTTTATGTCGACTTAGTGCTTTGTATGTATGTGTTTTACTATACTTATCCGTACCAAAAGCATCGGCGTCTATAACACAGTCGAATCCACCGTATGTGTTGACACAGCGGAAGGATCCTGAACATGTATGATTGCCCGTTACACATTCATTGACATCTGAAAAATATAGAAATAAATATATTATCTTACGAGGTCAAATAATTTGGTATTGATGGGAGAAATTTGAAGGGGAGACGGGCTTACTATCATCAATTGTTGTTTATTGCGTCAGCCGTTCGATTGGTAGTAAGTAACTTATGAGTAAAGTGACGACGTTCGGTATTCACAACGATGCCCAAATAACATACTTTTGCTGATCGAAATATACATACATCAAATTAAAAGGTTTTATTATATAACCGTCTTGAGTTACGACCGTTCCGGAAACTGCTCTCAGAGTCAGAATGGCTGATGAAGAAGTCAAAAGTAGTCCATTCATATACAGGCCACGCAGTTCTCTAATAATGCTTTCCCCAAACGCAGATCGGGTGGTTCTCTCATATGTAGGCCAAATGGTTCATCAATACGTAGGTCATGTGGCTCACTCATGTGTACACCACGTGGGCCATTCATACGTGGTTAATTCATACGTGCATTGGTCAAATCATTCACCCACACGTAGGTCACGCGACTCACTCATACGCAGGTCATGTCCAATTTATACGATGCTTAAATGGTTCAAACATTTGTAGGTCTCGTTGTTCACTCATATCTAGGTTACGAGGTTCACTCATACATAGATTACGGGGTTCACTCATACCTATCCCACGTGGTTCATGCATTTGTAGGTCACGTGGTTCACTCATGATAATGTCATCTGGTTCACTCATACCTAGGTCACGTGTTACACTCATGCTTAGGTTACGCGTTACACTCATGCCTAGGTCACGCGTTACACTCACACCTAGGTCGCGTAGATTATTCATCAAAGTAGTTCACACATACGTACCATCACAGCTTCGCCTGTTGGCCGAAAGTGTAAAGAAGGCCTCGGTGCAGTTACAGTAAAATGACCCAATTGTATTGCTACATTGCTGTTCACAGCCACCATTGTTGATATCGCACTCGATGACATCTGAAATACATGCGATAAAGAGAGTAGAAGAATAGAGAGGAGGTGAGAGTAAGTTTCGAAAAAATCGCCCACATAACTTAAATTTGATCTCAGTAGTGAATGTTGGGCTTTTGGAATAATATTTATATTTGATTCGACAATAGTCTAAATGTATAACGCAGTGGTATTGATCCGGAAATTATTAGGACACAATTTTTATTGACATCACCTTCGCAAGTTCTGTTGTCTGATGCTATTCTATAACCTGTATTACAGTCGCAGTAAAAATCTCCGATAGTATTTACACACACGTGTGAACAATTTCCATTGTTCAATAAACACTCGTCCAAATCTACAATCAAGAAGGGCACATGTATATAGTGATCACTCGTCTCGATTCGCCAAGCTTTGAGGCATAATACAAAGAAACTCAAAACTGGAAATTAAATCAAATGACATCGGTAATTTATATCTTCTTTAGCTTTAATTTAATATGGACCAGTCAATAGATAATCTTTTAATAGCATTAATATGCAAAATGTCATCACCTACCATTTGTTACAGAGACCATAGCAATATGTCACCACTTTTGGTGGTGGCATAATGGTTTTAAAATTTTAAATTGGAATAAGTCAATAAGTTTATCTTACCAAGCTTAGTATAATCCACGACTCCAGTTGGACCAGTTGCGCCCTCGGGGCCTGATAATAAAAATACAGGAATAGTATTAAAATAATTGAATATGAAGAATAAGCAACCGAAAAACAATTTTCATAAACTTGTCCTGTCTATCTGTAAACCTGTCTATCATTGTGTGCTATCGATGTACATGTATGGTATTTCACAGTTTATCAATAAGAATGATAATCTGTTTTTATAAGCAAATGCAATTTCATAATTCATTGTACATTGTATTATACCTGTCGGTCCAATCGCTCCATCGGGTCCCGTAGCGCCAGTTATTCCTGTAATTCCAATTGGCCCAGTTCCGCCTATTTGTCCAACAATACCAGTAGGTCCGGTACTTCCTGATATACCAGTTGCGCCATGCGTTCCAGTGCTACCAGTAGGACCAGTACGACCAGTATCTCCTTTAATTCCAGTAGGCCCCGTGGTTCCTATTTGCCCTGTTGCCCCGGTTGGTCCTGTGCTACCCGTTGGTCCGGCTTTTCCAGTTGGTCCAGTAGACCCCGTTGTACCAGTTGAACCAGTGGATCCAGTTGGTCCACTTGATCCAGTAGAACCAGACACGCCTGTTGCACCCGTTGGTCCTGTTTTACCCAGTGAGCCAGTTGTTCCGGTTGGCCCTGTAACACCTGTATGTCCAGGTAAACCAGTAGGGCCAGTGCCACCTAAATCCCCTTTAGAACCAGTTGGCCCCGTAAGTCCTGTAGGCCCAGTTGACCCCATATTGCCTGCTTGTCCTGTTGTTCCTGTTGAGCCAGGTTGCCCAGTAGATCCTGAAGGACCAGTAGAGCCAGTTATCCCAGTTGATCCTACTAAACCAGTGACTCCTGTGGCCCCAGTAGGTCCGATATTTCCGACGACCCCAGTGGCACCAGTCGGACCAGTGTGCCCGGTTGGTCCTGATACACCAGTAAGTCCAGTTGCACCAGTCCGACCAGTTACACCCGTTGGACCAGTTCTTCCAAGTCCCCCCGTAACACCGATTGATCCAGTTGCGCCTGTAGGTCCTTTATTACCGGTTGGTCCAGAGACTCCAGAAATACCAGTAGCCCCTGATGGTCCTATTGAACCAGTTTGGCCAGTAGCACCAGAAAGTCCCGTAGCACCTGATGAACCCGTACCTCCAGTAGGACCATCAACACCATTTAAACCTGTTGCTCCCGTTGGACCATATTGTCCCGTTGCACCTACAACACCAGTTGCTCCAGTTGGCCCCGTACTACCAATTCGTCCGGTTCCACCAGTGGGACCAGTCACGCCTATCGGCCCAGTTTCTCCGTTACGTCCTGTTGCACCAGTGGGACCAGTCGTACCCGTTGGCCCTTTAGGTCCTGTTGCTCCAGAGACACCAGTCGAACCAGTTTGTCCTGTACTTCCCATCGGTCCACTTGAACCAGTTATTCCAGTGGCACCCGTGGGACCAGTTGCCCCAGGTTTGCCAGTGACACCCGTTGCCCCAGTCTTTCCAGTGACTCCAGTTGAGCCAGATGGTCCAGGGATACCAGTTGGTCCAGTGGCACCAGATGTACCAGTTGTACCTAGGATAATATAAGGATAATAAGGATAATAAAAAAGTACACTTAAATGTAAATGTTTTGCACACCCATACTTGAAACTGCAGCGTTGAATGAAAACAATTTTATAATGGAAAGGTTTTTTCTGTACTATTTTTGATACCATTGGAGATATGTTAAAGAAAACATTATGTATTAAAAATGTTCTGAATTCCTTTTAAAGTGTGATTGTGAAAAGTTTTGGTATGTTGATGTAAAATAAATCATTTGGTAATTTTTGTTCAATCTGAATTCAAGCAAAAAATTATCCTGAACATTAACTTAAAGGCAGAATATGATCTATAGGAGGTGACAAAATTACAAGCAACATGTATAATTTACAATATCAAATACAATATCTCCGAAAAGATTCACAATATGTTATAAATCGGTGAAGTTATTAAGGATTCAAAGTGCAAAAATGAGTGAAAAATGTTTCAATTCTCCCAAATAATAAGAATGGTAACCATTTTTATAGAAAAATAATACATTATTGTAAAAATCTTTAGTTTTTCTGGAATAAAGTATGCACTTTTGTGATTTTTAGAAAATAGACATGACAAGGAATGACACGAGTCAAAAATGTTCTAGAATTGAAACAATTTGATGTTTAACCTGCTTGCTATATCTGATTCTCTCTTTAATTTAAAGTTCAAATGATTGGACGTACCGAATAGTCCAGTAGCGCCAGTCGGACCATTTGGTCCAGTTGGGCCTGTCACACCCGAAGTTCCCGTCGCACCATTTGGCCCTGATGGCCCGGATGGACCAGTGGAACCTGTTGGTCCATTATCTCCTGTAGATCCTGAAGGACCAATGCTTCCAGTTGGACCAGTTGAGCCTATCACACCAATTAATCCTGTCGGACCTGTGGATCCAGGTACACCAATATCTCCAGTTTCACCAGTAGCACCAGTTGGACCTGTAGCCCCCTCCGGACCGGGCATCCCCGTCGCTCCAGTAGGCCCTACGCTTCCAGTGGAACCAATGGAACCAGCTACACCTGTAGATCCTGTTGGACCAGTAGATCCAGAAACACCTGTACCACCTGTTTTGCCAGTACTTCCAGTAGTACCAGTAGCACCAATAGGTCCTTGTGCACCAGTTGCACCTGAAGGCCCTGTCGTACCAAGTGGCCCAGTTCCGCCAGTTGGTCCAACTTCTCCACCTTGTCCTGTTGATCCTGTCGGTCCAGGGGCTCCTTGCAAACCAGTGGCACCTGTAACACCAATTACACCAGTTGATCCAGTGGCCCCACTTACACCAGTACTCCCAGGAATTCCCGTTGCACCAGTTTGACCCATAGTACCTTCAGGACCAGCTGCACCTGTTGCTCCAGAAGGTCCAGTTGCACCAGTTTGACCAGTAGCACCAGAAACTCCCGATGATCCCGTTGGGCCAGTAGTTCCAGTCGGACCTGTTGCTCCAGGTACTCCAGTAGAACCTGATGTTCCAGTAGCTCCATCGGGCCCTTCTATTCCAGTTGCGCCTGTGTGTCCAGTCGCCCCTGAAGGTCCAGATACACCTGTTGGACCAAATCCACCAGTTGGACCAGTTGCACCTATAATGCCTGTTGCTCCAGTTATCCCAGTGCTTCCAGTAAGACCTGTTGCACCAGTGATCCCTGTACTTCCTGAGGGACCGGCTTCCCCTTGAGTACCAGTTGCTCCTGTTGGTCCCGTTACACCGATTACTCCAGTTGCTCCTGATGGACCGATGCTACCACTTGCACCAGTTGGGCCAGTTGCACCTGTAGGCCCAGGTGCGCCCGTTACTCCTGTTGCTCCTGATGACCCTATATTACCAGGGGGTCCAGTGGACCCTGTGGGACCAGTTCCACCAGGTCGTCCCGTAGCTCCCGATGGACCAGTACCTCCTGTAGCTCCCGATGGTCCAATAGTACCAGTGGGACCTGTGCTCCCTGATGGGCCAGTTAATCCTATAGGCCCAGAAGTGCCTGTAGGTCCTGTTGCTCCTGTTATACCTGTAGAACCGGTGTTACCAGTGCTTCCAGAAGGACCATTTATCCCGGTTGCGCCTGTTGGTCCAGTCGTACCAGATTGACCTGTGCTGCCTGTTAAACCCGTGCCACCTGTTTGGCCAATGCTTCCTATAGGCCCCGTAGCTCCAGATGTTCCAGTTGCACCAGACAATCCCGTGGTTCCAGCAGGCCCACGTTCTCCAGTTGCTCCTGTAGGTCCAGTAAAACCAGTTAAACCTGTAGCACCCGTTGTACCTGTTCCACCAGTTGATCCAGGGGCTCCCGTAGGACCAGTAGCTCCAGGCTGACCCACGATGCCTGTTACGCCTGTTGCACCAGAGGGTCCAGCTTTTCCAGTTGGTCCTATGGAGCCTGTTGGTCCTGTTGCACCTGGTATGCCAACACTCCCTTCTGATCCATTTCTTCCTGTTGGCCCAGTTGCACCAGACAAACCAACGGTTCCTGTTGGTCCCATTGAGCCAGTGGGCCCAGTGGCACCAGGTAGTCCAGTTGCTCCTGTTGGCCCTGTTATACCAGTACTGCCTGTTGGACCCGTAACACCAGTCATTCCAGTAGATCCAATTGGTCCAGTTTCACCAGTTGGACCTGCTTCTCCAGAAACTCCAGTAGCTCCAGTAGTACCTGATGCACCTGCAAGTCCAGTTGAACCAGTTGGGCCAGTTTCTCCAATTGATCCCTTGACTCCCGTTCCACCTAAAGGCCCAGTTGCTCCCGTTGGTCCAGTTGCACCTGTGAAACCTGTTGCTCCCTGGTCACCAGTTGGCCCAGTAACACCTTGGGGACCAGTTGCACCTATAGGCCCCGTCATACCAGTTCCCCCAGAAGGACCTGTACTCCCCGTTGGACCAGTAGAACCAACTGGTCCAAGTGCACCCGTTGCACCAGTCGGACCAATGGGCCCACTCTCTCCAGATGCACCAGTTGGCCCTGTACTTCCAGCAGGTCCCGTTGCACCATGTGGACTAGGCAGCCCTGTCATCCCTGTAGCTCCAGCTGGGCCAACACCACCTAAATACAATATTTGTTTATAACACTAGCATACGTTATGGCCGTCCATTTATATGTATTGAATGACTTCAAATCAAAAAAGGCTTTGTTGAGCAATTGGAAAATATTGACATCTATGTCTAAGGTCTTAAATTCTTAGTAAAATTAATTTCAGGAAATCCTTTCGTACAAAGGATGAGTCGGGGAATGGGTCCAGATATCGACTTAGAAATTATTCAAAATTGTAATGTCTGAAACACCAACTCAATCACACATATTATTAAACCTTGATATCCCATCCTTCTTCTGAGAGTCAAAGAATATCAATTTGTAACACAATTAATGAAACATATTGGCATCAAAGACATTGCATATCAATATGCCAGAATTGAAAAAATTTCAAGAGCAAATACTAAATGAATAATTTATGAAAAAGTTTGAAACATATCCTCCAAAACATTGCTTACTTTCACTGTATAGACATTGAATGGTATTTCTTGATGAGTGAATTGGTGTTTATCTGGGTAATCAAGGGATTGTTACTGAGCAACCAGCAATTTTGACACTTCAATTGTGTTGGTGGAGTTTATATTTCTGCAAAATTCATGCTGAGCACAGCTTTATGGTTTCCATTTTATAATCTCTATACATGGCCCTGATGTTGAATAGTCAGAATCAATGAAAAAATCCAAATCATAATGCTGTGCTGGATGTGAAAATTAAAAGTGAAGCGACTTTTCTTCTGATATTTCCTTCATCAAAGGGTAGCCGTCTCGGTTTTTCCCATTCAAATTAAACGGGCGGGAAATTCAAAAGTTTGAAAAAATTTAAAAACTTAAAAGATATTTAAATAAAAATTATTTCAATTCTTCATGTATCTTTATGTTATTTCTACTTTGTATGTCATACATGTTGCCATTGGAGTTTTTTCTATGATAAAAGACGATTTGGATTTTATTTTAACTCTCAGCAGAGGGTTCATTATGCATCAAAACTCAGGAAAAAGTGCAAATACTTATCAAGTATAACTAGGACAGTAATAAAAAGCATATTTCGCAAACATTTTAGTGAGGAACCAAAGGGCATCTGACTCATCCTTTCATACGTATTTAATTTATTCAATTAAAAGGCAAAATAGATGTATGTCTTATCTTAAATAACCCAGAAATTATTTTAAATTCATCGTGATATACAAGAGCCGATCCAGAAGTTCTGATAAAAATGCTCTAACTTAAGATTTATCATTCGCTTTCAGAGTAACTGGGTCGTTTATAACCACATAAGATATACAATTTTTAGATGCTGGTAATGAATATTTCTGAAGTTATGGTTGTTATGGTAACCTCAATAACACTATAGCGGGACAGGGTAAAATTTGTGAAGTTTAAAACTGGGTTTCTTTCGAAAAAATGATCAAAGCCCATTACGAGGTTACATAATTTCATAAATGTTTGTTTTAACACTACCTGTTGTTAATGCCCTCTTCTCATATGTGTGAAATCATTATAAATCCTGTTTGATACGGAAAACGTGAAGTCTTCATGATACATTAGACAAGACATGAGACACCAAGCTTTTAATTTATCTTTTAAGCAATTCCT